AATCAATTGCAATGAAAAATAAAAAATGCATAGCTTCAGCTGTGATTTCCTCTGCCTCCCCATTTCAAGAATTAAAGAAACAATAGGGGCACTTCCATAGAAAGCCGCTGGTGCTTTAAAAATATCTATAAGCATTGTTTTATTTGAACATTATCATTGGAAAGAAAGAACTAAAGCCCTCTGGTAAATGCACTTCTACCTCTTGTTGACTGGTCACTAGGCTAAGATCACTGAGCATTAAATTTAAATGGGTGACATTATAAAATATTCAGATAATCAGCTTATTATGTGCACAGGGGTCTCTGTTGGGCCAAGTCATTTTACTGCAATGGCCCCATTATCGCTTGCATGATGCAGCTGTACATTGTGTAATGCGATACAGTCATGCTTAAAGTTAATCAAGCAGGCAGTAAGACTATCAGTTCAGTCCTTGATATGTTTAATTGTACGTCCCATTATTTCAGCAGTGTTTGTTGCCAAGTAAGAATGCTGTACCTTGCAAGCCTATAGCTTCTAGATCAGAAGCTGAGAAAACTGAGATTTCCTTCTTCAGTTTTGGTCCAGCGGATCTGAATTAGAATATGGGGTGGTAGCAGAACTCCCACAAGTGCTAAAAAAGGGATCCATCACTCTTGCTGTAAAAGTCTACCCACAGTTATAACATGTATGCCTCCTCTCATTTTCAGCAAATACTGTCCACTGAGCATATTACTTTTGCATCATGGGATAATATGGGGTTAGTTAAGTTACAGAAATTGATACCCTAGTGCCGGACCAAGACCAAGCCTGAGGCAAACCACAAAATGGTGCCCCACCCTGCTAGAAAAGATGGAGGAGTGAAGCTCTACACCAGGAACAAGGGCTGAAGTAAAGACCCGCATCGAGAACAAGGGAGGAATAAAGATCTACATGTGGTGCGTTCCCTGGAGTGCCAACTTGGCCCTGCAACTGTGGGTGCTATGCAGCGGCTTCCAACAAAACACTAAAATACAATAACCTATTAAACATTAAAAGCTTCTCTAAACAGGGCTGCCTTTAGATGTCTTCTAAAAGTTTGGTAGTTATTTTTCTCTTTGACATCTGGTGGGAGGGCGTTCCACAGGGCGGGCGCCACTACCGAGAAAGCCCTCTGCCTGGTTCCCTGTAACTTGGCTTCTCGCAGCGAGGGAACCGCCAGAAGGCCCTCGGCGCTGGATCTCAGCGTCCGGGCAGAACGATGGAGGTGGAGACGCTCCTTCAGATATACTGGACTATTGGCCATTCTGGCTGGGGCTGACAGAAACTAGAGTCCAGCAACATCTGAAGGGCCACAGGTTCCCCATCCCTGCTCTTGGATTAGTTCTCTTTGATGATAGCTAGTGCTCTTAAGACCATAAGCAGGGTTCCCAACACTTCGTGATACAGTGAAAACAAAAAACCAAAAAGCTGTTTTTCACAACTTCTGTGCTGCCACCTGGTGTTAACAGTATAGTATATTACACACGATACCTTTAAAGCATTTTTGAAGCACATTCTCTTCATCAAATAATTCTGAGCACTGCAGCTCACCCCTTAACCGAGTTACAATTCCCAGCAATACTTAACAAACTATAGTGCCCAGAATTCTTTTGAGGGCAAAAATGTGCTTTGCTTAATGTGGCATCTATGCATATTCAGAGAGCCCTACCATAAACAATTCTAGCACCTCTTTGTAGTGCTTGCTAATAGTAGCAATTTATGGTTGAAAAAGAGTCACATTTGTTCTTCATATAGTCACCTTCCCCCCTCACATGTAATATGCCTTTTAGAAAATTGCTGAAAATATACTCATCTTTAATTATAAGCTGGCCAAATAATAATTACAACCTTCATAAAACAGTGGAAAGGTAGAAAGAAGAAAATTGTAAATTGAAGAGTTATAATTACAGGCTGCATAGAAGGGTGTTTTTGGTGCTACAGTACAAAGAGAAGGGTTTGTCCCCACGTGGCAGCGGTCTGTCCTGATAGCTACTTACGTTCAAGGTCCAGACAGGTAAAATGGAGAAGAATGCAGCTCAGTCAGGGCTCCTCTTGGAAGTAGTGAAAGATTCTCCTTCCCTTTGAGGAGAGACCCTGAAGCATTGTTTTGGGTTTTTTATTCACTTCAGTATGGCATTTGTTGAGCTGTTGAGAAGCTAAAACCAAGGCTGCTCTACAATGAGCACATTTGACTGCAAGTGTGCTTATTTGAAATAAACAAAACACACTTCCACATACATTTGTTTAGGACTTGAATCAAACGAAGTGAACTGCAGTCCATGGGAGCTTGCACCACAGGCAACTCCCTGTTTATGAGCATTCAAGATATGCACAGGAAGTGGCATAATAATAATAATAATAATAATAATAATAATAATAATAATTTATTTGTATCCCGCCCTCCCTGGCCAAAGCCGGGCTCAGAGTGGCTAACAACAAGTAAAAATAGCACGGTGTACATAAAATCACAGTCAATTAATTAAAATACATTCTAAAATCAATTCAGAATCAAATTAATGGCATCCATTGGCTTAGAGTTCTGTGAGGATTACATGCAAACCAAAGCACAGCTTCTGATTGGCTGCAGGAAGCTCCTACAGCCAATCAGGAGCCGCAGAAGCCCCATCTCATCCTCCCCCTGTCTCATTATTGATACAGGTCAGGGTGGATACAGATAGTCCACATCCTCCAGGAACTTCTGCAACTGCTTAGCCGAAACTCTCTACCACCTTTCCCAAGAAGGGGGTATTCACAACCGGGTGGTAGTTGTGACAATTGGCTTCTTCAAACATGGATGCACTACCGCCTGTTTAAGGACAGCAGAAACAACACTACTTATGTAGACATGTGTTCACCCTCACACTGGACTCAGTCACTTCCCTCCATCCCTGGACTAGTTTTCAGAAGCCAGAATGGACAGGGATCAAGAGAACAAGAAGCTGGTTGCATCACTGCAAGGTTTCCCATCCACATAAACTGAAACTCACTCCATAAAGTACGGGAAGGTGCTGTATTGGACATCTCAACAGGAATTGCTACAACTTTGGCATACAAGACACTATGGAGCTAAGTAACTTTATCCTCAAATTGCTTTGCAAACTACTCACGCAATGTACTCCAGAAGCCTGCCCACCACTTCTGGTCTGCCCAGCCTCTGGACTGCCTGAAACAACTCTGCTGAATGGTTCTTTGAGGACGCAATGGAGGCAGCAAAGTAGTTCTTCTATTTCCTAGTGATGCATTAAAGCAAACCCTTACTAGCTCTTGGAAGTCAGCCCAGTTACTTGGCAAGTGCTTCTTCTTCTTGGAAGGATGGAGTTTGGTGGTTAGCTGCAAGGCTGGAGGAGTGCACTTTCATGTCTCCAGTTTATAGGAATGCTAAGCGCCTGCCACTCTGGGCATTCATCCTCTTTCTGCCCCACCACTGCACATAAATTAGTGTGTTGCAATAGTGTCTCAAAAATACTTCACCTCAATAAGCTGGAAATCACAAGCATCTCTGGTCACTTGACCAGGGAGATAGAGGCCTAAGCATCTATTTGATTATCTTTAATTTTAAGGAGCTATCAGGGCTTAGGTTGAAGTCTGTTCAACTTAGAAGGTATAAAGGAGGGTTAGAATGAAGTAGGAAGTGAGAATAGCAAGTGTAAGTAAATACAACAAAGCAGGTGGCAAAGCAGAATAAGCACCTTAAAAACAAAACAAAATGACAGGCTGGGATGGGTAAGACTCCAACTAGTTGTTTTTAAAGTACTGTTGGTGTTGCTCAAGAGTTCAAGTTTTATTATCTGCTGGTAGATTTTTAAATGCTGTGTTTCATATTCTTGTTATAGTTTATATCTGTATTTAAAAATGGTTTTCATCATTTTTAATAAGACCATCTTATATACTTACAGAAATTGCAAATAACAATTCACGAAAGCAAAATAAAGGAATTGCAAGTATTCCGGTGTTTTTATTGTTATTGTTAATTGCCCAGAGAAATGGTTCTTGGGTACCTTGTGATCAGGGGACTGTTATGTATTAAAGTTCTCACCCTGGCCACCAGGAGTATCGTGTTTATAGTTTTCACTCAGGTCCACGTCAGTTACTTTAGGGAAATCCTGGGTTGTTGTTGCTACAGTGTTGACAGCCAGCTGCCTATAAAAGCAGGCCGGCTGAGCTGTTTGCTGTTCAGTTCTGTTCCAGCTTACAAATAAAGAGGTGCTTTGGAGAAATCACTGCGTCATCTGCTTTGTCTACCCACTATTTAACAGGGACCATAAATAAATGATATTTGAAACAAACAAAGAAATCCGGCAGTTTAAGGGCCAGACAAAAGTGTTAGGTAGAAGGCTGAACAGGGTCTGGAGGAGCATCAGATATTGGCTTAATTTGCAGATTAAGGTATCTTCCAGACCAGGCAACATGTTTAATGATCATTCATCCTGATTTGTTTTTTAGGAGAAATTCAACAATGTTGCAGCAAGCAATTGTTATTCCACTTCCCAGTGCGTGTCCTTATCACTTTCCTGATTGCAAAAAGCCCAATCTTTTGGGAAAGTATTTCCCCGCCAAAGCTCCAAAGGCACTTCTGCACTGTCACTATTTTTGGGTGGGATTCAATCTTATACAGGCAAATCCAGGTTGTGCAACTATAACTGATTGGAAAGTCTTGCGCATCAAACCTGCGGTATGGGAAGTGGCGGGGGGTGACTGCTAGCAGTGAGTAGCACCATCTAACCTCCCTGAGATCAAATCTGAGCTGATGCTCAAGGAACAGGTCGTCTGAAAGGGATGTGATTGAATCCATTCCAAAGACAGTGGCAGTCTAGAAGCAGCAAGGAGGAGTTTATAATTTCTGCGATTTTGTTTTCCCTTAAAAAAAATAAATTATTTATTTGGTTTTTCAGATTAAAATTTTACAGACACAAGTGTGCAACATACAACATAAAAACAAGATTCCAAGGAATCTCTTGGACTTCCCTCTTCCCCTTTGTGGGTCCAACTGTTAATCATTTCCTCCTGCATCTTTTATAACAACCCAATAGATTTTGTTTTCCATTACAATGAGAGTAGCAGAGTTTATACAGGGCACAGCCTCCATAGAGGAGGCGGTCGAAGCAAACTCGCGCCTTTTTCTTCTTCTTACGTGCCCCGCTCTGATCATTTCAAAAGCGATGACGCCACGGTGCGGCCAGTGACACCCAGCTACGGCTGGAGGGACGCCTCCCATGTTTTCTTGGCGTCAGGCAGCCTTGACTTGAACATGAATAAAAGCGTGGCTGCAAAATGCCGGGGGATACATAGATAGAAAATATGCACACACACACCCCATATTAAAAACTAAGCCCCGGGCAGGGCCTCTTATCAGTATTGGTACGGGCCCGTTTGCAACGCGGAACCTCCTCGCCGCGGCTTAGCGGCGGCGCGAGGGAAGGTGTTCGGCGTTGCACCGTCCGGGCTGCGAGGGGCATTGTGGGGGCCCGCGTTTGAAAACCGTTGCTCGCTTCTTCTTCTCCTTTCAATTTTTATTCCCCCCCCTTCCTTCCTTTCTCTCTCTCCCCCCCGCCCTGCCACCACCTCTTCTCTTCTCTCTCCGGCGGGTTTTTATTATTAAAATGGCGCCCTAAGCCGCGGTCCAGGGAAGCCACCCGAGTTGGGAGGCTCGAGGAGAAGCGGCCCTCGGAGGAGGGTAAGGGCGGGCGGGCGAGGGGCGCGTCCTCCTCCCCACCCTCCTGCCTCCGATGCGAGAGGATGGCGAGCCCGGATCAGAAGTCGCCCAACGTCCTGCTGCAGAACCTGTGCTGCCGCATCCTGGGCAAGGGCGAAGGTAACTGCCTCCCCCGAAGACTCTAGAAGCCCTTTCCCGCTTGTCGTGAGCTTGCTCGGGTCGCTTCTCCGTGTGTTTGTGTTGGCTTGTGTGTTGTGTTGTGTTGTGCCTCCTCCTGTCCTTCTGTCAGCGGAGCCGCTGTGGGAGCTGCGCAGGTGGAGAGAAGGATGCTCTATCTAGCCTCCCCACATAATAAGGTGCAGGCAGGCAGGCGAAAGAGGCTGCTGCTGCTGCTTCTCGTGGGTGGTTGAGTTGAGCAGACGGACAGCTTCGTGCCCCCTGGAATAACTTGGCTGCAAAACACCCTCCCCAGCCACCGCCTCCCGCCGAAAGAGGGGCCCGAAACAGTAATCAGAGAGAGAGACAGAGAGACAAGACGTCCTACTGTAAGAGTGCCTGGTCGGTTCTGGAAGTGGGGGCTCCAGGTTTCTTCCCTCAGTGGGTGGACTTGGCTGAGATTTGGCCCAGCCACCTGGGCAGCAGAGCTTCTTTGTGCATATAAATAAGGCGACGGGGGTGGAAAAGCTAAGTAGGACTTCTGAGAGGAATAGGCTGGATGTTGGATCACTGAATATTGTGTGGAATAGCTATACACAAATGTAATATTCTGCATTTAGGGTGTTTTTTGGGCAGCGGAGAAATCAGATCCACATGTACAGGATGACACTCAACTTGACACCAGGAGGTGTGAAATGAATTGGTGTGTTAAAAAAACCCAACAACTGCTAGCAGGGGCCCCCTGTATGGTTTCGGGACCCTGTTGCAGGGGGTTGGACTGGATGACCCTCGGGATCCCTTCCAACTCTACAATGCTGTGATTCTATGAACTTAGTTAGCCATAGTATGCTGGACTAGGTGGCCACTGGCCTGATCCACTTGTTCATCTTCTGTTCTTAATCTGCTGGATCAGGCCAGTAAACCATCTAGGCCAGCATTCTCTTCTCACAGTGGCCAACCAGATGCCTGTGGGAAGCCCTAAATCACTATCTGAGTGCAACAGCACTCTCCTGGTATGGGTCCCAGCATCTGGTATTCAGAAGCACACTGCCTCTGACAGTGGTGGTAGAACATAGCCATCAGGGTTAGTAGCCATTGACAGAGTTATCCTCCACAAACCTGTCTAATCCTCTTTTAAAGCCATTTTGGTAGGCGTAAGCTGAATATGAGACTGCAGTGTACTGTTAACAGCTACAAAGGCTAATACAATTTTTGACTGCATCAGCAGATGCATAATGTCCAGATTATGAGAAGTAATTGGTACCACTGTTCTGCATTGGTCAGAACTCCAGGTCTGGAGACTGTGGTTTAAGAAGGATATAAACAAATTATCCAAAGGATGACGACAGATACAGAGGAGCCTAGAGAAGAAGTCCTGTGAGGAAAGATTGAAGTCAGGTACACTTAGCCTTGAAATGAAATGATTAAGTTCCAGTGTAATGACTACCATAAGTATCTGAAGGGTTGTCACATAGATGGAACATACTTGTTTTCTCTTGCTCGAGGTAAGGAGTAGCCAATGTGGTACTCTCCAGATATTGTAGGACTGCAACTACCGTCAGTCCCAGCTAGTGTGGCCAACTGGAGAACACCATGTTGCCTATCCATGCTCTAGAAGTTAGAACCTGAACCATTGGATCCAAATACAAAGAAAAAACCTAGACTGAACATTAGGAAAAACTTTATGCAGGTAGAAGCTGTTGGACAGTGAGGCAGACTGCTTCAGAAGGTGGTGGACTCTCCTTTGCTAAGAAGTATTTACGCAGAGGTGAGATAGTCACCTGTTGGGGTTCTGTAGAAGTTGATTTGTGCATCATTGAACATTTAAGTTCTTTTCCAAATCTTAAGAGGCTTGATTAACTTCAGAGCTATCTCCCAGCTGATGAGATGCTGCTAAAAAAAGCTGTGTTGAGTCTTTTTTTTGAGCAGTGGAAAAAGAGGTACAGCAGGTATGTTGTGATTAACATCCCATAAGTAAGCACACAGATGAGAAAATCTTAGGAAAAGTTTGAAATGCATTATTGTTTCTAAAGCTAAAAGTCATCCCCTTTTGTAGGCTACTGTTCAAATACTTTGAAAGAACAATGGCTACTGAATGTACAGCTTCCTATAGATCATTGTGAGAGATTAAGTATACATGATTATGGTATTTTTCCAGATACTCATATTTTCATAATTAAATTTGTTAGTTACTGCTGATGTAAAATCCGCTTCTGAGCATAACATGCATTTTTGTATGTGTAGGTTAAATTTTCTTATTTGGCAGAAAAAAATGTAGTACTGAATTACATAATACATCCTGTTAATCTGTTTGCAGTGAGAAAATAGTTACTTATGAACGGGACAGTTGAAAGATACAGCAATTGGATTGTATCAAAGATTATAAAAGCAAAAATGGAACTGTGGTATGTTTTCTGCAGACTTCAAGATGGCTAAAAGTCTGAAAACACCAATTAAAAATAAAATAAACATAGCTAAAAAGGAAACTAAAGCGGGGGATAAATAGAAGGAACAGTAAACTTCATAAGAAGTAATAGGTAAAGTAGCATAATTAAAGACCACGTGGCAGAATTAAAAAAAACACCCTACAATGAAGGTTAACTTATCTTATGATCCACTTAAGCTACCAAAAAGGAGGCAAGGCAAACCTCTTGGGATGAAATTCCAAAGCCTTGATTCAGCCCTATTTCTAGTTCCAGGGGTTATTAGAACCCATATAGGGCCTCCACTGTTGGCTTTATATGACCTGGCAAGATCATATAAGAGGAGTTGGTCCTTTAGTTATATTGGTCTCAATTTGTGAAAGGCTGAAAGTTATTACTAGCATTTTGAATTGGGTTCAGTAATCCAACTCCAATTAACAACCTGATTGATGATTTCTGAACTGATTGAAGTTTCTGGACACCTTTCAAAGCAACCATGTTAAGTGACTTTGAATGATCGGGATGTGTCATTGTGGTTAGGTCTGCTGTCTTGCAGCACCAGACTAAACTGGGCAAATATACATCTGACCATGGCTTTTACCTGAGTGTCAATATCAAGGCCACAGCCAGAAGCACGCCCAGACTATGAACCTGTGTTGTGTAACCCCATCCAACACAGGTTATATTATTTTTCTGATATTGGAGCAATCTGTATGTATGGCTGCCCTGCCTTGCTGTGAGCTAAGCCATGGTTTGTCTTAGCATTGTGTCATATTTGAGCTCATGGTTTATTTCCAGACAAACCACAAGCTGTAACCAAGTCGATGGATTACTGCTTGTGGGTTGTGGGAGGTAAACCACAAGCTATGGCTTAGTTTACAGCATTTTGCAGCAGCAGGACCAGAGGAGGAGCAAAAATAGCCACAATCTTCTCTCTGGGAACCCACTCAGTTGCTGATTTGTGCTAAGTCATGGTCATTGTCTCAAATATGACATAATGAATATTTGCTTGTTCTTTGAAAATTAGTTAAGATGACTTGGATGCATACTTTATTGTGCTTTAAAAGTTTGGGGTTTCTTTTGGTGTGTGCAAGCTGCTACAAATATCAAACATGATTCAGTAGTAAGGAACTTACTAGATTGTAGTTGGTTGGCATCTGTCTTGAGAGACATTGGTGTGTGCCTCCAGTGATGAAGTTAAATCACTGCATTAGCAGCACTGAAGTGACATCCCCTGGGAGCAGGCCTGGGCACTATGTACGAAGGGCCTGGAAAGCAGAGCACTGCATTTGGTACCAGCTTGGCTGCAGGAGTTGCTGGAAAGAGGCAAATGAGGTGCCACCTGACCACCTTAGGGACTCCACTCTGGATTTGTGTAGGGTTTATCGCTTAGCCTTTTCTTCTCCTGACAGTATCCTGGAAGCAGTGTTCAAAACTCCCATTGTTCTCGCCGCATTTTGCGGGAAATTTCATTAGTGTGAGCAGTTTCTAAGTTCCGGGTGCAGTACTGCGCCTAAGATTTCAGATTAAAACTGCAGTGTGGAAGGAAAGGAGGACCCTTTTCTGCCTCCCCACTTCCACCTACTCACTGAAGACTGGAGAAGAGACCCTCTTAAAAATGTTAGGGGGGTGGGCAGGAGAAGGACTAGACCATGTGAAAAATGAACATAATATTTTAGCTGCAGTTCAGTCCTTTTCAGCCTTGTATTCCTGTTATAAAAAAGTTTGCCTAGGCATTCCGTTCTTGCGCCCGTAACCTAGCTTTAAGGTGCCATTTAGCTTCTCGTTTTCATATCTCAGTTTCCAGCACTGCCTGAAAGGCAGCAGAGGTTTAGGATCAGTTTTCCTTCTCCTAGATGGGCTAGCTTCCCAGGTTGACGAGCCGCACCTGCCTCTGACTTCTGTATGTGCAGAAACCGCCTTCTTGACTGTTGGACCTACTATTATTCTTGTGTGCTCAATTTGTCAGAGCCTGTCTTTGCATGCAAAGAAAGTCCCTAACTCTCAGAGAGCTTAAGACCTATCGGCTGTCCTCACCTGGTTTAGCCGGCCAGTCAAAGCCATTCCTGGGGTGTGGCTGCTGTTGTATGCTGACAGCTTCTGGGAGCTGCAGGTGAGAACTAAATTCAGGGTGTGGACCAAAGGTGGGCAAACTACTCCAAATGGAGCACAACATGTACCCCTCCCATCCCCTAACACCACATACATCCCATTTGATTGTAGTATTGCACAGGATAATTCACCTGCCCATTTTATGAGACTGAAGTCTCTAGAGAAGAGACAGTATGTTAAACTTGTGTGGATTTCACCAAATAATTGTTTATAGAATTGTTTTATTGAAGGTAGATGTAATTGGTAATTGCTAAGTAGATAGATGGGTATGAAAATATTTGTGGAATTTGCAAGAAGTAGGTTGTTTGCCTCTGGGGGAAAATCTGTGCATCTAGCACAGAAATGAAATCCTGCCAGCACAATTCCATGCATATTTACTCATAAGTATTACTCATTGTGTTAAGTGAGACTAACTTAAACATGCATAGGATTGTAGTATAATGCTACAATTATTTGCTCAGATCCTTGGGAGTAAGACGCATTGAATTAACTGTGACTTACTCCTAAGTACAGTAAATATGGAAATGTTTAGATTGCGTGTAGGTTTTGTTCTTTTAGCTCACTTTGGGAAATAGGTCCTGAAGAACACAGTGTTCTATAAGCTAGCGATAAAATTAGGCTTTTCTTAAAGATAACTTGTTACTTGCAGCCTGACTTGTCTAAAGAGTTCAGATTGGGGGAGAAAGGTCTTTTTGTCTAAAAATCATAATCTGCCACAAGGGCAAGGGTGACAGAAGACAAAACTGGAGGAATACCAAATTTATTCATTCCCTTGAATGTTTTATCAGAAGTAGAAAAGCATATTTGATTTTTTTAAAAAAATCAAATTCAAAAGCTGCAGAGAGTTGAGTTGAACCAAGACTTGAGACCTGCTCAAATCAAAATAGCTTTGTGGTATAAAAAGTAGCAGTTACCCAGGTGATAGATTGAAAATTGCCTATCCTTATGCAGTTCAAATATCTTTACAAATAGGGAGCTTTTAGAATGAATAATTTGTCTGATGTTTATGTTTATAAAACTTGTATCATTTTGCTCCTTTGAAATACTAAAATGTTTTCCCTTATTTATAAACTCTTTTATTTGGCTTAAGTATTACACACTGTAGGACTTTACTTGGCCTATAAAACATCATTTTGTGCTTTTTATTTTAAAATGTCATTTCTTTTGACAGTAATTAAACTAAGAATAATTATTATGATATGGTAAGCATGGTGGGCAAACTTGGCAATGTTGGATAATATTATGTTAATTTTAATTACTCTTATTTACAAAAAAAGGCTACCTTCATGTATTTGTTTGGGACTTTTAGCAGTTAGCATTGATGTTATATGAGCTGAGTCTTCTACAGTGCCATCCTGTACATTTCAGTGGGAACTTTCCCCAGGAATGTGTGCATAAAATTTCAGCTCAGATTTGTATGTTACCTGTACTTCATTTATGGAAACATCTTTTGTCATATTGGGAAACGTGGACATCTTGGATATCTTCCTTTAAATGCAAGTAATTGTTCCTCAATTTTAACATTGTGAGAGATTCCTGGTAAACCTCCTACTGGTTGCGCACAGGGGCAATGTTTTCTTTCACATTGGTACTTTGGTGCTCACACTAGTAATCAAATCTGAGGACTTTATTGATTCTTTAGAAGGAGGTCAGTGATGCTGTGTCCTGGAAGCATCGAGGGCAACTCTAATCACATACTGTAAACATCTTTCTGTGAGCAGAGAAATGTGCTCCTCTAAAGGTTCTTGACTGAGAGTTGCTAACTGATGAAGTGAGGGACCAGGTTGCTTGCAAACATTTGCAGATGGAATTGGGGTCATCAATAAGCTTCGCACAAAATAATAGCTATGATGAAAATAGTTTTGTTAGGTCACAAGGAAGGGGCAAAATGTTTTTAAATTTTAGGTTTGTAAAATGATTTTGTAAACCTGTGGGGTGCTATTGACCCCACCTACACTTTTTTGGTGAGGTTAAGGGGAAATGAGTGATTTGTCTGTTATGAAAATGGGCAGAATTCTGTTTCTTCATCCTCTGTATTATTTTCTCACATGAAATGGACACAACAGGCTCTGGGCTAAGCACCTGCGGATAATGGCAATTAGTGAATAACCTTAAAGGGCATTTTGTGTGGCTACTTTGAGCCCTAGCACCCTATGTGCATGTTGTTTGGGTTTTCTTGGACATTCCAAGGCAGTAAAATTGACCTTAAAAGCCATAAGTGAAACAACATTTCCCCCACTAAATTACACTCCCTCTGCATCCCTCCCAAATGCCACATGGGACCGTATTTTTCCGTCTATAAGACGCCCCCATGTATAAGATGCCCCCTATTTTAGGGGACGCAGATTTAGGAAAATGGGTGTAGATGTATCTGTGTATAAGACGCCCCTTAATTTTTGACATTATTTTTTAGGAAAAAAACCTAGTCTTATACACAGAAAAATACGATAATTTATGCTCTGTATTGGATGAGAACTACCTTTGTTTCAATAAAGGCTATTGAGACAAAAGTTTTATGGATTTTGTCTGGTGCTGTTCGGAGGTGTTTGACCCCACCCGTTGATGAAAGGTTAAACTTTCCTTCTCCCATATCCTTTGCCAAGATGGTGGCATTTATGCTTGAGGCTACAGGAAATTGGATTTCATGACTCCAAAGACCTGTTGTTGTTTTTTACTTTCCTTGTGTCTTTTCAGCAAATGGTACTTGAGGTCTTAAGTGCAAACCTTGTTTAGCTATTTTCAGTGGTTTTGTAAGGTGTGGGAAGGAAATCACTAAACCACATAATTTAACCATACATATTTAATTTCGTACTCTCCCTTTTCGGGAAATTTCTAAAAAGCGCTAGCCGTGACAGTTCCTTTTTTTCTTGAATCATTTTGACTTTAATTTCCTCTTGCCTCTAATAGTTTGTCTACATTTTCACAGGGAATTTGTTCAGAGTTCTTTCTAGGCTTTGAAATATGTATGCCAAACACTGCAGTTCTGAGTAGAAATACCTCTGATACATTAGTGGAGATGGTGAGAAGGTTGTGAAAAATGGATGATAGAAGAAAATTCCCACTAAGTATTATTGAAACCTGACTTCATAGCAGCTACATAAAAGCATGCTCAATAAAAACGTGCCTCCTTAAAATTATTGATACTTTTGTTCTTTGCGTTCAGCACTTTGAGAATCAGAATGCTATTTACTGGTGTTCTGAATTCTTTGGAGAATATTCCACAAATCTGTTCATTAAGAGATCCTGTCAGAGTACTCAAATAAGGGCACAATTGTGAAATTGCTAGCATTCACATGAGCTTTGAAAGGCAGGTCTATGGCTATGTTCCATCTCACATCTTTATCAATATCACACTTAATTTATATCCCACTTGCATTGTTTTCACATTTAAGAGGTGAAGGTCTCATTCAATTTAATGAGACTTTCACGGTAGAAAATATGTAGTGAAGGTCAAATTTTCTAGGGGGCGTACAAAGGAACACCATATTATATGAGAGAGAGAGAGTGATGGATGCTAATTTGCTAAGTTCTCTGTTTAGCCTTTTGTTAACATGAATAATGGAATCATAGAATTGTAGAGGGTCGTCTAATCCAACCCCTTGCAATGCAGGAATCTCAACTAAAGCATCCATGACAGATAAGAGGCTTCCTTTGCATTCACTCTATATACAGCTCATTAGGAACTGCAGGATAGAAGTCAATTTCTTTATATTTGTTGAGCCCCTTCTCTTTACACTTGGCAAAGGTATTTGCCTTTTGGAATTGAGGCTGCCCAGCAGTTTTCTGTTTTGCTGACCCAGTTCAGCCAAATGTGGAATGAAGTCTTTGGCAGGGGCAGAGACTTTTAAAAAGCAGTTTGAGGAAAGAGTGCCTTTTCATCTCAAATATGCTTAAGTTAAAATAATATTTATTTCTTCCTCTTGCTAAGCTGTATGGTCAATTTTATGGCCTAGCAATTTCATGCACTGAGATGGTGCTGCCTTTATTCTGTCCAAGGTTCATCCAATTGAAAGGGTGCATGTGGGACCCTGGACGTGATGTGGTTGCTACATTTATATTGGGAATTCAGCACATTTTTTATTTGAAATTATTACATATTTCTAATGAATCTAGGGTTCTGATTTGAACTCCATTAAGGTTTTAGAAACTGTGGAATATTTTTTTCAGAAGCTGTACTTTGCCATTAGAAATATCAGCAGCTCTTCTTCATACAGAATTTGGGTGGCCAACAATTTAAGACTGAGCAGACTGCGCTCAGTTAAGGTATATTAAAATAATTGTTACACATATGTTATATTCCTGTGCTGTGCTATATGGAATTGGGTGAAAACCAACTCTGGAAAGCAGCTTGTCAAGATGTTTTAGACTACTATTCCTATCCAGAACTGAACACTACACTGACCTTAAATAATTGTCAGCTAAGGGATTGGCTTTTCTGGATAGAATTCAGAAGGGATCTGCAACTAATTAGAAAGACAAAAAAAATTCCCCTTGGTATCCAATCACAAGAACAGAGCACTTTAGAGCTAGTTATCTCACCAATTTCCGTAAGAAATGTATTCTTATGGAGCTGTGTTTCCAAGTGATGCCCAGTGTAGTCTTAGATGGCTGTTACAACACAGTCCCGTGCACAGACAGACTTTGTATTTGTGGTCAGCTTCAGGTGGAAGACATCACTCATTATCTGTTAGATTGCCTCTTTATATAGGGACCCAAGAGTTCACTTTCTGAAACCTTTGGTTTGCAGAACCATGTATACCCCAGCAGAAATGGTTCAGGGGTTTGTTTGTTTGCTTGTTGTGAGTAACAGTAATAGCATTGTAACACAGAGCGTGTTTATGCATTGGCTGCAAAAAAGAAAGAGGAAAAGGGATTTGGATAAAATTGCTATAAATTGTTTTGGTGATACAGAGGTTTAATCTGAAATCAGGCTAAATCTAAGCTAGTTGATGTCTCTGGTATCTCCTCTCATGTAATGGATGTCTGCTTATATTATGGATGTATGTTCTATATTATTTTATTAATACTATTGCTACGAGTTTGTCATGGCCTTTGGCTAGAACAATAAACTTACGAACTGTAAGTGAAACTGAAAACTGAGTATTTCTAATGCTTTATTTATTCCCCCGTCTGTTAAGGCAGAAATGCTTGCAAATACTGAGATTTAAAGTCATGTTCAAATTGAGAGCAAAAGCCAAACAGCTGAAAAGTCTTTGGAATGGTGTGAGGATAAATACAATGTTTAGGGGTAGAGCAATGTGCAAATGATAGAGTGGGATTCATGGGCAGATTTCTAGGAGGAAATAGTTGGGTGTTCTCATGTATCCCTTCCTGGAATATCACAGAATGTGTAATCCTCTGGACATTATGAGTATGCCAGGGAATATTTACTTATCATTCTTTGTCATTGAAAGTAGTAGTAGTTCAGCAATAAAATTGCTTGTGCATTTGGAAAGCTAAGCAGGGTCTGGTATGATTTCAAATTGGATGGGGGACCATGTGTTCAGAGTCCTATATTGCAGGGGGTTAGACTAGGTGACCCTTGGGATCCCTTCAAGCTCTACAATTCTATGATTTTTATGACCTGTGTTTAATGGAGGTGCCTATAAATGGACATGAAGCTTCTACAACCCTGTAATGAACTTCTGAAGTAATCCGAACTATGTTTCTTACTTCTGCTGACACCAAAAATATTGTATTAGACACCAAAAATATTGTTTGTGCAGGAAGACACTTTTACATTCATGATTCTGTATTACACATGGCAGATTAGTATCTGGTATGTGTGTGTGTGTGTGTGTGTGTGTGTATGTAGGTACGCAACTCATAAAATTAAATGCATCTTCACAGTCTTATTATTAAAGGTAAAGGTAAAGGAACCTTGACAGTTAAGTCAGTCGTGAACGACTCTGGGGACTCTCACTTTACTGGCCAAGGGAGCTGACGTTTGTCCACAGACTGTTTTTCTAGGTCATGCGGCCAGTATGACTAAGCCACTTCTGGCAAAACCAGAGCAGCACACGGAAACACCGTTTACCTTCCCACTGGTACCTATTTATCTACTTGCACTTTGACGTGCTTTTGAACTGGTAGGTTGGCAGGAACTGGGACCGAGCAACGGGAGCTCACCCCGTCGTGAGGATACGAACCACCGACCTTCTGATTGGCAAGCCCTAGGCTCAGTGGTTTAGACCACAGCACCACTCATAAAATTAAATGCATTTTCACAGTCTCTTATTATTAACAGTTGACTAATTGTGATTTTATTTCAGCTGATGTAGCCCAGCAGTTTCAATATGCAGTGCGAGTCATTGGAAGCAACTTTGCCCCTACTGTTGAAAGAGATGAATTTCTTGTAGCAGAAAAAATTAAAAAAGAACGTAAGCTTATTTATTATTTTTTAACAGTGTTCAGAGCAAGTTTTATAAGGTGTTCAATGCTGTGTGGGTTTTGTCTCTTAGGATAGAGCTGGTTCACTTTACTGTTCATCAGTATAAACTATTACCTTGTTTTTCACCATCATATATGTGCTTTTATATTTATTTATTTATTTAAAATATTTATAAGATGCTGTTCTAGACTATGTCTACCCAAACTAGTGAACAGCAAAACAAGCATAAAATACAATAATAAAATGCAGCGCCATAATAAAATTGTTTATTTTGTTTCGACTACGGCAGACCAACGCGGCTACCTACCTGTAAATAATAAAATTGTGAAAAGGTTTTCTCACACAATCCCTTATAAAAGCTTCTAAAACTAATTTTTATGAACAAACAAAACATTAGCATGTAAACCAGTACAAAACTATTTTCAAAGCTATTTAAAAAATAACACCCAGCAGCATGTCCAAAAGACACATCTGTTAAAAACCAATTGAAACAGGTGGTTTTAATTCTTTTTTAATTCCCTCATATAGGAGAGCGAGAGAGTAATATGAATTGTAGTTATAGATCACTGTGTCAGCAGAAGCTAGCAGGGAAGAAGCAAGAAGATAGTGTAATATAGAGTAGATGTATTTATTCTTTTGTCTGAACAAATTTCTATCCTTCATATGTGGTTGTAAGGAAAATATGGAAGGTGATGTGCGCATTTATCTATTATTATAGTGTAGAGTTGAATATTCTACATAGAACCATATTCATATAGGGTCATTTCATTGGATGAAATGAGCATTTCTGTCCTTTGGGGGAGACCCTGTGGCAGAGCAATCACCATTTTTGTTGCCTTGCTGCTAAATAAGCTAGGGTGGTAGGTGGAGGAAGCAGATTTTTTTCACTTTCCCTTCCATTGATTCTAATGAGAGAGAAATAAATACAGTAGACTTATGCACATTTAACTTGCACACATTCAACTTTACATGCTTGGCAAAAAAAAAGTAAAACAGCAGACATCCAGTGGGGCGGAGAACTTTGGCAATCCCACCCACCATTGATCCAATGTGCTTTGACGATATGCAATTTTGGCTTTATGCATGATCCCCAGAACATAAGTTGTGGGCTTACTATACTCCAGGCCCAGGCCTGGCATAGTCCTGGGCCAGTTTGTGGGTGTGTCAGGGGATTTTGAATCTTGCCGATCCATGACTGCTGGAAATCCCCTTTTTTGACCCCCTCTGCCTGTGGGACATGGACCACAGAACATCTGTGCTCATGGATCTTCTCGCAAATTATCCACACATATCCCTTTCTCCTGACTGAACGACACTTAATGTTGTTTCTTAAGGTCTCTTAAGCACTAGGATCACAGGCCTAGTCTTAAATATGACACCATCCTTCTGGCCAGAATGAATAGTCATCTACATTGTAACAAAAGCAGCTGGTAGCTCAGTGAATTAGATATCTGTGTTGATTGAATTTCTGTTTAGTTTAAATGCTAATGTTGCACATGGCAGGCTTGTAGTGTTCTTAACTTGCCTTTTCTCTTTTAAAGTTGTGCGGCAAGGAAGGGAAGAGAATGCTGCTGTATTTTCAGAACTCTACAGAAAACTCCACTCACAGGTACAGGAATGTGTTCCAAACAACCCAATAACCAATATGGAGACTAGTTGCTAATTGTTGTGTAAAGAATACCACTAATGTGGCTTTGCTAGATCAAGGAAATGAGTTGTGTTTGAGTTTGTTCTGATCTCCTGTCCTGTAAAATATTAAAAGCCCGTTTTTGAGGAAAGTAAAAAACAATCATCACGTGTTTTTGTTGACTATATGACTTCTTATGGGAAGGACATACATCAGCATAAAATGTGTTTTGCTTTTTATGTTAAACTTATCTCACCACAATCTATTTTTAAGATAATGTGTATTGATTTATTGATCAGGTTTTCTGTCGGCCTCTTAAGTGATCTTGGTTTTCTTTCTTTTGTACTTGAGAATTTATGAGTCAGTTTTGACAGTGAAGTTCAGCGAAGTTCACAAACTTTTGTATACTGCAAGCAAATCTGTTATTCCTTGGCATTAATGAGTTGACTTCCCTCTGCTATAGAGAGACTAGTTCAATAATTTCCAGACTTGTGAGAGCAGTATAGTAGCTGCCAAAAAACAGCAGGGCATGAATTAGCATGAAGTCCAGCTGTTGGTGGGAGATCTGTCAGTCATTTGTTTAAGCCATAGCTCAAGTTTTTCCCCTTATATTGCAAAGGTAAATTAATGAATTAGAAAATTTGAACAAACCGTACTTAAAGAACCTAGAACAGTGACCTGAACTGTTGAGAATAGCCATTAGGCACTTCCTAATACTTTAAATCAGTACTTTTATCATATGGTTATGACAAGCTGCTTGCTGAAATAGCACTGTGAAGATAATCCACCCACCCTGGTTGAGTAGTATGATCAGATCAGGGACAAATAGGATATCAGCAGGGATTTAAGTCTCTTAAGAGGTGGGTCTGGTCTTGCTATTATTATTATTAAAAAAGAACTTATCCAGGCAGAGGTAAGTGGCATATAACCTTCTGCTATATTGGCTGCAGTCCAAACCCACATAGAATTCAATAGGACTTTCCTACAAGTAGCTGTGATGGGTGTATACATGCACCACTTTCCATTTTGAACAAAAGTAGACCTGTAAATCTTTAATTGATTTGACCAACGCAGCTGAATGAAAAATTGGTGGTGGGTGTTTTTTTTTTGCAGTAAAAAACGAAGCCTGAAGACCAGTCATGCACTACAGTTAGTCAACAAGGCTTGGTTTCCATTAATCTAACCTTGCGTCTCCCATCCATACCACTATTAAATCATGGTAATACTTGCTCACGGGCAAGTAAAACTAGAACTAATTTTGAAACCACGTTACCATTTCTAATAGTTACCTCTTGTGGCAGGGAGTTTTGAAGAACAGATGGTCAATCCTCTACCTCTTGCTGAGCCTCAGTGAAGATCCACGCAAGCAGCCAAACAAGGTAGCTATTTTTGTGGGTGTGGGTGTCTATCTATCTTACATATAATGAACATGTAAGAGTACCATCAAGCTGCAGTTTGCTAGGCCACAGACAAGCAACATTGTGAACTACAGAATGGCAAGAGTTGGTGGGTGAGCAGCCCAGGTGAGCTGGACAGCCAGAAGAGGCTGCAGCAGACCCCCAGCTCTGCTGTCTCTTCCTCCTGCCCATTCTGGAGCCTCTGCCCCTCGGATTCAGGTCCCTAGGCCAGCTGCCACTGCTACTGTCCTCCTTCCTCCTCTGCAATTGGCCTTAGAATCAATCTGCTACTGCCAAGTAACATAAAGAGCAGCAGCAAGAGCAATGCAGGGGTGAAGAAGGCATCAGAAGTAATGGCTGGCCAGTCACTGGCGGCATGAGGTGGAAAAGAACATCAAAGCTGCCCTGTGATGATCCTTTCAACCTCTGATGCCTGAGGTTGCTGCCACTGCTACAGAAAGCAACAGAAAATAAGTCTGCATTTTGAAATCTTCTCTCGTTTCTGGCAAGGGGCAGCTAGGAGGCAGACACAAAGCAGAGAAATAAGCTTCTTTCTCTCCTTTGTCTACCCCTCTTCCTCCTCCACCACCCCGTTCTGTGGCTCTGGGAAGCATGAGAAATGTTTCCTTCTTAGGCTTCCTTTAGTAGAAGATGGTGCTTGGGAACCACTCAAGGGATGGGAGGGAGGGAGTTTATGGAGCATTCACACACACACACACACCACCTTTTTTATCAGTGTTTTAACGTTGATTTAAAAGAATTAAAGCTGGAAAACAAAAATAAAAGCCAATAAAAGTGAAATTATAAAAGCAAAACATAACTAAAGATTGTAATAATGTTTTAACGTGACCAGATAAATAAAGAAGTTTTTTTAAATCAAATTTTTTAATTGATTTTCACATTTATCACATAAAAAATACAAAAAGATAAAAAAGAAAAACATTAAATAAAGAAGTTTTTGCCTGGCGCATAAAATATAGTAGAGTTGGTGCCAGACATGTCTGTCTGAACAAACCTCACCTCTGATGGAGGTGGGATTTAGATGAAGGCCACTGGCACAAGATCTCGGCGTGTAGGCAAGTTGATATGGAAGGAAACAGCAGCACCCCTTGAAGTACTGTATTATTACAACTCACAATGTAAAAAACTGAGACAAAGGTAAAGTTGAAATGTTAGAGGTTAGCCTTACTAAGGTTTAGCGCCTGTTTAGAAATGTCTTTGAAAAGATTGGGGCTGATTCTGAAAAGTGTGTTCTGTATTTTACTTTTTATTTTTAAACAGATACATCGGCAATCGGTTTCAGAATGATAATATGTTTATAGTCATTTAGCTAATGGCAATGGGTTTATTTTAAAACTTTGGGTTGTTTTTTTCCCTCCCCTTCAAGGTATCAAATTTCGCCTCCCTGTTTGCTCAAGCACTGCCACGGGATGCCCACTCAACTCCGTATTACTATGCTCGGCCCCAGAGCCTTCCTTTGAACTACCAAGACCGGAATGCTCAGTCTGGCCAGAATTCTGCCAGTATGGGGAGTAGTGGAATCAGCAGCCTCGGCATGTATGCCCCGAATGGGCCAACACCAACCCCGCAGTCATTTCTTCCAGGGTAAATGAACATTTTTCATGTTGCCGATAACCGTGCAGAGAGACCTGTTTCAGTGTTTAGCAGTCAGAGGTGACAGTGAAGGCTTGCTGTTCAACGAAACTGGCCTGCATGGCAGTTGTCCTCTTAACCTTGTACCGTAGGTCAATTTGACTTTTATTTAAGCTTATTCTATATCCTGCATCTCAGTGCTTCTTAGGGTGGCATATGCTAAAATAGCAAAATCAATGGCAGGTCCAAAAAAAGATTAAAGAAAGCAGCAGTTAGAACAAACAGCGGAAACAACAGAGCAATAAAAACATTTCAGAGGGAATTAAAGCTGTTACAATTATGTTTTGAAAGACATCCAAGTAGTTTCCAGGCAAACCTATATGGGAAGAAGATTCCATAGATAGGTCACCACTGCTTAAAAGACCCTCTCCAGTCACTGTCCTTCAGGGTTGGTGGAACTGCTGTAGATAATATACCTAAGACCAGACTTCCTCAAACTGGGCCCTCCAGATGTTTTTGGCCTACAACTCCCATGATCCCTGGCTAGTAGGACCAGCGGTCAGGGATGATGGAAATTGTAGTCTCAAAACATCTGGAGGGCCGAGTTTGAGGAAGCCTCCCTAAGACCATACAATGATTCAAAGTAGTTATGGGGGGAAGCATCTGAGGGGTAAATGCACTTACCTGGGAGAAAGCCCCATTGAACTTAGCAAGACGTGCTTCTGAGTAAATGTGCATAAGACTGTATTGAAAGTCTTATTGTTCAAAGGCAGCTATCCCCCCTCTCTCTGGACCACACTAGTGTTGTCTACAAGACAACACAGAGACACTCTGTCTTCTGCTAGTCAGAGATTATGTAAAACAGGAGTCCAACCTTAATACTTGGTTAGAGTATGAAGAAAGTAAACAGTTCTTAGCTGAATTTCAAGAAGACTGGTAATTCTTTGGACTCTGCTAGACTGGTAAAGAAAAAGCGATTTATATGCGTTGTTTGTGCAATATAACATTGTGCCACCAGATGGCGACATGGAGTCCCGTTTTTCTCTACCTGTTTTCCCTGTTTAAATTTACAATGCTTTAAACTGAAACACTTCTTTGATGTGTCCAGATCCAGCCTTTGTTCTTGGGGTAACAGTTACATTTCCTTAGCAGATAGCCTTTGTAGCTTGCCAGTTTGCTTTCTTTCATGAACAGAAATTGATTCAGCTGCTGAAAGGAAGTTATGGTTCTTTATAAGTCACCTTTTGATATACTTGCTAACTCCCCCTCCCTGATACCTTCTAATGAAGGCAAGTGCAAGTATAGCTAGGGAAAGGAAAAAGAGAGAGAGAGGGTATATAAAAGCGGCCAGTGTGGTGTAGTGGTTAAGAGCGGTAGTCTCGTAATCTGGGGAACCGGGTTCGCGTCTCCGCTCCTCCACATGCAGCTGCTGGGTGACCTTGGGCCAGTCACACTTCTTTGAAGTCTCTCAGCCCCACTCACCTCACAGAGTGTTTGTTGTGGGGGAGGAAGGGAAAGGAGAATGTTAGGCGCTTTGAGACTCCTTAAAGGGAGTGAAAGGCGGGATATCAAATCCAAACTTCTTCTTCGATGTGTTCATAATTACTGGTACTTGTTTATTTATGGCTTGCATATCGTGCCTTTCCTCCAAAGAGCTGGATTTCAGGCAAAATTTTTGCTTGAAATCATTGGATGACAATTGGGTTTGCTCCAGCACCAAGGCAGAATTTTTGCAACGTGGCATTATCCCAAAGTGCCACGAGGAAGTAGTCATCACATTGGGGATAGCACTACATCTTGGCTATGAGGTCAAGCTACTAGAATATCGAAGGAAGAGGCTTCCAAACTTTGTACACCAAACTAGTGGTTTGTGCTTATGGTTCAGCTTTTTTTTTTGGGGGGGGGGGGGGAACCAGCATTTTCTTCTCCTGCCTTTAAGTTCCAGGGAATTCAGGAAGAATTGTGGTTGCTCTTGCTTGCTTTTCCTTCTCAATACCTCACAGTGGCACTGCAGGCACATTGCCACCTGCAAATTCCTTTCATGGGACCTTATAAGGGAAAAGAACTGATTTTTAATGTGAACTCCTATGAAGCCCGTAGCTGCCCTATGCCACTAAGGGAGCTAACTCTCAACCAGTGCTTCTGGGTGACTAATCCTAGTGCTTTTTTTCCTATTGGTTTCCCAGAGGTTCTGTCAGCCAATAAGGGCACATGAGCCTTCCATAAGGACAAAAGGGGTGTTGAGATCTGGCCCTTCCTCTCTGCCCAGAATAAATTTATTCCATAGGTTATGGGAGGCTTTTCTACTCATTTTCACTTCTAAACCACCATATTGGGATGGGGTGATAACAGATTTTAGGTGCTTGTAGAGAGAGCTCTGAGGTTATGTCTGGAAGATCTTTGTTTTCATTAACAACATTCTAGGATGTTGTCCTGAGGGGCGATGACTGGGAGAACTGAAAATCTATCTTACTTTTTAATTCCCATATTTTTGAAATACCATAGGCAGTTGTCCCGCTTTCCTGAAACTTGCAGCTCAATTTTGAGATCCAAGAGTGCAAAAACAACATCAACAACTTTCAGGGATGTCCTATCTGGTCTGAAATATATTTTCCTGAACAACTTGTTTCAGAAATGTTTGGTGTTGGATAAGTTTTAATAAGCTTACAGGCTTATCTTGCTGCTCTTGATCTGGGAAGCTGGCTTGCCCTTTCCCATGGTATATCTTAGCAACTTGACCCTGACTGTACCCAAAATAAGGTGCTAACCCAAATATGATGATGCTTATCCATGAGAATTCAAGGTAAGAAACATCTGTTTCCACGAGTCGGGCTGAGTTACTAAAATAAAATAAGAGCAATTGCTTTGCTATCTGCATTGACCTATTAGAGGTGTCAGAACATTAAACTGAAGCAACTTTTGGGCTGTTCTCAAAATTGTAGAACAATCATGGGGACCCTGCTGATGTGAGAGACCCTTTATTTTTATGATTGTTTTAGAAATTAGCAATTTTCCCACTGCAAATATTTACCAGGAATTATTTTCAAATGATTCTTTTGTACTTGCAGGGCTGCATTAGCCTTAGTTGGAAGTCATCTGGCTCTGAATGGGTAGTAGATATTTCTGAGGTGCTTTATGCACTCTGTTGCAACATTAGTAGGCATGCAACCTTTTCTATATAACTGTCAAGAACTGCAAAATGGTGAATTTCTAAATGCATTATCAAAGATACTTGGCCATGATAATGCCTTCTGCATCTGCCAATTTTTTTGAGCTGAAATTTTGCAGAAATATAAGTAATTTTGCTATAAGTAAGACAACTCAATAGCTACATTATAGCTTTTATTTCCGCAGACAATCCTATCAACGTGCAGGCGTGGGAGATTGCCTTCGGCAGCAGCTGGGGGCACGACTTGCCTGGACTTTAACCGCAGGCCAGCCTACATTACAGAACTCTACCTCAAAAGGGCTCTCAACCACTGTTTCACGTAATCTGCCAAGGTCAAGGCGGGAAGGGGACATAACGGGTGAGAAAAATATATTTCATTGTTCATTCTCTGTATTCTTGCGTCACAGTGCTTAGCTCAGATTGGGATGTTTCTGCTTTGACCTTGATACCAGCTGATAACAGTTCCCAGGAAAATTGTGTACACACAGGTTCTGCTATAGGAACGCTAGTTGTCTGAAATCTTAGCTACCTGAACACAAAGAATCATACCCAAACCTTACTACACAAACGGCTGATTCAGGTATCTCCAAATAGCTGGAGTCTGCCCACTTTCTTCCTCCTGTGTTTTGCTAGTCAGCACAGAATGAATATATATACATATATATATATATATATGTATGTATTCTCAAAAGAAAGTCTTAATAAGTTCATTGGAACTTACTTCCAAGTAAGAGGGTATTGGATTGCAGCATAAATATACCGCCCCAGTATTCAGATATTTCCTGAGGCTCAAACTATATGAAGCTTCATTTTTTTTACCCATTAAAAATAACAAAAACAAAACAACCAGCAGAAAACCAAAAGTAATTTAAGGGATTAAGTTGAGGAATGACAGTTTGGGGTAAATGCATCTGCACCTATTTCTCACTTCGCTCCCTGTACCCTGACTGTAGGTATAAAAATAGCTTTGGGGAGGCACTTTTGAGCTGAAGAACAGTTGGAAGGGAAAGGGTTAAAAAAACACCCCAATCTCTGGCTTAAACTCCAGCGTTGTAAGGCTGCTTTGAGTTATTTAGATGATGTCATTTCACACTTAGTTTGAACCCTAGTCTAATAATGAGACTATACCCCACGGCAAACTGTTTTTGAAACCTAAGTGATTTTGTGTGGCTCCGAAATAAGTTATTTGGGCCTTTGTTTCATAAAAGAAATGGCTAATGTGCTAAGAACCAAAGTCACCTAAGTGTGCTCTGCCACCACTGGGGGAGCACCCATAAAGTGGTGCTGGGACACTGAGGTTGACCTCTCAATTTGAGCATGTATTTTGGTTATCTTGGATAACTCTTCCCGTGTTCCAGAAACTATTTTTATAGGCATCATTGAAATTGATGGCTCTGCCTCTTATGGGCATCATCCTGTGCTGAGATCATCAGTTGGCTTTCTGCCTCTTCAGTTTTGTTTCCAATTGCTCTCTTACAGGACTCTGGAAGAAAAAGGCTAAGCATGGCATTTGCCCACTTCTGGAGTTAGGTGGTGGGGAGGGTTTTGCTTCAGTGCCCGAGCTACATATATTTAAATGTGGATATATAGATTTTTTTATTTAAAAATGCATTAAATTTATGATTTCACTTCAAAACCATTTTTGTTTACGTTTAAAGTGCAAAGTGATTCTGATCATATTGCTGGAAATCAGTATCAACACTATGCACTCTAAAGAAGATAAGCTGAATTTGTATAGATGTGTAATAAAGTGGAATTTGTCACTGAGGGTGGTATCAAATATTAGGCATTATAACAGTTTATCCACTGCCTTCACTGAACTTAAGTATCTTTAGTCCATTGACTGTAAAGGGGCTACCCTGAGTACAGTTGTACCTTGGAATTCAAATGGAATCCGTTCTGGAAGTCTGTTTGACTTCCAAAGCATGGCTTCTGATTGGATGCAGGAAGCTCCTGCAGCCAATCAGAGGCTGTGGAAGCCCCGTCAGATGTTCGGCCTCCAAAAATAGTTTGCAAACTGGAACAGTCACTTCTGGGTTTGTGGCATTCGGGAACTAAGCTGTTTGAAAACCAAGGTATGACTGTATGCCTAAGTATTTAAGAACAATACTAGAAGGTGCCTGGTATAATCTCACTACGACAAATTATAGTTCATTCTTGCACTAACCCAATCATTGGTACATTTTTCATTTAGAAGAGAGGTTAGTTTTTTAAAAGCTGGCTGTAAATGACCTTGTAGAACACTCTTGAGTTTTCTCAGTAACTTTCCGGAAAAAATTATATTGCATAAAACATTTTCTTGCCTTCCTCTGCAAAACCTGCACTTTGACAATCTAATGGAGTTCCTCTATTTTTAGCCCTCATCACCCTTAAAACCTGGTTGATATTGTGGTGCCACAGATACAGTATGATGTGAATAGAACCTTGGACAGCAGTGGCTTACACAGACAGCGGGTGGTGAGGGGGGAGGGGAGAAACCATCTCCATTTCTTAATTTATTGTGTTTATGTTGTGCCAGTAAAAAAAACATTTATTCATTCTGTCTGGCAAGATGTAACAGAAGGAACAGATGCATTCTGCCATTATATTATGTAGCTGCTACTAAATAAATTCATATTCCAAATTAAGGCCTTTTTTAAAAAAGAAAGCAGATGGGTTTTGTGCACGTATTGAGTATGGGAGAAACTCCTGCCTGTAACTCTGCAGAGCTGCTGCCAGTCTGTGTAGGAAGTACTTAATTAGACCAATGGTCTGACCTAGGAACATAGGAAGCTGCGTTTACAAAGTCGTTGAAAACGTTGGCGTAAAGCTCATCACAAAGTGTCATAAGCTGCTCGTTCAATGAGGTACCTAAACCCCCCAAGAGTCTTTTTTTGGAGGCTATTACAGGTAATACTTTGGGTTATAATGTCCGCTTTTCCAGTCGCAAAGAGTGGTTATGCATGTAGAAACATCCCAAAATTGGGGCTACTAGGAGTTACGTTTGACTCGTTGCATGAATTTTTAAACTGGCCCAAGGCTGTAAAGTATTAAGTTTGCTTTGTTTACGTACATGTGGTGGTTATTTCCGTAGCAAAAAATATTTGAAAAATTGGATATGACTTTGTCTGAAATATTGATTTGGTTTTAGATAGCAAAATAATGGTAAATCTGGAACTGTGCTCCTGTTTGCTGACTCACTTTAGGACTGGAATTCTATGCAGTTATACCCGGAAGAGATGCAGGTGGCGCTGTGGTCTAAACCACAGAGCCTAGAGCTTGCCAGTCAGAAGGTCAGCGGTTCAAATCCCCGTGACGGGGTGAGCTCCCATTGCTCAGTCCCTGCTCTTGCCAACCTAGCAGTTCAAAAGCACATCAAAGTGCAAGTAGATAAATAGGTACTGCTCTGGTGGGAAGGTAAACGGCGTTTCCGTGCGCTGCTCTGGTTCGCCAGAAGCAGCTTAGTCATGCTGGCCACATGACCCAGATGCTGTCTGCAGACAAATGCCGGCTCCCTCAGCCTACAGAGCAAAATGAGCGTCGCAACCCTAGAGTCGTCCACGACTGGACTTAACGGTCAGGGGTCCCTTTACCTTTACCTTTATACCCTGAAGAATGGAGCTAGGTTGATTGAACTCAGTGGGTCATATTTCGAACTAAATATAGTTAGGCTTTGGCTGTTAAAATGGCAAACATAATTCTTAAATATCCTGCATGTAGCTTAATCTGTTTGTTTCCCCCCACTTTTCAGGCTCTGTTGAAATAACAGAGGCATATCTTGTGAGAGACATTTTATACGTCTTCCAGGGAATAGATGGCAAAATCATCAAAATGTTCAATTCAGAGAACTGTTACAAAGTAGACGGAAAGGTACAGTAGAGATCTTACACCTGTTTTATATAGATAGTCTGCACACAGGGAGAGGGAGGGGAAACTGTTCAGTATATCCACTCTTTTCAATTATTCTTTTGCCTTGGTTTTAATTTTGCTTTTTTTTAAAATGTTTCTATCATTGTTGGCATCTAAGGCAGTTGGCAGTAAACCAGTAACATAAAAACAACAGATAAAAATCAGAAGTGCACTTAATACACAGTTAAATGGTAAAAGGAACAATAAAAAATATCCCTAAAAGCATTATTAACAGCAATATTATGAGCAGCATTCTCATCCCATCCACCCCCAGCAAAAAGCCCCACAGTGAATTAAATCATTACCAAACAAAAGCCCAAAAGAACAGACTTTGCCTGGTGTCTACAAGATAGCAACAATGTCCTTGGAAGGGCATTGAACATTTGGCCACAACCACAGAACCACCTGTTCCCATACGAATCTCTACAGCAGCCGAAATTTATCAGAGGCTTTTTTTCCAGGGAGTTTTATCTGTGGAGTTTAGGAGGGTAGTTTATAGAAATACCCTGTTCTTCAGATAGCCCTGTATTTAAAAAGCTCACTTCAAGCTGTCAACCCACATGAGTGAGATACTTTTTTAAAAAATTGATTACTTATACATAATCCAGTCAAGCAACAGTGTATAGAGGGAAATTGGAGGTAGCCTGAGGGAGAGAGTTTAGTTATGAGTATTTGAGAGAGGCATTCCTTCTTTAAGGGTCAGTATATAAAATGTGAGGATTACTTCAGGAGCCACAAACGTAACTGAAGGCTGCTTCCCATAGAATGATTTATACTGAGTCATGGGAAGTAGTTGAAATCTACCCATTTGGAGACAATAGTGCTTTCTAGGAATAAAAAGAAGATAGAGAACCAATAATAAACTGGTCCAGGGAGCACAGGAGGCTGGCACAGGGAATCTAGCCCTCCAGATGTTGGACTTCTTCCTTGACCATTGGTCATGCTGCCTAGGGCTGATGAGGGTTGGAGCCCAACATCTGTAGGGCCACATGAACCATCCGGACTGACTTGTTTAATTTGCTTAAAACATTTTTACTCGACTCTTAAGGCAAAAAAGACTCTTAGAGCAACTTACAAAATCTGTAATAACACAATTCATAGCTGCAAGCTTACAATTTAGAGAGCAGGACAAAAGTAGAGAATCCATTTTGAGTCTTGCCGTAACAGATTTATAGTGGATATGGAAATATCTGGCATAAGACCTGATTTGTTATCATGCCTGGTTCTGTTCCTCATTTAGAAGTAACTGCTTAATAGAATATTCTTTCTGTTGAAGATCAACAATACCGAATGTGATCAACACCTTGTCAGATTCTAGTAGAAAATTGGATTTATGCCTTACCTTGCTCATTAGAGCTTGTTTCATCCTACACTTATTTAATGCCAGTCTTCCAACTATTTGTTCATCATTTATTTCTTAACACTTTAGGTGAGCATTTCCAAGTCTCTGAGAGATACAACAAGCCGGCTTGCTGAATTAGGGTGGCTGCATAACAAAATAAGAAAGTATACTGACCAGAGGAGCGTGGAACGTGCATTTGGATTAGTGGGTCAGGTATGTGGGCAAAACCCAGAAGTCTTCAAAATATTTGGTTTTGTTTATTTTGTTTGTTGTTGTTGTTTTGCTTGACAGGATGTTACTGGTGTGTCAGATCTGTTGGTATGGGATGAGAGACCTGGCAATAGGCAGGAAATAACACTAGAACTTGTGGACCTCCAGTGAAGCGGAATATTGGAATATTGACGACAAATAAAAGTAGTTCATGCCACACACGGTTGAATTATGGAACTTGCTCCCACTGGAGGCAGTGATGGCACCAACCTGGATAGCTTTGAAAGAGGATTAGGCAAATTCATGAAGAACAAGACTGTCAGTGGCTACTGTCCTCAATTGTAATGTTCTACCTCTGTTGTCAGGGACGTGGGTGGCGCTGTGGGTTAAACCACAGAGCCTAGGGCTTGCTGATCAGAAGGTCGGCGGTTCGAATCCCCGCGACGGGGTGAGCTCCCATTGTTCGGTCCCAGCTCCTGCCCACCTAGCAGTTCGAAAGCACGCCAGTGCAAGTAGATAAATAGGGAAGGTAAACGGCGTTTCCGTGCGCTGCTCTGGTTCGCCAGAAGCGGCTTAGTCATGCTGGCCACATGACCCGGAAGCTGTACGCCGGCTCCCTCGGCCAATAAAGTGAGATGAGTGCCACAACCCCAGAGTCGGCCACAACTGGACCTAATGGTCAGGGGTCCCTTTACCTTACCTCTATTGTCAGAGGAATCATGCTTCTGAATACCAGTTGATGGAACCACAGGTGGGCAGAGTGCTATTGCACTCAGCTTGCAGGCTGCCCACAGGCATCTGGTTGGCCACTGTGAGAACAGAATGCTGTACTAGATAGCCAGCTGGCCTGATCCAGCGGGTTCTTCATCTCTTCTTATTATGCAGAATGAGGCAACAGTCTCAGGTGCTGGGATGGGGAGCAGAAGCACATGGGGGAGGGTTTCTGGTGTGGATCTTAATGCACAGGTTGGTTTGTGCTGGGAGAGACGTTCTGTTAGGTATTGTGGTCCCGAGCCATATAGTTTGAAACCCACACTTTGAATTGGGCCAGAAAATACATAGGCAGCCGCTGCAGTTGGGCCAGAACAGTTTATATGTGGTGTGATCATCTGGGCCCAGTGGTTATTCTGGCTGCTGCAACGGTGCAGTAGCTCCTGTTTCTGAATGTCTTTAAAGGCAGCCCATGTACAGCCTTAATTGCAGTCATTTTTGTTATGGGTTTTATTTGAGTTTATTTTACCAGTTTCTCATTTGGTTTGATTTTGTATTTTGTCCAGGACACTTACTATCTCATAGCTGTCAACTTTTCCCTTTTCTTGCGAGGAATCCTATTCGGAATAAGGGAATTTCCTTTAAAAAAAGGGAAACGTTGACAGCTATGTACTATCTGTACATTTCCAATGAATGAACGCAGTTATAGTTTAGTGGCATATTTTATCTTAATAACTCTGCAGGAGTTTTCTTTTTATTAGTCACCCAGTGGCTCTTTATACTCCCCACCCCATTGAACTGAAACATTTCATGCCTCTTGGGAGTGCTTTTGTATGACCTATTGAATTTCAAAGGTTAACTTGCTGTGAAGTTTATCCAAAGACCCAAAATCAGTGGTCAGGTTGTATGCAAGTCATTCAGAGCTCTTTAGAATGTATATTAACTGATGCCTTTTGTTCTTGTCTTACAGAGTTTTTGTGCTGCCTTAAACCAGGAACTCAAAGAATACTACAGGCTACTGTCTGTTTTACACTCACAGGTAAATAATTACTTCTGTTTTTTTGCTTGAGTCCAACAAGTTAGTTGAAAATATGACTTTATAAACTATTTTCATCTGTAACAGGCTTGTAAAATAGCTACTCACTTGTGAAGAACAAGACCTGATTCCAGGATAGCACATTTTTGTAACTTTGGCTCTTCTTTATGTTTCCTAACATACTCTATATGTTGCTTATGTTGTTTTGCATGGGCAAATGAGCCTGCAACCCTTTTCCTTATTTGAAAGTTTGCTATGTAATACTTCCCACGTATTTAGCTAACAGAAATGTTTGCAAAATTATGTTACAATCATACTGCTTTTACAGTAACACTGTTGAAACTTTATGGTGAACTCTTACAAAAGAATTTTTTTTTCTTTCAGAATTTTCTCACTGTCCTGCCATTCATCATTTTGTATTTATCTGCTCTTTGATTTATTTTCAAATTATAGCTTTCAGCTACCCTTCCCTTTCTTTATATTACAACTGTAACATTTCTTTCAATCTAAGCATTATTTTTTAAAAATGCCAAAACATATTAGGCATGTGTATATCTGGGGTTAGAAATTAAAGCTTGTAGTAGAGGAAAGCTTGAAGGGCTTCTATTATTGATTAAATCTTCTTTGCCCCCTGTTGTTCTTAGTTGCAGGTAGAAGATGATCAAGGTGTAAATTTGGGGATTGAGAGTAGTTTAACACTTCGGCGTCTCTTAGTTTGGACATACGATCCTAAGATAAGATTGAAGACACTTGCAGCACTTGTTGACCACTGTCAAGGTTTGTCGGTAGATATTTACAGCTACACACGGTGTGAAAATGAATGTTAAAATGGTAGGAGCTCTTCCGCTTTGAAATATGATTTCCAGGAAATTGCATTAATAGTATTACTATTGGGAGGGGTGTGTGTGTGCAGAAATGGATGAGTCCAAGAACCTTTACATGTAGATATCATTCCAGTGGATATAGATGGAGTTAACTTACTGTTCAAATAATGCCATTTATCTCTGTAGCTGAAAGCACTGCATGCATTCATCATAACTTCTTTTTACTACGTATAATTACCCTTATGGTGGCAATATTGTTTTGCATCTCATATATTTTGCATTTAAAAGTGAGATTATTACATGGTTGATTTAAGACTGTTCATCTCTATTAGTGACTGAGGGAGTATTTTGGTAATCGGTATAAGCTTTAAAGGCAGGCACTGGATGAGTGCTCATAATCTCTCATGTTTAAGGCATGGGCTTTGGGAATACATGCTTCCTGCCTTCCCCTTCTAGCCTGGACTGTAACTACATGTTATGGTGGCTTCCACCGGAAAACAGCCACATTTGCTTGTTTGGGACCCTGAAGGAGCTCCCTCCCACAACTGTCTCTGCAGGCAGGCAAGGTTAAAAAGTACTGAAGTCTTGGTTCACCTTACCTTTCCCTGCCATCCTGAGAAATAGAATGCCTAGCTTCTGGCTACCAGGTACGATGCCATAACCCCTTTCTTCCAACAAAGAACTATGGCTGTTGAAGGCAGCATGTGTTCCTGTGATCTGCTGTTAACCATAGTTAAGGCCGCTGGCCCTAGGAAAGATTGTTTAGCAGAATACAGAAGCTATCCTCACTTAACCTCACAAGATGTAGATTGCTCTCAAAATTTTAAAGGAAGTGTGTTTAGTTTCCATTTCCATTTTCCCTTTTTTGTATTCTGTCTATAAGACGCCCCCATGTATAAGATGCCCCCTATTTTTGGGGACTCAGATTTAAGAAAATGGGGGAAGATATATCTGTGTATAAGACGCCCCCTAATTTTTTGACATTTTTAGGGAGAAAACCTAGTTTTAAACATGGAAAAATATGGTATATGCATTTTTGCTTGCAGCCTGCCCTTCCCAGAGATCCAGGTGACAAACCTGCCAACCCCATCTTTATGATGGGGAAGATGCCAGCGTATTATTTTTTTCCTCCCTGTCTGTTAGGATAGTTGAAGATAGGGAGAGGCACTCTAGTTGCTTCTTTGACCCCTTATTAAAAGTATGGAGGCAGGGGGCATATTTTCATTCTGCAGCACAGGTGAGGAACCTGTGGCCCTCCAACTATTGTGGAATTACAACTCCCATCAACCCCAACCAGCACAGTTAAGGGTCAGAGGTGATGGGAATTGGAGTCCAACAACATCTGGAGGGCCACATGTTTCCTACCACTGCTCTATAGCATTTGGGGGGGATACCCTGGCCAGTGGCTACTTCATCATGCTATCAGATCCACTTTCTCACTCAGTCCAGAAGCTCTCTAGAGGAACCAAAGAGCTGCCTTTCCATTCCCTGTCTTCCCATGTGGATGAAATAATTATGAAGCATTTCCCGCTCTAAAGAAGGCTCTAATGAAGTAGACATTAGTGCTCTGCTTCTTGTGCTCTGTGCGCTATTTTTACTTGTAGCTATGGCAATCCCTTAGCAATTTTGGTGCTCTTCCAACTTCTCTGAACTCTCGCAAAAGGAATATTAGGCACAATGGTAAATTTGCCTTTGAAGAACGCTCTTCAAACGCCAGATAGCTGCTTTGTAATGAAATTTGGTGTATGACAAAGCTGCAGATGTAGCATTAGTTTTCCAGGTAGGTGAAAATGTATGTTTAAGTTTTCCTCTGTGTGTCATGTTTCTCCAGGAAGAAAAGGTGGTGAACTTGCATCAGCTGTTCATGCCTACAGTAAAACAGGTGACCCCTACATGAGATCCCTGGTGCAGCATATTCTTGGCCTTGTGTCGCATCCTGTCTTGAATTTCCTTTATCGTTGGATTTATGATGGGGAATTGGAGGACACCTACCATGAAGTAAGTTCTATAAACTGTTCACTAACATGAGGTCTGCTTTCTGTTTCCCATTTTGTGTAAAACTAAGCCGCTGAAACACTTCTTTCACAATTGTGGAACTGAACTGTAGAAAATTAAGAGGAGACATGACTAGGCAGAAAAAGTTAACATTTATACTGGAAATAGAGTTGCATGTGAAGATCTTGTACATCACTTCAGTTTGGACACTGTGGCCAGAATCCAAAGAACCATGGGGTTAGTTTGGTGTGTCCAGTTCTTTGTGCTTGCAAAACAAGAGTCCAGTGGTAACAAAGGGACGCAGGTGGCGCTGTTGTCTAAACCACTGAATCTCTTGGGCTTGCTAATCAGAAGGTTGGCGGTTTGAATCTGCACAATGGGGTGAGTTCCCATGGCTCTGTCCCAGCTTCTGCCAACAGTTTGAAAGCACACCACTGCAGGTAGATAAATAGGTACCGCTGCAGTGGGAAGGTAAACGGCGTTTCCATGTGCTCTGGCACTCGTCACGGTCTTCCGTGTGCCAGTAGCAGTTTAGTCATGCTGGCCACATGACCCGGAAAGCTGTCTGCAGACAAATGCCAACTTCCTTGGCCTGAAAAGTGAGATGAGCACCGCAACCCCATAGTTGCCTTTGACTGGACTGAACCACCCAGGGGTCCCTTACCTTACCTTACCTTACCAGTAGTAAAATATCACAGGTAGAACATGCATTTTGTTTCATTCTTAACTATGCCAGCATTTCTTAATGGCCTGGTGTTAAATCTTTGGTGAAGTAGCAAATAAGTGGTCAGGATTGACTATACCAGCTGACTAGGAGCAGTGTAGTAAGTCACATGTCATTGCTTTGGGCTGAAGCATTCATTCCCACATAAATCTGGTAAAGAAGAGCCAGCCATAGATTTGAGATGTGACTTCAGTTTATGCCCAGGCCAGACTAGACTTAGATGATCATTTTACCCTGTACTGCTTTTTTTGCATCAGTGAGATCAGTTTTTACAATATAAACTTCTTTGGAACTTTTATCAACAAAATAAACTTATATGAGTTGTATAAATCCCTTGGGTGAAAGCCCCAATAAACTCTACTGTAGTGACTATATTCTAGCGAATACGACCCCTACAATAAGCTTGTCATATAGCGCCTTTAGAAAAAAGAGAGGTTAATTACAATGGGGCATATGAATGTGTGGGTTCCCCTCCATCATATCCTAGCACTTACCCTCTGGGATACTGATTGCCTTTGTAAACAAGCTCTTAATTTCCCCGTAAGAAAATCACCCTTTTTATCTGTTGGTTGGAAGGCCTTGGCATTTGTTCATCAGTTAGATTGTACCATGATTTCCCATTTCTCCTGCACTCCTTTCTATACAAGATATAATAACAAAACTCAAAGAACCTTGAATGGGTACAGTGAATCAATAAAATAATTATATTGCAATTATGTTCTGACCTTGGTTTCCTTCACCCTTCCCAAGATCTCGTTTTCACGGGATTAATTATAAAATGCTCTTCTCTCTCTTTGTATTTTTTACTAGATGTTTTCTAAATACATTAATTGCATGTTACTTTGCCCTGGTTATAAAATGAGGGCTTTTATAACTCCCAAAGATGATTGAATTGTCTGATGGATTTTGAAATTATATTTTTCTCATTAATACTCCAATTAAAGCTCTATGCCAGTTGCCAAAGGGTAACATGGTATGGTAATAAATTTAAGAAGCTGATTTTTTGATTATTATTTTTTAAAAATGCATGTTATATCTGCTTTTTTATATTAATGCATTAGTATTGTTTTCTAGCATAGTTGTCATGTTTTCAAGTTTTACATCTGGTTTCTAGGGCACTTTTGAATGAATCTACCCCTGTTCTCTTCCCCATTGCCTCCATGCATACCTTGTTTGCACCTGGAACATAACAGCTGAACAAGGAAATGTCACATTTACTCATGCAGTTGGCATTATATACAGTTCTACCTAGGGTTACATACGCTTCAGGTTACATACGCTTCAGGTTACAGACTCTGCTAACCCAGAAATAGTGCTTCAGGTTAAGAACTTTGCTTCAGGATAAGAACAGAAATCGTGCTCTGGTGGCACGGCGGCAGCAGGAGGCCCCATTAGCTAAAGTGGTGCTTCAGGTTAAGAACAGTTTCAGGTTAAGAACAGGCCTCCAGAACGAATTAAGTACTTAACCCGAGGTACCACTGTAATGAGCTGTATTGGAAGTGCTGTTATAGCGAAGTCATTGCTGTGCCATTCTTATGTGACTAATGTATTTTGGTTCAGATTGCACTGTATCACACTGCTAAATGATTTTAGCATATGCCACCTTCAGTAAACAACTCTGAGACACTTGATCCACTCTATGTTTCAGATCCATGTGTTTCAGTATCAAAATGCTGCTGACCTGAAACAGTGGGGTGCAATGAACTTACAAATTATTTTAAAGTGCATTAGTAGCTTATAGCTAGCAGGTTGCTTAGGTGAATTTTCTTGGTGGGTCTTAAAAGACTGGTTATTGTCTATACTGTGGTTCACGTTTAATTGTACGTATTAGAACAAACAGCTGGTGGTGTTTTATACATTATGCACATAACATCCCAGCTGATACTATTCCTGATAGCTTTCGAAAAGGAAGGTTTCTGTCTCTACCTAAGTGATGTCTCTCTGATTCTCTGTCTTAAAATGTATACATAACACATGCTTTTTTAAAAAAAAATTAAGTATTTTTAAATTTTGTGTTCACAGTTCTTTGTAGCTTCAGATCCCGCAGTGAAAACAGATCGGTTGTGGCACGACAAATACACATTGCGGAAGTCCATGATTCCTTCTTTTATTACAATGGATCACTCAAGAAAGGTATGAAGGAAAAGGACTTTCCCCCTTATTTCTAGATCAACCTTTTCAGCTATTAATAACAGACATACAAGTGCAGAGGGGACCATTCTTTGTACTTTAGACATAAGTATGACTCCAGACAGGGGCACAGTGAATCAGAATTCATACAAATAGACCTTTCTTAGCACTCAGTCAGTCATGTTATTTGTATATTGTACTGCTTTTCCAAAGTTGAAAACCATGATCACGGTAGCTTGCTGTATAAAAAATTATGTATAGACATGACAAAAGTAATCATAACAATGAATAAAACATCAGAAAGTACAGAATTAAATCGAACTATTTCCACATAGAATCATAGAGTTGGAAGAGACCACAAGGGCCATCGAGTCCAACCCCCTGCCAAGCAGGAAACACCATCAAAGCACTCCTGACATATGGTTGTCAAGCCTCTGCTTAAAGACCTCCAAAGAAGGAGACTCCACCACACTCCTTGGCAGCAAATTCCGCTGTCAAACAGCTCTTACTGTCAGGAAGTTCTTCCTAATGTTTAGGTGGAATCTTCTTTCTTGTAGTTTGGATCCATTGCTCCGTGTCCGCTTCTCTGGAGCAGCAGAAAACAACCTTTCTCCCTCCTCTATGTGACATCCTTTTATATATTTGAACATGGCTATCATATCACCCCTTAACCTCCTCTTCTCCAGACTAAACATGCCCAGCTCCCTTAGCCGTTCCTCATAAGGCATCGTTTCCAGGCCTTTGACCATTTTGGTTGCCCTCCTCTGGGCATGTTCCAGTTTGTCAGTGTCCTTCTTGAACTGTGGTGCCCAGAACTGGACACAGTACTCCAGGTGAGGTCTGACCAGAGCAGAATACAGTGGCACTATTACTTCCCTTGATCTAGATGCTATACTCCTATTGATGCAGCCCAGAATTGCATTGGCTTAAACCATAAGAAGATACAAAATAAAGATACAAAATTAATATAAATAATAAGAACAACACACCTCCACAACAAAGCCACCTAAACTATAAAGCAGCCCAAAAGTCTCTTCAGCAGCCTCAGCTTTTGTAGCTGGAGTCAGTAAGGGCCCCACCCTCCTAGGCCAGGTGGAAAAAATCCTGCAAGGCCTGGAGCAGGTCTTCACAGGACTCACACCCATGTATCATTTCTTATGGTAAATTATCAGATGATCTCTGTGTTGGCAAGAAACTAACCCCTAAACTGAGCTGAATGCTCCTGACTGTTGCTGACTTTGCTGTGGGCCTCCTTCATGGCTGCCTTTAACACTAGTGGGCCGATATGATAGGTGCTTCTCCTCACCTGTGATTTCCGTCAGAATATTTCAAATATCTCTCAGTCTAGAAAACACAGTTGGAATGCACAGCGGTTCTTTTGAATATGATTTGTTTTAATATCTGCCTTGGTTTGGTTTTTACATGCTGGTGAAAGCAAGCAGGGATAGCCTAGCCATGGTGATCCCACAAACCTCTCAGATGGATTACCATAATATGTGGGGTTGTCCTTAAAGATGACCTGCAGAACTCGGCTGCCAGAATATTGATGAGTGCAACCAGAGTTGTTCATGTTTATGCCTATCATGAGAGATCTGCATTGGCTGCTTGTTCAGTTTTGAACTAAGTTTAAGGTGCTGGTGCTTATCTTGGAACAGCCCTAAATGGCTTGGAACCCATATACATGCGGGAAGCACGTTCGCAACCCGCAGTGCCCGCAGCACTGCATCTGCGCATACGCAGGTTGTGTTTCGGTGCTTCTGCGCATGCGCAAAGCGCTGAAACCCAGAAGTAACCCGTTCCAGTACTTGCGGGTTTGGCGCGATGCACAACCCGAAGCATCTGTAACCTGAGGTATGACTGTACCTGAAACAGCACCTCTTCCCATACTAGCCTATCTGTGGCTTAAGATCTCCTGCAGTGGCCATGCACCAAGTATCCTCTTCATAAGAGGCATATTGCACTTCCACAAAAGAGGAGCCTTTTCTGCAATGGTCCCTTGACTTTAGAATGCCCTTTGGACGCCAACAGGACAAGCTTTTCAGCTTGCTCAGGCATTCTAGATTCAGGTGATTTTTGGACTTTTGTCCTCTTCTGCTTTTTAGGGTCTCTCCCCCCCCCCCTCCAGGTTTTCAATTCACTTTTTGTAAGTTTGCATTATGTTTATTTGTTGGGTGTAAATTGTATTTATACATTGTGTGAACATTAGTCACAACTGTCCTTGAATCTTTTGATGAAGGACAGTTGAGAAATAAAAATAGTGTGCTATTTATTTATGCTGACTTAGTAAGTGAAATATACTTGCTGAAAATGTACTGTTTCTCTTTATAAAACCTTTAAAGAATAACTTCTGAAGATGCCTTGCATTTATATTTAGGTTCTCCTAATAGGAAAATCCATAAACTTCTTGCATCAGGTTTGTCATGACCAAAGTCCATCATCAAAGATGATAGCTGCGGCCAAATCTGCAGAATCTCCAAAAGATGGTATGAAATTAGAATAAGAGTATTGTATCATTATGCACTTTGAGTGTCACATAACAGAATACCTGCTTTGTTTGTACACATCACTCTAGAAGAACCACATTAGCCTTGTTGATTTTGCAAATAATCTCTGCCTGAAACTATACGAAGTTCAAATGTGGGAGCTTTGTGGGGTGGGATCTTTGGCCAATGCACTGAGTAAACACTATCTTTGCAGTCTACATGGAATCTGTGAAAGAACCTTTAGTATTCCTGCCAACTTGGATGGCAACCCTTGGATAATTGTAGGATGTATGTAGGAAGTGCAGCCTTTATGGGAGAAAAGAGTGATACCTGTTTGTAAAACCCCAATATTGCATCGTACCACCTTTGAGGGGAGCTGTTTTTTGCACTTCTGGTATTGTACATCTACATGTAGGATGATTCCATGTGGGCATATGAAGTTGTTAGTACAAATGACCACTTCCCCATTGCATTGTGACTGTTACTGTTAAAATATAATCATGTGATGACTCCTACTGGGCAATTCAGTTTGATGCAGATTCCACCAAGTGGCATCTGAAAAATATACCATGTTCTAGGAAGAACTTGTATCTTGCTTTTTCGTAAGTCTCCTCAAATCTCTTCCTAACTTCTTATTTACATTTAATTGTTTAATTTGCACTAAAGCATTTTAGGGTATGCTTATAAGAAATGTGGCATTTGATAAGCACTACTTGGCCAGAACTTAGTGTCCATACTTTGATTATACCTTGCTTCTAAATGCAGCCACATGATTTATAATGTTCTGGTGTAGTGGTAGGTCGGTCTTTTTGTTCAGACATTGCTTGTTAGTTCAAGAAAGTCTTTGAGATAAGCTGCTAATAATAGAATTTTTATTTGTCCGATAAACATCTTCGGTACTTGATGAAAAATATAAGCATTTATTAAAATGAATCGTGTATTTTAAAAAGTCAGTTGCTCTTTCAACATTCCTTCAGCTTTCCTTTGCAGTGTCTAGTTTTTTTTAAAAGAAAATAATAATTTTGTGTTTACATTTTTACCAATTTAAGCTGCAATCTACACCCTCACCTGAAGTAAGTCCCACTGAAATCAATGGGGCTTTTCTGTAGACTGGTACAGGATGGCACGGGTAATAACTATTGCCTCAGTTCAGTTGTAGTCATGCTTTGCTGTTTGCAACAAATAGAGATGTGCAGTTCTATGTGGTCAAATGAGATCTGCTCTTTTGCCTCTACATCTGCTTGGGCAGATACCCCTTTAGCTAGCTTTAAGAAATAGTGAGTTATATAATGAATTGAGAGTGCATAGATCTTAATATTCCATTAGGTGGACGTTTTCTAGCCTTAATTACATTAATTTAGTAGCTTTTAAAAGTGAGCTTGATAAAAAGAGAGCAATGTTTTTCACAAAGATAATGACTGATTTTGCTTTGTTGTGGTCACCTTCTTAGACTGCAATCTTTTGTAAGCTTACCTGGAAGCAAACCCCTTTGAGCACAGTGGCACTTACTTGTGGCTAGATTATGCTGCACATCTAGTCCATCTCTTTATTCTTGGCTTCCTCCTATGGTTTGTTTGAAGAGAAGCAAACCATGAGTGCTGGTTTGCACGTAATGCTAAACCACTGCTGTGGCTTGTTTCCTTCCAGCTTAGCAAAAGGAAGAGCTGGGGGGGCACAATCTGAGTAGGGTGCACTAGCATTAGTATTGCAAAGCTACCTCTAAAATGTTTCTTACAGTTTAAGAATATGAAGTAGTTACTGTAGCTTTTGTGTTGATAGAATATTTTATTTCAGAAGATAACGCATTCTGAAAATTCTGCATTTAGGACCCTATAAAATTCAGGTGTATCCTATCCCTTCCCATTCCCTAGCAAGCCATGGTATTACTGAACTAATGTGTAGAAACTCAAGTCAATTATGTGTTTTCAGAGGTGAAATTTAGTAATTGTACACTGCTCTCATTTAATTATTTATATATATATATATATTAAAAGAGTACATATCTGCAGTCTTGGTAACCATTTTCTTCTTCTTGTAACAGCTGCTGAAATGTTCACAGATTTGGAAAACGCATTTCAGGGAAAAATAGATGCTGCATATTTTGAGACTAGCAAATACTTGCTAGATGTTCTCAATAAAAAGTACAATTTACTGGAGCACATGCAGGCCATGAGGCGCTACTTACTTCTCGGTCAAGGAGATTTTATCAGGCACTTAATGGACTTGCTTAAGTAAGTGAATGTGGATTGTAATGTTATTGAATTTAAATGTTTGTACTGGAAGAGAAGATTGATTGAAATCCAAAATAGGGTTTTGTTAAGCCTCTGGTCCAACAATAAAACTTATGATTAAAATACAAATGTACTTTATTGCTTCTATTAATATGTTCAGTGTTGTGTTATGCTGCTTTAGGTTCAGTATATAGTATTAACAAAGCTATGCTTTAGCTTTTATATTGGGTAATATTTGGTTCTTTCAGGTTCTAAGTGGAACAGAATTGCCAGATGTTGAAAAACACTGCTCTTCCACAAATAAATGGTATTGCTAGTGTTGTGTCCAACAAAGCCATTCCAATGGGACTTCCCCTCCCTCTCTTCTCCCTTCACACCCAAATCTGCTCTGGGTGGTTAGGGTTTGGGGGTGCATGGGGGAGAGGTTGGGGAAGTTCCACTGCCCAAGCAGAAGTCCTTGCACTAATGGAATAGCTGTTGGGTGCAACCTATAATCTTGAATTCTACATATGATATTGGGCTGGTTCCCATGTCACATTGAGCCACAGTGAGAAACAAACCATGGCTTGCCATGAGTGAGCAGTGTCCTGTTGTATGCTGCTCAATTCTTCCTGTTAAACGATTGACGGTTTTTGACTGAGGACTGCTTGACTGTTAAGGAGCAATTGAGCAGCATGCAAGGACACCCTTATTATTCACTATAAGCCATGGCTTATTTCTACTTAGTTTACCATGACATATGAACCAGTTCATTAAATGTATAATCTGTTCTTAAACCATGTCCATGCTTAATGGCCCCAAATTTAATGACTGTAAACATTATGCAACAAGACTTTTATGCACACATACATGAGGGTGGAGAACAGGTGTAATCTATTGCTTGACTTACTTAGCCTCAGACATAGTTGGCAGCATATTACAACTTTTGAAGGGCTGGGATGGGTTCTGCTCTTATCTCCTTCTCCCATTTCCCTTTCTATTGTGTCCTATCTTATTTAGGATTACCATCATTTTTATAACAGCACAAATCCTTTCAGTTTTTCAGTTATTTCAATGTGCAGGTGACTAAATACACACAAAGGAGATAGCTCAGTCAGTAGAGCATTAGACTATTAATATCAGGGTCGTGGGTTTGAACCCCACATTGGGCAAAACTTTCCTGCAATCCATCTCTACAATTCTGCGATTGCTGGAAATATTTTTGCTCTTTGCAGAGCAGTCATTTTAGTTTTTGTGTTCATTGTGTATGAGCATGGCAACAGCATCTCTGACTTGCATCTTCTATGTGCCTGACCTCCCATCTGTTGGTTGAATGTGTGCATAGTGTTCAGCTCCAGTTGCATTTTTAGAGTCTTGTGTGCATACGTTTAATTGATGTTGTGTCACAGTTGCGGTGTCCCTCCCCAACCCCACAAACAGAGTTTATCTGTTGAATAGGCTAAGGCCGATGAAGGGCAGGGCTCAAGACTACCAGTGGGTATCTCATTTTGTGTGAGCTGGCCTGTTTGTTGGAGAGGTAATGGGTTGCGCCCACTGTTCTGGAGAAACAGTAGCGAAGCCATAGACTTATAACTTAAAGTTGGTACTTTGCATTATTGTACAATCCCCAACCTTCAGCTTTTCCAGTTCTCTTTGTCTCATTCCACCTATAGGCTAATCTAGAAGTACTAGGGACCTAAATTCAGATTTGCTTGGGCTTTAACTATTCAGTAGCCGCTGCCACTGAATAACATTCTGATCAGCAGAAAGTGAAGACTGACCTTTGATGAACATATCAAAATATATTCATCTTAAATGTGCACTTAAATCTACAGCTTTTAAACTTAGATCCTGTATTTAACATCAAACCCCCACATCTGCCTCCCTTGGTGCCAGTATTTTTTAAAAGCATATTGGGCTTTCCCTTAGGATGGGGTTTTTAAAGTATAAAGGCAGGCTTCCTGCATGTCGTCGCATTCCTTTCCCCCACCATAATGCTGATTTTTCATTACAAAAGAGTCCATTTACTTGCCAGACATCAAAGAGATGTCTGTTTGTCCAAGAGCTGAATTGATGTAGCATCTCTGCACTAAAGTGCAGCAGCATAATGATGAGACGTGAAATCAGTACGCTTTGGTGCGTCAAGCAGCGAAGGGGCATGTTTTAGTGCAAAGAAATATCTTTTGACGTGGAATTTTAAATTTACTGTTTCAAGTTTATCGAGAACATTAGCTTAGAACCCTCCATTTTCTTTGGTGATAGAATTTAAACTGAAATGCCCAAGTTAGAATTTTGAGAGATTCTGCTTTCATTTTATTACTCTTTTGAAATGCTTTTAGAACTTAGGGTTGTTGACCAAATCTTGACATCGTTACTGCAGTTTTTGGTCTAAACAGTGGTTGTTTCTCAAATATTCAGACAGAGGCAGTTGTTCTGAAACTAAAGCCACTTTCCTATCAATGCTCCCTCAAGCTTAACCTTCTTCTTTCCCCACCCCAAATTTAGTTATCCGCATTTGCACAAAACCTTGTCAGCTTAATTATGGGAAGTTCTTTAAATAAGAAAACTGTTTTTAAAAAATAAAATAAAATTGGTTGCCTCCTATCCAAAAGGATATTACTGAATAGAAAAACCATGATGGACATGAGTATAGTGGTACCTTGGTTCTCAAATTTAATCCATTCTGGAAGTCCGTTTGACTCCCAAAACCATTCAAAAACCAAGGTGCGGCTTCCAATTGGCTGCAGGAACTACTTCCTGCGCTCATTTGGAAGCCATGGAAGCCGTGTCACATGATCAGCTTCTGAAAAATGTTTACAAACCGGAACACTCCTGGGTTTGCAGTATTTGGGAGCTGATTTGTCCGGGAGCCAAGCCGTTCAACTACCAAGGTACCACTGTACTACTGAGTTGGGTGAGTTGTGACATTGTGGCCTGGTGAGGAGTCCTCCAGAGTTGCTCGCAAGTCTAACAACCCACCTCTTCCGAATCCGGAAAACATAGGAACATACGACTTAGGAAGATGCTTTATATACCATGTCAGACCATGTGTCCACCTAGCTCAGTGTTGCCTACACGAACTGGCAGTGTCTCTCCAGGGTTTCTGAGACGGGGCATTCCCATCCCTACCAGGAATGCTGAGGATTGAATCTGACAAGGCAGATGCTCCAGCACTGAGCAGCTGCCCATGCCCTGAAAAGTTGTGTGAATTGACTCTGTTTGAGAAGGTTGCTAAGGGGTGTGCAGCTGTAGCTAAAATGTCATACTGGTCCCTGGCTCATAGGAGCACAGGTATATCGTGCAGGGTCATTTTTGTGTGTGGAAATTCTCAGCTTAAATACTCGTAATTACACACAAACACACACACATACTTGATAGCTCACTGTTTGGAAAGGATAATCTGTTCACTATTGTGTGGGCTCAAAATATATTGCATAGTTAGTCCATTGCGCCTGCAGCTAGATGACAACTGGGCTATTATGTAAATTGTGTATCTATCTTTCCATTTATCTCCCTTTTATTATTTTAGGCCAGAGCTTGCGAGACCAGCTACCACTTTGTATCAGCATAATCTGACAGGAATCCTGGAAACAGCTGTCAGGGCAACAAATGCACAGTTTGATAACCCTGAGATCCTCAAACGCTTGGATGTCAGACTTTTGGAGGTACTTTAAAACAACAACAACAAAAAACCACTTTAGCATTTTACGAGAATATTGGTTTGTTTTAATTTTTTTTTAATTGCTAACAGCATCTGAGGTCAGCATTGGAAAATAGCATTGTCTTGTCTTGCACACAAAATCTGATTTTCTCATCTGTCAGTGTAGTTCTTAACTATTATTTCTCTGAAAAGGAGCTTTGGTTTTTTATTTATTTATTTATTTGTTTGTTTTGTTTATGGCATTTGAGTGCCGCTCCACAATGCAAGGCTTTCTGTGCAGTTTACAATGGCAACAGTGCGCTCTTTTGTTGGTTATAGATAGATTACACTTATAGCTATGTGTGTTTATAAAAATTAAGGCAACGGTCCAGTTTTATTTATTTAAAATATTTTTTTTTAACCCTGCTCTTCAACCGAAAAAGGCTCCCACAACTTCTTACAAATGTCTGTGATAAGACTGTTCCTGTCCTCAGGCTTACAATCTAAAAGACATGACACAAAAGGAAAGGGGGCTGTGGTGGGGAACGGAAAAAGCAAACTCAGGCACTTTATCTTTGTTACAGAGTTCTTGTAAATGACTAGGTAGAATGGAAAGATTTCAAGAAGAGAAGGAGTCAGGCGCTGCTCATTAAGAAAGCAGATGAAGAGGCCCTGCTGTTCCCTATCTGTCCCTTGCCCATAGCCTGATGGAATAGCTGCTGATGGCAGTTGAAGAAGGAACTTAGATGTAGCCCCTCTTTCATTAAAACTGATGGAGAGGTCTTTCGCTCTCATGTCTTTCCATCTGCAGCCTGGTGGAATGTGTGCTGATCAGTATAGGTTCAGCATACCTAAGCCACCTTATTTCAGGGGTCAGAAGTGTGCTTCATTCTAGATTATGGTTATAGTGCCACTGAACTTACCCTGATGCAGTCCTTTCAAGGAGGTGATGAGCTGTTGTACTATCCCACTTAGTACTAGGGAGGACATGGTTCTCTCATGTTTATGTGTGCTTCTCCCTGCTGAACTGGATATACAGTTGACAACACAGTGGTACCTTGGTTTAAGAACAGCCCTGTTATGAACTACAGTCATACCTCGGGTTACAGACACTTCAGGTTGCGTTTTTTCGGGTTACGGACCGCCGAAACCCAGAAGTACTGGAACGGGTTACTTCTGGGTTTCGGCGGTCGTGCATGCACTGAAGCGCTAAATCGCAACCCGCGCGTGCGCAGACACACCGCTGCGGGTTGCGAACGTGCATCCCGCATGGATCATGTTTGCAACCTGAGTGTCCACTGTATTGGTTTACAAACCCCGCAAAACCGGAAATAATGTCCTGGTTTGAGAACTTTACCTCAGTCTAAGAACGGAATCCAAACAGTGAAAGGGCACCGGCGGCGGGAGGCCTCATTAGTGAAAGCATGCCTCGGTTTAAGAACGGTTTTGGTTTAAAAATGGACTTCCAGAATGAATTAAGTTTGTAAACCAAGGTACCACTGTTCCTAGAAAGGGTTTCTATGGGACCTCCCATACCCTGTGTGCTGATAAACATGGTATCTCCCAATTTCAGACTTGCATTCTGTGCCCAATAAGAAAGTATGGGGAGGGGGGAATCCCTCCCAACCATTTTTGATTGAGTAAAGTAAAACAGGGTCATTCCTAATAGCTAAATAACTATTGGAAAACAGCTAAATAACAATATATGTGATTTGGTTAAATGCTGATAATTCTTTTTAAGGTGTCTCCTGGTGATACTGGTTGGGATGTTTTCAGCTTAGACTATCATGTTGACGGACCGATTGCAACAGTAAGGATATATGTATATTTCTATATCTCTGGCTCTATATCTATATCTATATCTATCTCAGTTTGTCAATTTTCACCCCCACCCCCACTTACTTCACTTAAATACTTTGTTACTAAAATAGCCTTTGTACTTTTAGCATTGCATGATTAAAGAGACTGCTTGGTATCTTGGATGTACCCATTGTATTAAGAGTACAGCCAAACTCTCAATTTTCCTAAATTATTAATGAGTGTTAAAATGCTACATTTTAAGACTTTCATTATTTGAAATAAATAATTCATTTGTTCTGTCGGAGATTTTTAGAAAGTACTTAATAAATGGATTTTCATTTTCATCCATTATTCTGAAACTGTAGCAACTAATTTGGGATAATTTGCAAGAACTGTGAGATGTATTTTAGGGGAACCTATTTGTACTCTTTAAATAAAATCTGATGTGTAGCATTCATTAAAACAGATGAGAAAATAGCAGCACTATTGTTCAGAATGCTTTTACTATATGTAAAGAATAGCATTGCTTTCTGAACAAGGTGTCAGAAGTGAGAGTTTGACCAGCAAGGTATGTATAGTTTAGTGAAAGGAAGATAATATCTCACTTTCCTAATTTGTTAATCCATTTTTTCATGCTCTGATTTTCCTCTGTAGATTGTAAGTAGTTGCAGGGCTGTGTAACCAATTTCTTTATATTTAGGATATTGTTAACTGTTTGATATCTTCTTTTTTTAAACAAAAAATAGCAATCCATCTTTGGTAAAGAAGAAAAATGTGGTGGAAGGCATTCCTAACATCCGTAAAGCTGTTGTATATAAAATAGCAAGCTTTAATGCAACTATATAAACAATAGAATTTGAACCTGTAAATAGAATGTAGACCTGTAATTTGAATTTTGGGCCTGCCTATAACCTTAGCCATGGACTGATTGATTGGTCCTAGGCAAGTTACCGTATTTTTCGCTCTATAACACGCACCTGACCATAACACGCACGTAGTTTTTAGAGGAGGAAAATCCGTAGGCATGCCACCCGTAGGCATTCCCTCCATAACACGCACAGACATTTCCCCTTACTTTTTAGGAGGAAAAAAGTGAGTGTTATGGTGCAAAAAATACGGTATACTCTCAACCATAATTTTCCATGCATTTTTGGTAAGCCATTAAGATAATTCGGAACACTAGGTTTCAGTACATAAGAGTTTGTGCCAGTTAGGATCATGGGATGTGCCCTAGATCCTTGGTGCTGTGTAGCTCCTAGCTTCTCCTGTGTGGTCAGGTGCGGGGAGGAAATTTAGTGGTTCTTGCTTTCTGTTCCAAAATTAATTCAATGCCCAGTTGATCAGATCTGAAATACCTCCCTAATTTTAACATGTCCTTTCTTTTTAATTTCCTGTGTTTTCAGAGGGAAAAGATATTGTAGATGAGGCAGCGACATTCACAAGGAGGAGTGTTGCATTTCAGTTTGTTTTTTTTAAGCATTGCTATTTTAGGGCAGCAAGGATCAAGCAAAAGGAGGATCTAGTTGTACTTGAGCTTGATCCCGATAGCTGCATCTCAGCCACCTGCCATATTCTTTTGTCAGTAACCCCATGGCCAGGTTCAGTTTTTAAACCTGAGTTATTTCCAGACAAGGAGGGGAGAGATTCAATGGCTCTCTTCCTCACCTTCTCTCCATCAGGTTGGAATGAGACCTGGGGCTGTCATACAATGGCTGCCCTGTGTGCATCCACATACAGTGGCAGCATGTGTGGTCTGTCTGGGTACCCATTGTGTGTGTGTACGATGAAAGGTTTGCACAGTCCCCTGTACACGTAGACTCCAACTGTGGTGGTCCCGTGGGTTACCCGAGAGGCGAGGTCCAAGTCCGGTCCGTGGTCAAAGGTGCAACGTGGAGGCAGTCCATAGTAGCTGACGCTGGCTGCAGGGCACGGAGTCGGGTGAAGTCAGGAACAGATATGCAAGCAGGGAGCCAGGGTGGGTCAGGAGCTCAGGTAGGAAAACAGGACAGGGTTCAGGCAGGAACTAGCAACCAATAATGTTGCTCCCACAACTTGGGACTGGGGCTGGCCGGCTTTTATCTGCCCCGAGGCATAGGGCGACCCCGATCCTCTGGTGACTCACCTCTCCTGGCCTGGAGGCGAGCACTCCTCCTGTGGGAACTTAGTTCCCTCCGCCTCTCTGCCCTGAGCCTCTGCAGCTCAGGAGAGGCTGGAGGGTTACCGGGCCCAGAGGTAACCTCAGCTTCCCCTGATGGGGCTGAGAGTGGAGCACCTGCAGGCAATGGGTCCTCCATCACCTCAGGAGCCAGAGCAGACTCAGCTGATGTCTGCACCTGAGGATCCAGCACAAGTGAGGACCCTTTGGGCTCATGCCCCAGCCCCGGCTCAGCTGGTTCTGGAGGCGGGGAATCCTGTGCAGGTTGGGATCCCTCAGGTTCAGCATCCGAGTCCGAATCCCAGGCCATCTCACCAACATGTGTAAGCAGAGTTGGGTTGACATTGTGCAAATGGAAGCGTTTCTTCTATTTTTGCATTTTTATCACACCTTTCTTTCAAGAAGTTCAAAGTGGCATACAAGGTTCTCCATATCCCCACTTTATGCTCACATCAACCTGGTGTAGGTAGGTTAGGTGACTGGCCTAAGGTCACTCAGTGAACTTCATGACTGAGTGGCGGATTCGAAGCTTCGTCTCCCAGGTCCTAGTCTAACACTCTTACCACCACACAGGCTCTAAATGCTGCACAGATAACCAGTAATATTAGAGATTGAACCTGGAACACCTTTTTTCTACCTCTGTATTTGTCTTGTCACATTGGTTCACGCAGAAGTCCTTGTATGCCAGTATGGACTTCCCGTAACTTTTGATGGACTGGACCTTGCTTAAATCTTGCTGTAAATCTCTTAACTCAACCTCAAGTGTCAGTTGGTTGCTCTGCGAAGCTATCCAGAGACCCTGGAAGCAAGTAAAGCAGCGGTATGAAAGGCACTTAATACACTTTAAACCTCTGTGTTGATCATATTTGCAGGTGTTCACCCGTGAGTGCATGAGCCACTATCTGAGGGTGTTCAACTTCTTGTGGAGGGCAAAACGGATGGAATATATTCTCACAGACATATGGAAAGGACATATGTGTAACGCAAAGCTTCTGAAAAGTATGCCAGGTAAGGGAGTAACCAACCGTATTACGGCAAAATTACACAAACAGTTGTTTTCAGACCAAACCTCCTTTATAGGTTGCTTTGTATGAGAGAGAAATTTATTCTTACTGCTGAAGTCTCTCCAAATGTCAGAAGGTTTCCTGCAAGGGCAGATGTTATGTTTTTTTAGGGTGGTTTGTTTTAAGTTAACAATAACTTAATTTCTATGGTTTTTTGTAATCCTGGTAATAAAACTGCCAGATTGCACACAAATAGGACAGGGGCTTTTGCTCCAGGCACCTAAAAAGTTGATGGTTCTTTGTAAGCCGCTCAGAGGTCTTCATTCGAGTAAGTATATTGCTTTTGGTAAATAAATAAATAAATAAATAGGCAAGGGAGAAAACAAAATGGGATTCGCTTTTTGGGTGAAGAGTTTCCCTCTGGTTACAAGCGTGACGTGTTGGTCACAAGAGAGCTCACCCCCTGCCCACTCTCCTATTTGCTCTCCCTTTTCCCATCACTCCATCCTGGCGTCATTCCTTATGTGGTGAGATTAGAGACGTTGCTTTAGCTTTTAGCAGACATTTTCAGAATTCTCTTTTCATCCGGATTGCCATTGTTCCACAAAGCACTTCAGCATCGGCCACTTCGACTTGTGCTGCCTCATACAGATTCCACTTTTGCCTTCGATACACCTAAAATTCCTCTGAGGCTTCTTTCTTCAGCTCAGGATTTGGGATTTGTCCAAATCCAGTGCACTACCCTAAAGTTTATTACATGGATACACATAATATTATGTGGAAAGCATTATGTTAATGCAGCAATCACCCCTTTGCCATTGTACGTATCCCAAGGCTGCAGTAGGCAGCCAGGTATCAGGTAAGCTGGAGAATCATGGCCAATGTGCAGTTGGTGGTGCTGAAAAACACCTGCTTGGCACAATGTAATGTTGAAATGGCCCACAAACGTTTGGTGGGGTATTGAGGCAAACAAACTTGTGTCTTTTATTCTATTACTGACTTGTAATTTGACTTCATTTCCTCTGTAGACTGAGAGCAGGTAGGGTGTGTAGGGCCACACAATCCTATGCATGTTTACTCAGAATTAAATCACATTGCATTTCATGGTGTTATTTCCTACTTAATGTTTTAGGATTGCGACCTGAGTAAAAAAGTTCTGAATTCAAATTTCACCTTGATCATGAACATATCTGAGCGCCTTTCCCTTAATGCAATATGAGGATAGCCATCAAGTCTGTTGCACCACTAAGTTACACTGGATGCTTAAAATATTCTACTTAGTACATTGCTATATATAATTGTTGTTGTGATTGTGGTTAGATAGGTCTCTGATTTTCTTCGTGGGTCTTCTGAATATGATCAGAAATGTTCAAGCTTTCCCCCAGCCCCTGAGCTTTTCAATATTGTTTAGGACTCAGTGGACCCTTCAAACTTTTTTCTACAGATCAAAACCCATACATAACTGATATTTTAATGACCACAGCCTTGCCTTTTAATTGATCAGTTTTACAGCAAAATTAGTAGATTGCACCAATATAGTATAAAAATAAGAGCCCCTAGTTCAGGACCTTGTTAGACTGTTGGTAAATCCAGCTGTGGTCAAGATAGTCATATCCATTATCAAGAAAAATTAAATCAAGAGCAGGGTTAGCTACAGATATTCCTGATTCTTCTGGAACCTTTGAATAGACTACCTGAATGGAGCTCACAGTTTGAGAACCTCTGTTCTAGCTGAAAGGCTTCAATAAATGAGATTAATGACCTACATATAACTCAGAATGCTTTTCAGTCCACCTTTCCAATAAATTAGGCAGCAAACTACCTAGTTGTTTGCTCATGACTGTGGTTGGTGGATCAAAAGTTTGCGTGGTCAGCGGCAAAAGGACACTGCTCCTGAATATCTGCAAATACTCCTTGGTCTATGTGGCCAGGTGCCCATGTCTGGTTCAGTGGGCCAGGGGTAGCTCAAAGAGTTGTTGCTTATTTTCAAAGCCATTGGCTCATTTCTTCCCCTTCTCTCTCAGCTTGGCTGTACTCTGTTTTGTTTTTGTGGCTGCTGCTGAGCAGTATTCATTCATGGGCTGTAGCAATGTTGTGTGACTGGAAAATATTATTATGTAGTGAGTATATTTTCTATAATGAAAGAGTTTCAGTGGGGAAGTCTGTTTACTAAGATTTTTTTTAAAACAACAACAACACAGTTCTGCAGGTTTAATAAGGATGATGAAATTTTTGAAATAGCCTTGAGGGGGCAATAGAGCATTACGGTTCTTCATTGACCAGGGCTTTTTTCAGCTCCAGAACTCTCTTCCAGGCTTGCAGAGTACTGATGTGTGTATTGCCATTTGTGATACTAAACTGAATTAGTCTTTAGACTAAATGGGTTAAGCCCTGCTTTGGCATAGAATTATATGCATTTTCTTGCTTTTGTGAATGGGATTTTATGCACATCACATTCTGGGTTTGTTTGTTTTCTGGGCATTGTTAGTCACTTTGGATTTCCAGTAGGTTGGTATACAAATGTTTTAATTAATATATAAATAAGAATCAAACCAGGGAGATGGAAAGTTCTTTGTGAGTGACTGCCAGAACTGAATATGCAGTGGAGACCTGGTAAAACTAGCATTCGTTATCAACTGCAGCTGCTGGCAATCATGCAAGGTTTTGAATCGTGCATGACTCTTTAGGCAAAGATTTTCACATGTTATGTCTAGGAAAAAGAATTCAGTCAAGATATAAAGCGAAGAATGTTAGCAATCCAGAATTCATGCCTGTAGTATGACGCAGCCCACCTGAGGGATATCTTTGACTTTAAAGTGAGTACAAACTAAAAAATAAATTGTTCAAGTATAGAGAGCAAAAATTTCCAAGGAAACCTGGAATGTTTGTTATGACAGACACAAGTGAATAAAATAGCATCTTTGGCCTCTAGTCACTTTCTGGAAAGTGCAAGTGTGGAAAATATGGAAGTCCAAATTTTCACCTCAAATTCCCTCCCTCCCTCCCATCTTCCTAGGCTAAAATTCTCTACCCACCTTTCTGGGAGTACACCCTGTTGAACTCAGTGGGACAAACATCTGGATAGATACATATGAAATTGTGCAGTAAGAAAATAAAATCTAGCAGGTAAACATATTGAAACATGACAAAAAGAAGGGCATTGTAGATGTTGGTTGTTTTGGATAATTCCAATGAATTGTTAACTAGAATGATATGTGAGCTAAAGGCTCCTGTGTTACATACCCCTGTAGTTTTGCAAATAATAAACCATTGTCAACCAGTGATCTGTTAAGACTCAAACCTCTAGAGATTTTACAGAGAGTTATTATATGGCAGTCATGAGTTAGGAGTTCTATGGGCTCAATCTCCTGGTTGCATCAGTTGTTATATAAACTTGGCTACAAAGAATACAAACTTTGTTATATAAACTTGGGCTCCAAAGCAGAACAGGTACAGAGAGCTTTCTGGAGGACAGGGGTCTGGGTGAAATTCTTCTGCTAGGATGAGAAAATGCATCTAATGTCAGGGCCTAGCACTGTTGGGAGGGTTCATTTAAAATGAGAGAATAATACCCAGTCCCAGTGAAAAGTTTTATTTGCAGCAAATTCACTGCAAACTGTTGGCATGGTTGTTAGGAAAAGGTATTTATTTATACATGTGATGCGGCTGCCCTCACTAGACAGACTCCTGGGATGCAATCCTAAATTAATTGGAGAATATATCAAAACAGAAGTCCTTAACTCTTCTCATGTAACGCTTCTTTGTGCACACAGGGAACGTAAACCCCTTAAGAGTCGCTGAAAATTGCTAGAATTTCTGTTGTTAGCAGCCAAGAAGGTGATTCCCAGCCAGGCATTTGGAAAGCTAAAACAATCCATTTAGTGAACAATTGGCTCTCTGAAATCTGTAATGGAGAAATGTTTTTACCAGTTAAAAGTTGCAACTTTTATCATTGTTCTTGTTTTATCTGTAATGCGGGTGGTTTTTTTTATCTGCAGTGCACTTTTTAGGCAGTATTGCTCTTTAAGTGGGATCTTTAGCATAACACTAAGAGGAGGTCATGAAACCCCATGAAGAAGCTGAACATGCTTTTACACTCACTACTTGGTGCTGCTACCGGTTGTTTGTTTTGCACACTTGAGTCCACAAACGATTCCTTCTTTCTGGGTTTTGTGGCTGTTTCTTTCTTTCCCATATGCGCTGCAAATTTTACATATGTGTTATCTGAGAGCGCAGGAATATCAAACACGGTAAAGAATGGTTTGCCCTTTCTATGTCACAGGTAGGTTGTGGCACACAGGTGGGTTTGGTAGCATGCTGTGCAAACAGGGAAGCTTTGGCATGGCCTTATCTCCTCTTGAAGCTTGTTCCACACTTGAGTACCCTTGACTGACAATGCCTTATCTCCTTTCCCCACAAAGTTTGGCCTAAGCATTTTAGTGACTCTCTCCCAAAAGAGAGTTGAAATCTCTGAGGATCATGCACTGGAAAGGCAGGCTCTATCTTCCAATGATGAACATAAATAGCCACTGGAAAGGAAGCCACCAGGCAGGACTCCCATTATATGATAGTCACATATCTATGTTAATTCATAGCAGGGTGGATCAGGAGTTAGAATATTGGCCTGGGTCATGCATGAAAATCCCTGTATAACCATGGAGTTATTAGTGGCCTTGGGTAAAAATGTCTGCTATTGATTAAAGAGAAGGCAACTGTCATATTTTATTTGCCTTTTTAACAAACAAGATGGAATGAGACGGAAAGTGCTAAGGTATATAAAGAAGAGGCATAAGTAGGGATTCATGTTCGAACTGAAGTAACTCAATGTGATTGTTTTTCAGAACATTATTCTTGGAATTCACCTAAATAGACATTCTGGTTCCACAGCACCTTTTAAAAGAGAGTTGGACCAAGAAAACAAAACAGGCAAAGGCTGTATAAGAAAAATGATGAAGATCCATCATAACTGAGCTTCAGTTCAGAATTAAGCAATCTGTGTGATACTTCCTTTTCTGCGGCTTTTCCAGCAATCCTTGCTGACCGCAATTCATGATTTCTCATAGGCTGTTGTTGCTGTAACCTTCACCTTGATATCACCTATTCGATTTTCCCAATAGCCGTAGTCACTATTTTGACTGTTACTGTTTGCAGTTCATACTAATAAGCATGCAGACTCAGAATTTAAGCATGTTAACTCAGAAGGAAGCCTTGTTGTGTTTAATGGCTCTAACTCCTATATTAGGATTATATCCCTAGTTTAGAGATCTTGACAGCACGATCCAAACCCAAAATTCATGGGGATGAGAGAGTTTGTGTTCAGCAGATTTGGGGGGTTTCCCGTGGGCTATGCTGACCTATGTTCTTCCCCTCAGCTGAGCCATACATACACTGCTATTAAGTCCTTTACCCTGGTTCAGCCAGCAGGGCTTACAGTGATGTAAGTCTCAAAAAGAGTGGGACGAGGAGAGATGTGAACCTATTCGAAACCCTGTGATCTGGGACCCAATCCTCATCCAGCAGTATTATTACAATTTCTCTGTTAACCAGGAATTATTTGCTCTAGATAATTTCTAATTATTAGGAAATATCCAGTATGAATATTCTAGGGGGAAGACTTTTTATTGCTCTTCATTCCATATATTTTCTGGTTGTTTCTGGCTAGCAGCTGGGGAGAAAAAATCCCCCCCCCCCCCCGATAGCTGCAGGTTATTCTTTCTCATGTAATTTTTGCTCTGTATAGATCTTGGCAATTTTGCTCCGTATAGATCTTTGTCATCTTGGTATAGTCATTGGTTTGCTTCATTCATTCTGATGCAGTTTGCTCCGATAATCCAAGACAAAATTGGGTAGTGCTGATGTGCCTCAACCAAAATGTTGAGAGAGAAGTCCAGTTTGCCTCTGAGCTTTTGAGACATTTTGGAACAAACAAGAGATATTTTTGTATAATGCGTAATCATACTGTATATGGAATATTTTCATCTGCTCTGCCAGGTCATGCATTCCTTCCCCAGCACACAGTTTCATCTATGAGGGATTCAATTTATTAACATTTATACTCACTGTACCATTAGTTAAATATTTTCCTAAGTAATCTTGTATCCTGAAAGTTCCTAGTTTGTCCTTCCAAATCTCTTGTGGCAAGCCAAAGTGGGGGCTTAGGCATCTGATGTTTTATATATGTTGCTGAGAAAAATTAACCTTCTCATAATAAGAGCTCTGTTCAGGCTCCTTTGCTAGTGGATTGCCACCTGTTACAGCAGTGCCAAGCAGACTTTGTTTCCCAGCCACAAAGGTCTTTTCCCTATCTATTCTGTTCCACGTTCTAATTCCTTTCTATTACAAATCTTGTTTTGTACCAGATCTCCAGAGTTTTGTCAACCTATACTATTAATTTCATTTTCTTGTTTGATCCTGCATTATATTTTCTGTTAATATGGGGGTGTATTTATTGCAGGCAGAGGCTATCATGGCTACACCTCTGGAAAATGCTGAACTTGTGGCCGTAAATATACTGAGATTAAAATGATAGTCCACATATAGTCTCCTTTCTTTGAGAACCCGTTATCAATTTATATACCGTATCTTTTGCTCTATAAGACTCACTTTTTCCCTCCTAAAAAGTAAGTGGAAATGTGTGTGCGTCTTATGGAGCGAATGCAGGCTGCGCAGCTATCCCAGAAGCCAGAGCAGCAAGAGGGATTGCTGCTTTCGCTGTGCAGTGATCCCTCTTGTTGTTCTGGCTTCTGAGATTCAGAATATTTTTTTTATTGTTTTCCTCCTCCAAAAACTAGGTGCATCTTATGGTCTGGTGCGTTTTATAGAGCGAAAAAATACGGTATGTCTTACTCCTTTCAAAGATGGGTGCAGGTAGCTGTTGTATTTCAGGTGTGTGTGTGTGTTTTAAAAATACGGCTAGATGAACATTTCCATTCTGAGTTTTAATATACATATTCTTTGAATTTCTTACAGAACTTTCTGGGGTGCTGCATCAGTGTCACGTTCTGGCATCAGAAATGGTCCATTTCATTCATCAAATGCAGTATTACATTACATTTGAGGTACCCTTTAACCATCCATTTTGTTGTTTGTTTGTTTGAAATTGGAAGAACGTTCTTATTGATGTGAGCTTAATTATGTCACAGAGGTATAGAGCAGAGAGGTTGCTATTTAAACAGTCTCTAAAACAAAGTGAATCTCATTGCTGGATGTTTTGTTCCATAGGTGCTTGAATGTTCATGGGATGAACTATGGAACAAAGTTCAGCAGGCTCAAGACTTGGATCACATCATTGCGGCTCATGAAGTTTTCTTAGATACAATTATATCTCGCTGTTTGCTGGACGCTGACTCAAGAGTAAGTCTCATTTACCTGTTTATATATAATGTTACCATTATTTCTCTAATTATTTATGCTTTTGAGATTATTTCTGGCAACACACAATGGAGTTTTATTCGGAGATGAATTCCACTGCGTTCAGTGCGTCTTCATTACAAGCAAAAAAAAAAAAAGTTTAGGATTACAGCCCTGGTAAATTTAATCTTTTATGGGATGTTCTGGGAGAATCTCCATACTGAAATCAATTTTTCCATGTATCCCTTTGCTCTAGGAGGAGATATTAAATATAACAATCTTTCAGCAGTTTCTTATAGGCTAGCAAATCTTAGCTTTTCTTTGAACATTTCATTTTTAGAGGTTTTGTCTTCCCTTTGCAACTTTTGTTGTAGATGCTTCTCAACCAGCTTCGAGCTGTCTTTGATCAGATTCTTGAGTTTCAAAATGCCCAAGATGGCCTGTACCGCGTTGCCTTGGAGGAGTTACAGTTACGGTTGCAGTTTGAAGAAAGAAAGAGAGAGAGAGAGCTTGAGGTACAAAGGAGTTTTCAGTGGCATTTTAAGCACAAGAACGATGTGAACACAACAGGCTGCTTGTGTTCAATACCAATTCAATACCAAAAAATAATCCTTCTAATATCCCCTCCTTTTCTTTGAAAGACTGAGCAAATAGGTATTTGGATAAAGTCTTAATATGAAAAGTAAGTGTGTGCATGTTTACTCAAAAGTAAGTTGCACTATGCTCAATGGGGCTTCTGAGAAAGTACATATGCCTAGATTACACAGTACATTTAACCCAGATTGGGGTAACCTAGAAGCTGCAATTGACAAACCTTAATCCCCCCCCCCCCCATTAAAACACAAATTGAATTCTTTTTCACGCTTGGTATGTATTGTTTGTAAGAAGTTTCTTCTGTCTTAACTTCTTGGCTTATAACTGTAAGAGATCTCCAACTAAATTTAAGGCACTTCCTCTTAATAAAACAAAAATTAGCATGTGGCTTCAGATTTATTGATGTGTACACCTGATAATTTCTCATCGTTTTTTCTTTTCTTTTTTACAATGTATATTGTTAAGGGTGAATGGGGAGTAAAAGATTCAGAAGAGAAAGAGGAGAATAAAAGGATTAAAGAATTTCAAGATTCAATACCAAAAATGTGTTCACAGCTGCGACTACTTACCCATTTCTATCAGGTATTTTTAAAAAGAGGAATTTTTAAAACATTAACGTACTGATAGCTGGTATCTGTTTTCTGCTTTAAATTGCACACTGTTTTAATGCGGCATGCAAGCCTTTCCAGGATTTGGAAGAAGGCAATAACAATAAAAGTTATGTTATGAATACATTAGGGAATGTGACATTTGGCTTCAGTAGATAAAGAACCAGGTGCATAGAGGTTGTCCCAGACATAAAATGATTGCACTCCAGAGTCTGTGTTTATGTTGATCATTGCCACTGTAGGTAGACAACATTTTTATGAAGCATTCTCGCTAGAATAATTTTTGTGGATTCGCTTTGTTAAAAACCGCCCCGTCAAAACTCAAGACAGGAAATTCACTAACTTTTCACCTACCGTATTTTTCGCTCTATAGGACGCACTTTTTCCCCTTCAAAAATGAAGGGGAAATGTGTGTGCGTCCTATGGAGCGAAGATGCCATAGCCCCGCAACCCTCTCCCGGCTGGAGAGGTGACGCGCGGCTATGGCAGGAGCCTCTATAGCCGCGCGTCACCTCTCCAGCCGGGAGAGCACTCGCGGGGCTAAAGCAGCCCCCCGCGACCCTCTCCCGGCTGGAGAGGTGACGCGCGGTTATGGCAGGAGCCTCTACAGCCGCGTGTCACCTCTCCAGCAGGGAGAGCACTCACGGGGCTAAAGAAGCACCCCGCGACCCTCTCCCGGCTGGAGAGGTGACGCGCGGCTATGGCAGGAGCCTCTACAGCCGCGCGTCACCTCTCCAGCCGGGAGAGCGCGCGTGAGCTAAGAAGCCATAGCCCTGCGACCCTCTCCCGGCTGGAGAGGTGGCGCGCGGCTATGGCTCTCCGCTGCGCCTTTCCGCTGCTCCTGACCTGCTCTTTGGGGCTGGTGGTGGGCTTCCCCACCAGCCCCAAAGAGCAGGTCGAAGGAACCTGAAGCCTGGAGAGCGAGAGGGTCAGTGCACACCGACCCTCTCGCTCTCCAGGCTTCCAAGGTAGCCGCCTGAACGGCACCTTGTTTTAGAGCGGGAAAACAAGAGGGGGAAAGTTCTCCCCCTCTCTGTGCAGCGCCTCCTGCTGCTTCACTGAAGGGGCGCTGGGCAGAGAGGGGGAAATTTTTTTTTTCTTGTTCTCCCCTCTCTAAAACAAAGTGTGTCCTATGGTGCGAAAAATACGGTACTTTTATAAGGATGGGGCATTGCAGGAACTGCCCGTCTCTTGCAGTGGATCAGTTTCTACTTGTTATATATAGTGGAATTTTCAAGGATCGCTATGGAATGGTGACATACTTCACACCTTTATTCCATTACACACGTTCATTTGTGTGACTTCTTATGAATGCCTAATTTCTCTGTTTTTCTTTCTTTCTTCCAGGGCATTGTGCAGCAGTTCTTGGTATTACTGACCACCAGTTCTGATGAAAGTCTTCGATTTCTTAGCTTTAGATTGGATTTCAATGAACATTATAAAGCTAGGGAGCCCAGGCTTAGGGTTTCTTTGGGTACTAGAGGGCGGCGTAATTCACATATATAAATCTCCCTGCAATGAATGTAAACCAGGATCACGGATGTGTAACCCGTTGTTGGTTGTGGCAGTCAACTTGGCATACTAAAACCAAATGGCATGCAATAGGTGTTTGTCATTATCGCAAGCAACCTGTTTTTAGTCATGTGATTGTGCAACACTTGTGCAGAAAGCAACATGGCTTATTTTTTTATATTTAATGGTTGAGATTACTAAATGGGTTTAAATTGTTGCAATTTTGCTTTGGTAGTCCATTAATCAACCAACTATATTTTGTTTGTGGCTTTTAAAGCACATTCCACCATCATTGATCTTTGTCTTCAGGACATTTTATCCACATGCAGACACACACTTGTTTCCTTTTACACTAAGCAGGGCTGTAATTTTCCATTTCAGTTTAGAAACCACTTTTATTTTAAAACCTGCCAGTTTAAGAATCTGGCCAGAAGTCTATCTTATTTCTTTTTCAGTGTTGTGGTGTATTGACTGTGTGGGGAAAAAATTAGTCACTTAAAATTACACACATTAATGTTTTCAACATTTTCAAAACTGATTTATTTTTCCAGAAATTTTTTAACTGCTTTACAGAAACAAATATTAGAGACATAACAGAAGTCCAACACAACAAATAGTAGAAATGAAGTTAAAACCTCAGTGATCTCCAGTAATGAAACATGTAAATATTTAATAGATGTGAATGAAGTATTTTGTGTTTAAATCTGATGTATTAGAAATTAATTTGGATAATGAAGACTACTTATTTCTCTTTCCTTGCCTATTTTTCCATTGTAAATATTTATATATTGCTGTCCAGATGTTAGGGGGAAACATTTTTGTAAAAAAAAAAAGTCACTATATATCATCACTCAATTATCCATTTGTTATATTCACAGGTAAAAGCTTAGAAAATAAACACAATTATCTTTCAAACTTTTTTCTGTTTCTTCTAACTGACAAAGTGCCTGATTTAATAAAATTAATACTGAATTATAGGGCAGCCTTTTCTTTAGCTTGTCTCGATACCAATGCAGAATGTCAAGCGTACATTATGAAACAACCGAGACCAGCTTACTACAGATATTTCCTTTTCCCCTTCATCCTGCCAGGCTCCAAGGTGGGGATGGACAGCACCCTCTGGACTAAAACACACTTACACTGTATCTCAGAGATGGAGATTGTTGGCTCCAGGGTCACAGAGTTGTTTCTGAAAGCTCTGTAAGTTATTATTTCAGTTGCATAGGTTGTAGAGCCAAGAGTATATTGTACTATTTCAGATTATGTGGTAAGATAATGTCCCTTACGAGGTGCTTGGGGTGTGGGGTTTTTTGTTTCCTAGTAAGGAAACAATCCTAGTAAGGATTTTTTAGAAAATGGAAAAGCTAAAAGCTAAACCTTGTGCAATAGCTTCCTGGTCCCTTAGTATTCGGGTGTGCAATACATTTCTTCTTCACTTCAACATTAATAGTGCCAGTGGGTCTTAAGACCCCAAATACTTAATGCTGTTGCAGTTTCTCTTTGACAGACATGTTGCAAAGAACTGCATGTTCTTGCAGAATGCAGGGCTCTATTTTTTTCTATCCTCCCCCCCCCAAAAAAAGTGAATTAGTGCCTGTTAAAGAATGTGAGCACATATTGCACATCAAGCAGAAAATAATTTAATTGGACAAATCCAAGAAGCCAGATTAGCAACTCCTGTAACCCAACACCAAACCTACTTTTTATTATTCAATAGCATGATTGCAAAATGTGTTCTCCAGGATACTATAGGGTTCCATCATGATTAACCATGGTAAAAATATAGGACTGCACACTTCCGGACAGCAGTCAAACTGAACAATAAGTCCCTCCTCTCTGTGCTGCTCTAATTCGAATATGAGTCTGTACTAGAAGAACCTTTGATATGCTGAAAACATGCACAGTCTGAGTCATCATCTTGGGACAGTCTTGACTCCTTGGAGTTTTTGTTAGGGTCTAAAGCAGCAGAAACATTTGATGAAGGATCTTCAACCCAACTTGAGCTGCTGTAGCTATGTTGCTTAGCTGAAACCTTTTTGTGTCCTCTTTTGGGTTCTGTGGATTTGGGTCTATGCCTAGATGGTCTTTGGTAGATTGGTTTTGTTTTGTAACAAGCAGTATCTTTGGCTTGAAGTCTTTTATAGTCATGATCTTTGGATTTACCATAATTTCCTGGACTGTTATAAGAGCTATGATTGGTTCTGAAAGTTCTAGGTTGTACTTTGAGGTTCTTACATGTGCTGCTGTTGTATGAAGGCAAACTATTATGGGCACTGTGCCTTGAAGGTTCAACTGGGAGAAGCAAGCCAGTGTCTTCTGGTGGGGAGCTAGGGGACAACATAGCTTTGACAGGATGGAGATCTAAAGGCTTTCTGATGTAATCACAATCTGTTGATGAAAACATTTCCGGTGGTGAACTTAAGTTGTTGTTGTTTTGATTGTCAGTTCCAACAGCGCTGTCTTCTAGCTGTTGGCTTCCTGTTTCCACAATGTTAACAGCATATTCCAGTTGTTGGTTTTGTGTTCCCCCAACGCCAGCATTGTAATATGGTTGTTTGTTTTGTGCTCCCTCAATGCCAACATTGTAATGTGGTTGTTGGCTTCTGGTTTTCTCGGCCGATGTGACTTCATTTTTGTCAGGTCCGCCTTTTTTGTCAGCATTTGTTTTATCAGGTTCCCTAAGAGAATGATGAAATTGTTTTAATAGATACAAATCTTTTTATGAAAGCCATAACATCAAACAGTGATACAGCAGCCAAGTCACTCCCTTTCCCGTTGCTGCTGCTTCAGGAAAACTTGGCAGCTTATTGTGAGAGCTGTCAATTCCCCAACTTGCGTCCTACCTCAAAGAAAAAGAAAATAAGTTTGGTTGCATTGGCCCTCCCCAGCTAGCAGAAGGGTATGCCCAACTTGAAGTCCCAAGAGCTGCGTTAAATGTATGGCCTTGTTACAGAGGATTAGATCAGCTTTATATAGATAAATCCTAAACTGTGCTGAGCTAAAATCTCTGTGAAGGAGGTTAGGCTGAGATAGTTGCCCAATCCACGGAATAAACTTCATGACTGACTGAGGATTTCAACCCATCGCAGATCCAAACTATCATGAAACATCCTATGCTGAGGAGAACGGGGAGTGTGGAGAAGGATGTGGTTATCACAGTTATGTAATAACGATAAGCAAAGTAAATCATTGTTAAATCTAGGGAGCATTTTTGCCTTTCATCTGGAAGAAAAAGACAGTGGAAAATGGGCCAGAATCTGCAGACTATTGATTTTCCAAAGCTGCACATGAAGCAGAACACACGAGGATGGGGGTGCTACCGTATTGAGCACCACTACAGTCACAGCAGTTTGTGCTATAGTCACTTGTTCTGCAATAAGATACAGCAGTATCTGTGTTTAGAACTGAGATGCAAATCTTGCCTTTTGCCATTATGAATTAATGCTGGTTTCAGAATCATAAAGCCTGTTGTTATTCGACTTGGATATTATGATTATCAGATGGCTATGCCAGCAAAAATTGTATTTGATTGGCCTGCATCTACTACTGCGTCAATTACGCCCATTGCATTATATCAGCATTCTAAAGTAGGCGCAAATGTCAAGGACTGGGTGCAAGTTGTTAGGAAGCAATTTGAATTATACACAGATGAGAGGGAGGAGAGAATGAAACAGTGACTTACTGCTCCTTCTTCACAAATAATGAAGTGTATATGTGCACAACAACTATTACAGTCAAGATCAAACCAGTGACAGCTACACAGGCTATGATGATGTGCTTTAGCAGGTCTTTAAGGTCTGCAGCTTTTGCTTTTCTCTTGCCCTGAATACCTAAAGGGACGAACACAGAACCATATCATATTATTCACAATTTAACAATGTTTCATACTCAGCACTACTGCAATTCTTAGCAACACTGTTGTCAAAACCTTGTTGCTGAAAACTAATCTGATAAAGCTGTACACTATAGCATAGCTGTAATAATAAAAAAGTTATTCTAAGTTATGGTAGATGCTGTGGTAAGTGCACATAAGTTTAAGATAATGTGCACCCAAGTCCTACTTGCTTTTTTCTTTTCCATTATGTGGGAGAATTGGAAACCAAATCACAAATACATGATTGCTAGACAGTCACACACAGGGTCAATGGCACCATGGAGTTTCAGAACCTGTATAGAGGCGATAAGCTGTGCACAGATGGTGGATTTGCTCGGTGGAAATAGGTATTCGCATTCTCACACAAGTGAGAAAAAAGTTGAAGGGTAATTAAATAAATAAAATATCCTCTCCTACTCATCTAAATACATTTAATGTAATAAGCAGTCATTGCAATATTTAATAAATAAATAAAAAGTATTCAAACATACATAGATTCCGTTCAAGTCAATAAAAGCCTTGCCAGAAAGAACTGAGTGTTAAATGCCAGCATTGGAGCTGGGTGAACTCCCCTCAGCACCCACTGGAGTTGCTATTTATCCCCCAAAACAGTAAATAGCTCTGCTCATTGCTGAACCAACCTGGGAAGCCCTTCAAAGCAGTCTCTACGCCCCCCAGCAAAGCAGTCGAGACATTCTCTCTGACTCTCAGCAGAGTGGCTGATTTAAGGAACTGCTCCCTGGAAGGCTGGAGGCCAAACTTCACTCTGCTCATAGAAGACTCTTGGGCTGAGCCTTGCAAGTAGGCTTTTCCTCCTAAGTGGCCTCCCATGGTGGCCTGGAAATTCAGCAACTCGAGTCACCTCTCCTTTTCCTGCTGTTTCCCCCCGAATGGTGACTTGATTATAAAAGGCACAATATGAAAATATTCTAATCTAAACACATTGTTGAAAAACCCTCCACCCCTCTCTTCTTACCAATATTCACTGGATACCCCAACCTGAAATGCTTGTGATATTAACACAGGTGGAATATATTTTAAAGTGACCCAGGATTTGCAGGCAGTTCTAGATTTTAGATCCTCACAAAACTTTAAAAGTTTTGAATCTGCTTTTAAATTTATTTTCTTCTGTGTTTTATTTAAATATTTGTAAGTGGCACTTAAAGCAGCGAATAACCTAAAAACAATATAGTAACAACACTGGTAGAAACACCGGGAACATGTCGCTACAAACTGGTTGGTAAAAAAATTCCAAAGTCTGAAAAGGACAACAGGTTACAGCCTACCAGACTAAAGATTCAATTCCTGGTAAACACAAGCACCTTGGAACTGGCCCAGTAGTAAACTGGCAACCTGGGCAGCTCTCAGCAGAGTAGTAGCATGTACCAGTGACCTGCTCCTGTGAGCAGCCTGGCCACTGCAGTCAGCACTAGTAGCAGTTTCTGGACCAGATATCAGGGCAGCCTCCCACGAAGTGTGTTACAGTAATCAGGTCTTGAGGTTACCAAAGCGTGGACCAGGTCCTGATCCAGGAATGTTCATAGCCGGCATTTCAGCTAAAGCTGGTAGAAGGCACTCTTGGCTGCAGAGGTCACTTGAACCACTAAATGGATCAAGGGGTATCAGCCTGCTCTTCAGAGTAAGGGCAACACCATCCAGAACAGGCAATTGACCTACTCCTAAATTTTACATCTCCTGATTTTGGTGATACTCCACACTGTGGTTTAAATTCCCTTACAATCTTTTTAACTCTATGCTGTGCAAGCTGTTTAAGAGGTGTTGTTTAAGAGTTCCAATCCCTTTGACAGCTGATAGTGCCTTTGTAATGTTCAAAGGTCATGTTGCACAGCAAAGTCGCACAGGTTGCAGGTGCAAATGCAGGCTGCATGCCTTTCCTGTGCAAGAGCTTCATTTCCCCCCCCAGACAATGCAAACAAGCACTGCTGTTGACTACTATAGAAAAGACAGTACAGGTGGCTGGCACTGCTTGCTCGAAATATCCAAAGCTGCCCTATCTGCAGCCTGTATGAAGTAAAAACTATTTGACAGCACTGCTTATAAGGCTGATGCCTATACCAGCTGCAATGGCACTCTGGTGGCAGAGCAAATTACCGTCATAGCGCGCCTGCTTCTCACAATCCAGCCAAACCACTTTCCCATTCCTACCTTTTTAAATATTTTCCATTATGGTGCAAATATGAATAAGCACTAGATGTAGGTTAAAACCCTTTGAGTTGTATGCTAGGGCTATATGCTCCATCACCTCTTTGCCACTTCCACAAAAGCAACTCCGCAATGCTTCCATGCTACCAGATTTATTTATTTTTTCTTCAGCAATGCGACTAGGTGATGCAAGATTGCTGGTTTACAATCTTGTTATCTATTTGTCCTTTTGTCACTCTCTCCTATTTTTTTTTTTTAAGATGCAAGCAGAATGGAGAGGGGGGAATGAAATTTATTTTCCAAAATCCAATTTCACCGTGTTCAGTTTTATCCCATCTGTCTGGGGTATAAAAGTGACGTTTCCCCTTCCAGAAACCAATTGGGATCCTGTTTAGTATTTAGGAGTGAGGCAGTTAGGAGATATGTCTCTGTTCCCTAAGGGCTGTGTGTGCTGACTCCACCATACTTCCAGGCCTGACTGCCGCAGAGCCAAGGGACTCGAGCTTGATCTTGGATTTGGAGACTCTGCCAGTACTTCCTTGGCTTCAGACCCAAGCTACAGAAGCCCAGAGAAATCAGCACACACAAAAGCTGGGCATATATTCCACTAAATCTGGCAGGCAGGAGCAGTGCCCCTAAACCTGGCAGTCCTTAAGCCTTTGAATGGTGCAGCCGCATTGCTCTGGCATCCAAAATCCAGCATTTACACTGGGGTTTGTAGCTTTTACCTCATGATAAAAAACACTAATGCCATTAAAAATCTCTATTTTCACTAGGGGCTGACTACAAAGATGAAATGTTTCTGCTGTGACTAAGTCATCTTAATCCGCATACTTTGGGCTTAACGAGGGTGTGGACAAGGTGGCTTGTTTGGTCTTTTTCATTAGCCTTTAGTGCAGCAATACATTATTCGATGTAACTGTTCCTTTGTCTACTGCATCAAGTTCGGCTGACAAGTGATTCTAAGGACTGAGTTTCAGTGCTCCATTATAAATGTTCACATCATTTGTTTTTGCCTTGTGTGATGAATTTTGAAACTGCAGCTTTGCAGCTGGTTTACAGAATTAAATGAAGTAAACAAATGAAGCAGTACCTTTTTGTTGTTTTCCACAGCTCTGATTTATGTGTCTTACTTTATTACAGGTTTAAACTGTGGCTTAAGGAACCCAACAACAAAAATCTGCCCTGTTAATTTTCTAATTGAGGTCTAGGCAAACAATTTGACACAGGAAGAGAAAAATGTTTGCTCTCTTTCAGCTGAATACACACAAAATGTGTTTTAGCCGAATAAACCCAACTGAAAGGCATAAATCAAGTGTTTAAAAATAGAATGGGGATAGCAGTAGTTTGCTAAGTCAATAAACACAGGACAACAGAGCTGAAATTATACCCCTGATGTATTAGGTAATGCTCGCTTTCACAAAACTACAGCACATTACAGGAAGATGAGCAGGGAAGAGCAAGCTGTTAATCCTACCTTACCTAAAATCTTAATGGGTTGTTTTACTTCCATTTAAGTAGTTCATATTTACCTTCATATTTCTCAAAGAATTCATATCTTTGGGCACTATTCATATGTTCATTTGCCACTTCAGTAACCAAATCTGTAAAAAACAAAGCAAAAGGTGAATAGCAACAAAACACAGTGTGTTTCTGCTCGCTGTTGACTTGTAGGTAATAAAGTGAAAATGTCTAAAAATTCTAAGAACTTTCAAATAAAACGTGCAGCTATGGAGCAGTAATTATTTTCTTTCTGATCTATTCTATAGCTGGCTTTATTGTTTTGCTTTGCAAATTTTATTTATACCTTGTTTTTTACATTGTAAGCTGCACTGAGCTGCAAGAGTTGGCAAAAAAACAAACTTAAACTAAAGAATCATGGAGCAAAGGTAGATGGACTTTCCTGTAGCTCTGGGTGGGATGATAGCTGATATATTGCATAGGTTTCTCCAGTCCAGAGAATCATGGGAACAGCCTCAGGCTACTTATCTGCACACATGCTCTCTGGCCATGAATATTCACTGTCTAGTGCAGAAAGATGGCCAGTTGTCTTGCTCGTAGCTGATGCTTGCTAGGGTGTGTTGGGTTGGGGAAAAGGGAAGATTTGGTGATTTATTCCTGTTCCGTCTCCCTTGCTACTGCTGACCTCTTACAGTCAATGTCAAACTAGCTGGATCTTCCTCTCCTACACTTCATTTGTGTGATTGTAATCCCATGTTCTGGGACATGGGTGGTGCTGTGGGTTAAACCACAGAGCCTAGGACTTGCCGATCAGAAGGTTGGCGGTTCGAATCCCCACGACAGGGTGAGCTCCCGTTGCTCGGTCCCTGCTCCTGCCAACCTAGCAGTTCGAAAGCATGTCAAAGTGCAAGTAAATAGGTACCGCTCCAGCGGGAAGGTAAACGGAACGTGCGCTGCTCTGGTTCGCCAGAAGCGGCTTAGTCATGCTGGCCACATGACCCGGAAGCTGTACGCCGGCTCCCTCGGCCAGTAAAGCGTGATGAGTCGGCCACGACTGGGCCAAATGCTCAGGGGTCCCTTTACCTTTAATCCCATGTTCCAAACTTGGCTCATGACATTCTAAATGTACTACAGCTCGATTTTCACTGATCTGGCTTGCACAAGCAAAACTAGATTGCTCCAAGCATGGGGGAATAGCTGTGGCTGGAGAGCAATGGGGTGGCCATTACTGCCGATAATAATGTAAGATTGCATGGATAACTGTTTAATGACTTTACTTGGGACAGAGATTGCTTCGAGTGGTGGTTCGTCTGTGAACGGCAGAAAATCTGCCTCTTCTGGGACAGGCGCTGTCATCATGTTGTGGTTCTCTTCACTGTAACCTGCTTCTTCTGTAGCAAGAAACAATTAAATTTATTCAGTGACCATGCCACAAAACAAATGTGGATCCCAATGCTATTATAGCAGTACTGGTACAAAAAGAAATATAATATTAGGGGCCTGTCTGCACAACTGGTTCTTTGTTAAATGAATGCACATTTGCTGTTTTTGTTTTGTTTTGTATATAGGCTACATATCTCAAAAAGGTATGTTTTCCAAGCAGTCAGATGTACTGTGAAAATGCATTATTTTTGTTAGGTGGAACATCTATGGCAAATATGATTGCCACAGTAGCTTATAGCATATATAGCTTGCAAAAGTGTGGCAAGCAGCTATTACTCAGTAGTGTAAGTCTGAAAGACAGGCTGTCTGTTGGCTTTGGATACATTCTGGAAATGCATCCAGACAACTTTTGTGATTCTTTTTCCATCGGATTTTGTGCAGGGAGGAAAAAGCCAAAACATTTGTGCAGCCTGCGTGGGAGAAGGCCCTTCTATATGAATAATGTACATCTATTGTTCATTTGTTGTACAAGTTCCAGTTTCCCCTTGAAGAAAGTATTGTATTTTTCCATGTATAACACGCCCCCGTGCATAAGACGCCCCCTATTTTTGGGAACCCTCATCTTATACATGAAAAAGTACGGTATCCCTTTTGGGGAGATGCCACATCTTTCCAGCACTCAACGTAAACATTTTACTGCTGGGAAAATGGAATTAGTTTCCCCCCAGCTAGCAAGGTGATTTCAAGTAGTGTTGCCAAGTTGCAGTGTGCCCTCTGTGCGTTTGATGTCACAGTGACCAGAGGCATCTACAGATGTGCTCATCTGCTTAACCTTAGACAAGGAGGAGTCTTTTCCAAGTGGCCTGCCTTTCTGGCAAAGGGACACACCCCTCTTTGATTGAAGCTGTCCAGCAGAAGGGCAACAGCAGCACTGAACATGTAATTTTTCTTTTATTATTTGACACTTGCACCCTTCCAAACATCCTCAGCTTTGATAGCAATTGCCACCTTTCTGCAATGTGGGGCACTGAAGCTTTCCCAGTCTCAAAACAGACAGTGCAGGTAGTCATCTGGCAACATGAAATATATAACAACAACAACAAAAAAATGTCCAGTAGTACCTTAGAGACCAACTAAGTTTGTTCTTGGTATAAGCTTTCGTGTGCATGCACACTTTTTCAGATACCTGAACCTGGCAACATGGTTTGTGTATACTGCTGCCTATGTAAATCATTGGTTCACAACCACTGAATACTGAAACTGAGATGATATCTGACAGTTAGAAAGGATACATTTTTGGTACTTGGTCTCTGTTTCCCGTTCTCTGCTAATTCAATAAGGATTTTTTTTATTACTCTGTGCAGACCAGCAAAGCCTCCTTGGGAAAGTTCTAGGCAAATATATATTTATATATATATATATATATATATATATATATATATAACCAACCCTGAGCTTCTGGCATAGGGTTTGAAATATTTAAATGTAAGTGTAACCAATGGTGCCCAGAGAATGCAGAATTCTATTTACAGGGCAATCCAACCCCCTTATGCCAGGTTGTCTGGGACTGGATTGAGAAGATGTCCCTGACTCTGCAGAGTGCTGGCGGAGTCAGCTGGGAGTTTGGATTGTGCCCTTAGTTATGCCAAAAAAGCAATGGCAACTTGAGGACTGATACACACCCCTGTATCCAATGTATGTGATGTTCATTCTGACTCCACTAACCTGATCTGATGTACTGTTAAACACACATAGGAGTGTGCAATCCCCACCTGGAGTCACTCAGTAAAAATATGCCCACCAAAAGACATTCTTAAGGCCAAACTACTTGTGATACTTTGCCTCTACATGCAGGATGTTTATTGTACAAATAACCAACATGCGGTCCCCAGTTCTAGATCATGACCCTGGTATTGGAATGAGGTCAAGTTTTTATAGCTTTGCCCCAGCTGGGATTCCAATATGGGTTGGGAGGGTGGCAGCACCTTTGGGCACATATAACAAGGTTCCTAATACAAATCAGGGCTGCAAATGGAGGGAAATTAGTTCTCTTTCTTTTTATAGAATAAATGTGGGAGCAATGTTCTGCACTTAAAATGTTATTAATTAACACAACGCAAGTGGCGTTGTGGGCTAAACCACTGAGCCTCATGGGCTTGCCGACTGGAAAGTTGGCAGTTCGAATCCCCGCAGTGGAGTGAGCTCCCATTGCTCTGTTCCAACTCCTGCCAACCTAGCAGTTCGAAAGCACACCAGTGCAAGTAGATAAATAGGTACTGCTGTGGCAAGAAGGTAAACGGTGTTTCCATGCGCTCTGGTTTCTGTCGCGCCAGAAGCAGTTTAGTCATGCTGGCCACATGACCCGGAAAGCTATCTGTGGACAAACACCGGCTCGCTTGGCCTGAAAGCGAGATGAGCGCCGCAAACCCATAGTAATTCTGATGCACTCTAAACCAAGATTTACCTGGGTCTTCAAGTTCGTTTGATGAATAAATATTGTCCATCAGCATTGGTTCCTCGCTGTCACTGGTGGAAGGCCTACGAACTTCAGTTTTTCACAAAAGATGAAATGGTAACTTACAAGAATGGCACTAGAAAACTGTTGTAACATAGGGCATGGCAAGCCTAAGGGACACTGCCGTGTGCCTCTTTTCCATTTATGTTAAATAGCCAATTAATTTAACAATCAGCCATTTGCTAATATGAGCATTTTAAGCTTTAATAACCGCAAAGGACCCCAAACTGGGGTGTTGGCTAATTGGTCTCAAGTAGTCAGCCTTCTCAGTATGTAGCAACCCAATCCTTGAACTCTCCCAGCCCCCTCGAAGCACAGATGGCAACATCATTGATGGGCTTCCATCGATTAATTAAAACATTTCTCCCAGTCTTTTTGGAGAACCTGATCAAATCTATTGGATCTTAGCTTTGTTGTCCTTACAGTATTGTTATTCTATAGGTCTTTGAACAGCAATAAAGAATTGATGTTGTATTGTTGTTCTAAGTTTATGATTTTTTCACTTGGTTTTGACTTTTAAATGTTTGTACTACTTTATTATTATGTTGTGCAACACGTTGGAACCACAACTGTGGTGAAAAGCTGATTATAAATGCTAGTAATAAATACATACATACATACATACAATGCTTGAGTTCAGATATTTGCTTTCAGTAAAACACACAGACATGCAAAACAAAAACCTCTGTCCCTACATACTCATTTCCCATTAAGTGAAAATGATTATACACAGTTAATACAGAATCTAAGAAGGCAAAGAATATTTCTATTTGACAAATTTTTAACTAAATTACATTCAGGAGTAAATCTGAACTCAATCATATTTAGGGGAATATCTGACTCCACAATTATGAAACTCCCCACTGCCTATTTTTAACAAGTGAGCAATTTTAGAATTTAGCATTACTCCACCTCTTCAGAATTTTTGGTATCTGGACAGGGAATAAACCAGTGATGACTACAGCATCCTCGTTTCAACAGTAGTAGTAGGCCTACCGCCTTGCTGATTTTATTTCCTCCCACATATCAGTAGCTCTTAATACCGTATGCAATATGGTACATCCCCACTGCTATGATTACCTCATTAATACGTACTGCAGTCTGTACAATTCAGTGAAACAATAAGAGTTACCTAGATGTTCCTGTAAATCCTGAAGAATATCTTCCATTACTGAAGACTGCAATTTCTCATTAGTGGATGGAGTCTCTTGCTTCACTGTTCAAAAAATATCAACAATTGAATTAATTGGCATTGCTACACTGGGAAGGTTTGGTGAGAAGGCAAATAATTAGTTGCACACAAATCAACTGGAACCAATCTTAAATGAGTATGCCAGAACTATACCTGTTGCCAGTTCGACCAGAGGTTCTAAAGCAGGGATGTGGTGGCCCTCCAGTTGTTGCTGGATTCGGTCTCCCTGGCCCAATGGCCACAAATTAGGGGAGCTGTAGTGCTGCAACATCTGGGCAGCCAGTAGTTCCCCATCCCTGACACAACAGCTTAAAAGAAGGAAAACCTAGATTTGAATTCCTGCTCGTTCATGAAGCTTAACTTGCCAAGTTCTAGCCTTTGATAAGTCACAATCACGCATAACTTTCCATCACTGATGTAGTTGATCATCATCTCCTTCACCTTGGTTTAGGCAAGTGACAAATTACGATGCTTCCTCATGCGGTTGTGGGGACAGAAGAGATTAGCAGTGCAATCATAAACATGCTTGCTTAGAAGTAAATCCCACTGGGTTTAATGAGGCTTAGTTCCTACCAAGTGTGTATAAGATTGCAGCATAAGGGAGTTCCTGGGAAGGCAACTGAGGGTCTGCAGCAGAGTAGGGGAGCCTGTGGTGATCCAGATGTTGTGGAGTGACAACTGCCATCAGCCCCAGAAAGTATGACCAATGGTTCCCCACACCTGGTGTATAGCATACTATGGACTTCCTTGTCCCTGGTCAGAGGTCTTCTTGGTGTGACGGCAGAAAGCTCTGCTGTTACTGCAGATCCACTAATGGCTGTCTCCTCACAGAGGGGTCAGGAACAAGGCACTTGAGGCGGGTGTGTGTGTGAGAGAGACTATTGATCCAGAAGATCAAAAGCCTCTTTATTCCCCAAACAGACTGGAAAAATATGCAGCAGCACCTGTTAAGTGTCGCTGCAGTCAATGGGAAGAAAAATATAAAAGAACAATAATGGGGAAAGTGGAGAAAATTGCCCTAACATCATCTGCGTTAGCCAGTGCCTCTTGGAAGGGCTGTGGATACAGCAGTAGCTGTGGCCAGGAACATAGGGGTGCTCTGCCTGTACAAAGTAAACTAGAAATTAAGGCCTAAAGCCCATTACATAAGATTACTGTCTTAACTTTTAAGCAACACATGAAGGGGACTGATAAGTCAGGATCTATGTTCAAGAAAGCAGTATTTATTTCTGAGTTTTCTGGATTAATCTAACCTCTACGTTAGATTACTGCAACGTGCCACACGTGGGGCTGACTCTACAGATGGTTTGGAGACTTCAGCTGGTGCAGAATTCAGCAGCCAGGTTGCTCACCGGGGCAAGATGGGTTGAGCATATAATGCCAATCCTGGCATGGCTATACTGGCTGCCAATTAGTTTCTGGGCCCAATTCAGAGTGCTGGTTTTGCCCTATAAAGCCTCAAACAGCTCAGGCCCTGTGATCATTAGATGAAGGGCAATACAGTCATACCTTGGTTGTCCAACGCCTTGCGACTCGAACATTTTGACTCCCGAACGCTGCAAACCTGGAAGTGAGTGTTCCGGTTTGAGAACGTTCTTTGGGATTAAGGCTTTCTGGGAAATGATATATAATGAATTAAAAAAGGTATTTAAGTATACCTTCCTTAAGAAACCAGAAGCCTTTCTCCTGGGCATAGTCGGCCAAATGGTGTTAAAAAAGGATAGAACTTTCTTTTTGTATGCAACAACAGCAGCAAGAATACTCATCGCAAAGTATTGGAAGACACAAGAACTTCCCACGCTGGAGGAATGGCAGATGAAACTTATGGACTATATGGAACTGGCGGAAATGACTGGTAGAATCCGTGACCAGGGAGAAGAGTCGGTGGAGGAAGATTGGAAGAAATTCAAAGACTATCTTCAGAAACATTGCAAAATTAAAGAATGTTAGAGTGATGTTGGACTGAAAATAAGCGGTTTCCAGCTGTACAGGTTAAGGTTAATGATAGATCAAGACTAAAGATTAGGATTAAAGATGTTTAATGAAATGGAAATTTGACAATTAAGAGGTAAAATTTTAATGTTATATTACATTAAGACTAAAGCTTAGGTTTAAAGAAGTTGAAGTTATATATTTCAATATTATATTAAATTAAAGACTGGGATTAAAAAAGTGGAAAAGAAATTGCTGGACAAACAATTTGGATTGGAATACAAAAGAGGGAGGTAAGAGGAAGTCCAGAAAATAAGCAAATTTAAAGACGGAAATGGAAAAGAGATATTGTTTTTTTTAATTGTTATGTTCTTTTTTTATTGTTGATTCTTGTCTTTTGTGTTTTTTTTATTTTCTCTTTGAGATTTCTATGGTGTATTTGTGTATTTTTCTTTGATGTTTTTCTTTTCTTTTTTTGGTTGTTTAATTTTTGATTGAAACTTTAATAAAAATTATTATTAAAAAAAAAAGAGAACGTTCTTTGGAACCCGAACGTCCACGCGGCTTACACGGCTTCCAGTTGAGTGTAGGAAGCTCCTGCAGCCAATTGGAAGCCGTGCCTTAGTTTTTTAATGTTTTCAGAAGTCAAACGGACTTCCAGAACAGATTCCGTTCAATAACCAAGGTATGACTGTATAGAAATGTAATTATTATTAATAATATTTTTAAAAGTAATGATTTATCTCAGTCAAGTTTTGTAGGTGTGATACCATGTCCCCCCCCCCAAAAAAATTCTCTGACCAGACCAAGACTGCAATGCTAATAACAACAATATCCCCAGAATTGTTCAGAGTGAAATCAATAATGTCAACGAGTCCACAGCTCTATTTCTATAATGAGATTCTGATAAGAATGCTTTGGGAAACCAATTTGAAATACATTAGTACAATTTTATCAAAGCTCTGCTAATCTTTAATTTTAGAAAGAAGTTTTTTAAAGTAATGGAAGGCAAAAAAATACATACCCCTTTCCATCTTCAGATCAGTTAGTATATTTTCTAGTTCTTCTACAGAAGTTTCTGTTTTTGTTGTCATTATGCTTTGTGAACCTTCATCTTTGAGTGCACTTGTTGCTGCAAGTTACAAAAAAACCTGACTGGTTTTGATAACGCAAAGCTATCTATTGCAAAACTATCCAACAAAATCTTGTAATTTGCTCTTCAGTGGTGGTAGAGGTTGAATTAACAGCAACAACTGATATGCCAAAGATTCAGGCACTTCAAAAACAAAAGACAAAACTTCAAAAACAAAACACAAAATATCCTGCAATTATAGGTACTTATTTTATTGTGATCCTTATCCCTATTGTTGCAATGCACAGTTTTTGAATAATATGTTTGCAAACCGTAACTAGACTACAACAGCCCTGTGGATGACCTCTGCAGTGATTATCTGCAAGAGAATGGCTAAGAAAGCTACATAGAATAATAACTACGAGCAAAGGTATTCTGTGGCTCCTGTGTATTAATTTTCTGTAAGAGCAAAATCATTCAGCAAAAGAAATGTATTAGGTTTACCAGCTCACAAAGAAATACTGCCAGTTCTCTTACATGTACTTATGTGTCACAGGGTTGTCTGAAGGTTTGAAATGATAAGAGAAGTGTAACTTGGCCTGGGCAACTGACTAACTGCTAGGCTGAAATACACACTGCATAATGAAATATAAACTTGATCAGCTTGACAGTGTGGAGCTCTCAGAGAAGGTGGAATCAATTCCAGAGAAATGTCAGAAGCATTTTGCTGCTGACAGCTCAACACACAATACCATTTTTAGTTCTGAAAAATGTTAGTTCTACTACTAGCTCCCTTACTGGAGAGAAAATGGAACCATGGCTATGAGTGATTACATGACTGCAGGGTCCTAGTTATTTATATAAATACTGAATGCACCACAGGACAGTGGAATTGTGTGCCACTACCATGCAAGCAGGGCTTTTTTTCCAAGGCAGAATTTCCCGAAACTCAGTTCTGACATCTCCCAGGTGGGCACCATTGTCATTTTAAGAGAACAAGGGAGGTGTTCATGGTGAGTTCCGGCACCTCTTTTTCTGGAAAAATAGCACTGTGTGCAAGTCGAGTGTTAGCGTATCCACACATTGTCCCAGTCCTAGAAATCCTTCCCCTTCCCTTCCTCCTTCCGTAGTGGCTATATGTGGAAGCCCCTGTTTGTATTTACTATGGATTTTCAATGGTGGAGTGGAATGGGAGACAATAATTCTACTATCCCATCATGCATTCACTATACAAGCAACTCCCGTTTAAAGCACATCCAAATGACCGTGATTGCGCAAACACACATGGCGCTGAACCCAGAAGGAGCCCCAAAACATCACAAAAATGTCACCAAAAAGGACAGAATGGGGTGGGGGTGGAGCCCTCCACCGACATGTGTGGGGGCAGCCCAACCCACCCAAAACAAAGATTGCCTGTACGTATTTTGGCAGAGGTGCGAACATACTATGCTTCCATACAGTTTTCACTCAGTGGCACCACAGGCAGACAAATACTTCCAATTATTTTTCTATAATGTTTGTGAAAGGCCAGATCCTTATATCTCCACCCCTGGAGGGACAAATCTAGCAGGTGGGTGGGGTTGCCCACCTGTCAATCATTGTTGGAACTTGAAAGCACACGATGGGGCTGTTTGAAAGCCCTCTTGCAAACAGTCTCAGGCTGCTCTTTGAACACTTGAGTGTAGAAAAATGCTAACATGGGAAGTGAGTCTCGAGAGTTGCACAAAAATGCCTCCAGTTTTGCTTAAACTATAAGCAGCTATAAGCAATGTTCATTATAGCTCTGCACCTCACATACTACTTGAGCTAAAAGGCTAAAACAGTTTAAACTGATAAGTTCTTTGGTTCTTTAGTAGTATCGCTGTCTGAAAGCTTAAATCTATTTGATGTCATAGTTTTAATAGGACAATTCTACCATCATAAAATTGATCTATCGGTTAAATTTGTCTGTCACATTTCTTCCAGATGGGACAATATAATGCAGATTATCAAGTGCATTCTTTGCAGGAGGACCCATAGCCTGTCAAATTTGACCTTTAATTCAAGCTATTATGCCTTCTTGCAAAAATAAATCCAACATTTAAAACTTTCAATTCCTGGTGTGTTAGCACATAAGAGATACTCCACCCTTGAGATGCAGTAATAATGTAGTCACCCAAAGTACTGGTGTAGCCAAGGCTGAAACTACATTATCTGGAAACAGAAGAGGAAAGTTCCTTAATAGTGAGATAGGGGTTGGAGTGGCAAGGGAGCATTTGCATCTGCAAAGTTAACAGCAGGTATAACTAGATTTCCAGCACTGGGTAACAAGTTGTTGTTTTTACACTTGAAACCATTATTTGCGGTATTTATAAGCCTGCCATTCACAAAACAGTCGCAGAGCAGGAACATATGTGATGTTCGAAAATCCCTTTCACATAGTAAGGTAAATCATGGAAAAGCAGCTCTGATCAAAAAACTTTGTGGTGCACTCTCATGTGCACAAGCAACTCCTGGTCAAGGAAGTTTCGCCCCTGACTTAAATGTGGGAGCCAGCACCACTAGCACCAGGAGGATTCATACAGACAGCTGCCCCCTCAACAGCAAAGTTATAAAACATATCTGGAATTCTGTGCGCACACTGCCAAATTTCATACTCTTATTAAAAACAACAACCTTCAATTGGGTGGAGGGAGAAACATACGTATTTGCTAACCTTTTCGGTTAATATCTTCATAAACCAGAGACTGGCTTGCAGGTTTTCCCAAGTGGGCAGCTTTTACTAGCTTGAAAGCTGTAAATACACATATAGCAAGTTTCTTAAAATAGAGGGGAAACTTTTGGGACAGGATTCAGTCTTGCCTGCTTAGACTCTTCATACATCATAAAAAGTGCAGCAAGCACACATTTCAAGTCACATTATACACAGGAATTATTTCTGGGTCTACACGGTATCCAGGCCCAAGGGCAAAGCGTAAATATTCCTGAGCCCTCCACAGATATTGACTGCATGAGAATAGTTATGGACCCTGGTGTGTTGATTAGACACAAGTGTAATTTCCTGTATCAGGTGTTGATTTAGCTATGACTTTCAGGCTGCAATTCTATACACACTTACTTACTTGAGAGTAAGCCCCACTGAAGCCAAACCACATGGGCTCCAAACCCCATAGAAAGCCATTTGTGTGAAAGTTTTCCTGATACGGTTTAGGAGATCATAAGCACACCGGCCACTCCGAAAACAACAACAGTAAACTAAGTGGTAGTTCCTTTACACAGATGGCTTCCTATTCATTTTATGTTCCCGGTAACAACCACACTACCAGTACAACGTAAGTCCCATTCCAAGGGATGGAATATACTTCTAAGCAATGCTGATTAGGGTTGCAGAATTCTCAGGATGGTATTGCATACCTGCCATATATAATAACAATCTTACAATTTATGTAAAGCTATTTCAAAGTGTTCAAATCTTCACATACATTATCTCTGTAATCCTTACAATAGCCCTGTAAAGTAGGCAAGTATTCCTTTAATCATCACACTATTTAGGATCACCAAGTGAGCTCATGGCTGAGGTGAGATTTCGGTTTGGGATTTATTGGTTTGCAGCTCACCCTTAGTCACTATTCTCTCTAATAATGGTGAGAGCTTTTTCACGTGTGGTCCTGTGAGATGCTGGTTTTAGAGAATTGAAATACTGTGGACTTGTAGCGTTGACTATCACGAGCCATTCCTATCTACTGCATAGACAAAAGGGCATCAGTCAATTCAACCTCTCGGCCTAAAATCACCACAAGATTGTTGTTAAAAAAGAAAGAATGACACAAGAACTGAGACATATGTTGCTCATATTAGAGGTGACATAAAAGTATAGCACACGTGACCAATTGCATTTCACTTAATTTCATTAGGGTACATAATTGTTCTGCAAATTCTATGGCGACAACAATATACCGACACAACAGTATGAAAATTTGTTTCAGGGTGAACCCCTACATCTCACGGAAAGGAAAAATACTGTCTTTTACCTGTGAAAGGATGGTCTCTTTTACTGCCATCTGCAGTGGTCTTTCCATGATCAGGTAATATCAGGGCTGTTCTTCTCCCTTTTTCAGGAATATGCTTCGCATTATTATCCACTGAACTGTTTACTACCACTTGCAAACCATTGCCTTTTAATACTACTGTATCAGTTTTAATGCCTTGGTTCATAATGTTGCTGGCTACAACATGAATTTCAGGGACTTCTCTTGGATCTTTTAAATTGTAAATGTCAATCTCAGTTCTGCTTGAATTGTCAGCGGAAAGGAATCTTACAGTGATATTAGTTGCTCTTACTGATCTGCCAGCATTATTACCAGCATTATTGTCCTGTTTCAAGCCAGGAAGCAAAGTTATTTCTTCTTCGGTTCCTGCACCCTTCACTTTATTAGGTCTCACTGGTGTGTCCACAAGGATATTTGGGGAAATCTTGTGCAGCTTGTAACCAATCAGTACTGTATAGCTATTGGGAAAAGGGATTTCTTGTGTTGTTAGACTACTAGGAGTTGCCTTCACTTTTACAGAGGATCCTGAAACAATATAGTTGATATGTTAACATTTTTAAGCAGGATATTCTGCACTATAAAAACAGCCATGCAGACTACACAACCACACACTTTTCACACAACATCCCTTGAGCCTATGACACTGGGCAAATTTGCTGAGAATCATAAATCTTGTTCCTCCAGATTAAAAGGGATAGGTATCCAAGTTAATGTGTTGTAGATTAACGGTGAAAGTAGTGCTTGAGTGTTACTGAGATTAAATGCTGGCCTTCTCCATAGGAAGGTTAGTAAACACAAAATCCAACAACAGGGGACCACCTGCCTTTGACCACATTCAAGTGGACAGTTAATGATCTGTCATGTTTCTCTGAGGGTTCATGTTCATGCATCAAATTCTTTTGGTGCAGAACTTGGATTCGGTGATCTGCAAATAAAATAATCTGCATGAATATACATGTGACAATATCCTAACCAAAAAACAAAACAAAACCCCAAACTTCTAAAATTGTTGTGCGGTGTAGGTAGCTGCGAGCCAGAAAATCTCCAATCTTTCAAATCTTTTTAATCAGCCATGAATTCACATGATGGCTGTAGGTAAGCTATGTCCCTTGAGCCTTTCCTGCCCTTGACTTAATTTGCAGCATGGGGATAAAGCAGCCCTATCTTACAAGGCACGAAAGAGGAAGATGAAGCCCAGGGGTCATATTGGATTCTCCAGGCCTGCCTATCTGGCCTTCAGGATTCTTCCCAGGATACACCCATCCCCAGATCATGTGCCTAACCAGCTGTACTGCATTCCTTCCTTGAGTGCCTTTTCCTGGCAGGGATGTGTCCTTGGAACTGTAAGAAATGCCTGGACGAGGAATGGAGATATATGTGAATGCAGAAACCTCTGACTCTTGTGTGGCTGGTGTATAGACTCCTGGACAAAAGGTAAAGGTAATTTCCATTTCTCCACCCACATGTTTCCATTTTCCAAACCAGTGGCAAACAGTCCCCAGAAGTTTGCCCTTGTGAGGAATGTGGTTCCCCACACTTGTTATAAGGAACTTTCAGATAATGTATGTGAAGTACTCTGAACACTTAAAAAAAAAAGTACTATACAAGTACCATTAATGACTGTCACTGAATTACACTACGTGAGAAACAGCTTTAACAGCAAATGGCAAGCTTTCGTAGTATTTAAAAGAGGGTAGCAGAAATAACAACAATTGTTTAACGACAGCAAGCCGATACACTGTGCAGTGCGCACACATGACATGGTTCCTTCTTACGGAGTTCAATAGTTGCAGCTCAGTCCTAAATGTATTTATTTAGACTCCAGTTCTACTAAGCTCAACGCAGCTCACTTCTGTACAAATATGCCAAGGATCCAAGCTTAAGTGGCAGTCAGTCTAGGCATTATAATATCCACTCATGACTTCTACCATCCGGCTGTGGACTTTTGTTGCAAGTGGCTGACTTTTGTAGAGGCATCTGCAGCTTGCACGGAAGCTTGCCCACAATTTCTTGTAATTTATAAGCAAAACAACTCAGTCATTTGAATTATTGTGCTCCTTAAAATGCATTCTCAGTGTTGTACACTGCGCCGTGGGATCTTTTGATAAAAGGCAGCATATAAATCAAATAAATAATTGGGAGGAGCCATGAGGCAAGCTAAACTGGACAGTAGAAAGGTGTGTGGCAATTTGCCAAGTGACTACAGTAACATGTGGCTTAGCCACACAGTGCACAGCACAAACAGCTTAAAATATGGTCTGGCAAAGAAATGGCAAGCGTGGACACCAGGAAGGCACAAAAGGGACCAGAACATACATACAAAATGTGATGCTCAATTGTGGTCCAGGAAGGGCTTTGTAAAATTAGGTTTCTGGAAGAGGAATAGAGAGGAGAAAATATGGAGGAGGCTAAGAACACAAGGAAAACCTTGCTGGATCAGACCAAAGTTCTGTCTTGTCCAGCCTTCCTGTTTTGCATGGTAGCCATTCATATTCCTATGGGAAGCCCACAAATAGGGAGTGAATCATAGTTGGGAGGGACCCCGAGGGTCATCTAGTCCAACCCCTGAATCTCAACACGTGGTTCCCCATCCAATTTGAAACCATGTTGGACCCTGCTTAGCTTTGCAATTGTGGTTATCAGTTTTATTGCTGCACCACTAGAAGGCAATGGCCTTTCCCCATGGTTGCTCCCCTGCCACTGTAATTCAGTAGCAGACTGCCTCTGAACCTGGAGCATCCACACAGCCATTGCAATTCGTAGTCCTTTGTGAGCCCATCCATTCCCCCTCTAAAGGCATGCCTAGAAAATGGGGGGGCATATGCAAGCAAACAAATCCAAAGACAAATAATGAGTCATCATAAATGCATACTATGAAAAACACTCTAATACACAGATAACTATTTTCAGATTATTTTGCATTTATGTCAAGTTTTGAGCCCTACTTTTCAGCTTGTAAGTGGTGGGCTAGAGTTTCACTGGAAATACAGTGGTGCCTCGCAAGACGAAATTAATCCGTTCCGTGAGAGTCTTCGTCTAGCGGTTTTTTCGTCTTGCGAAGCAAGCCCATTGACGGATTAGCGCTATTAGCGCTATTAGCGGTTTAGCGGCTATTAAAGGCTTAAAGGCTTAGGGGATTAGCTGCTAAAAGGCTATTAAAGGCTATTAAAGGCTTAGCAGATTAGATAAAGGGGGAAAGCGAAAAAAATCTCAAGACTCGCAAGATATTTTCGTCTTGCGAAGCAAGCCCATAGGGGAATTCGTCCTGCGAAGCAACTTCAAAACGGAAAACCCTTTCGTCTAGCGGTTTTTCCGTCTTGCGAGGCATTCGTCTTGCGGGGCACCACTGTACAGAGATTAACATTTTGTACATCTTTGTGCATTGATATGTAATGCTTATTTATATGTTATTCACATGGGAATATAACACGTGATAGAGAGCTGCTACTTACCAAGTAATTTAATAATTTCTTTAAGATTATTTTTTGAATTTATTGAACTGTTCACATCTGCAAAAAAATAATAATAAACAATTTCACAATGACATCAGTTATAAAGACTACATGCCGGAGTTCTTTTGAAATTGCCCATCTTCTCATCAGTTATCATGAACACCTTTAGGATACACCTACCAAAGTCAGTGAGCATAGGATCAATTATATTGCGCCGGATTTCAAAATGATGAAAGCAAACTGAACAAATTTGTGTAGATACTGAACACATCCTAAATCAGCTGCTTCACACCTTCAATCTACAACTAAACTACTTTTTCCATGCCACTGTAAAGTGCTGAAATTGAACTGGCACGGTATAATCCTAGGCCCAAATTCAGAGGCTGAGGCAAGTCTTCTAAGGTCTCAGGTTTGGAAGCAGATGCTGCTGGACCGCAACTCCCATAATCTCTGGCCACTGACCATGTTGGGTGGGGCTGATGGGAAATGTAATCCAATGATATCTGGAGGGGTCATGGGTTGCCTGTCCCTGACCTAAGCCAAACACCACTCAGCAGAACAAAAGGATGGGAAGTTTCTATGGCTCCATGCCAACAAGAGGTAAGTTAGAAAAGCAGGAGAATGTTTATTTTTTGGCTTAAACTGTTCAAGAGACACACGGCATATTCTCAAGGAGGGTCTTAGTTCCTGTATGAATTGCATTGAGAGGAAACAACAAGGCACTATTTTAAATTAATTAGGTCAATGTAGTAAGTACAAAGCTGAGCAACAAGCAAAGACAAGACTGAGTGAGAATGTCAAGAAGTCACACTGAAAGACAATTAGAATTGCAAACTTAACCTTTGAATCTTTTCACAATGGGGGTTTCTTGAACTCATGAAGGTGGAAACAAATGGAGGATTCCCCCCCCTATAATGATCTAGCTTGGAATGCAGGGAGGAGGGCTAGGGAAATGGAAAGCCCAGGGAGAGAGAGAGAGAGAGAACACGAAACAGCAAGATTAAACTGGGGACATCTAGTTGAGGAATTAAAACCAGACATGACTTTAAGTGTCTGGATTGCCTCTGCCACTAAGAAGATCTGACCCATCTTCATTGTTTGCTAACTAGGGTGAGAGAACTAGCTAGTTGCCTTCTCAGGAGCCATACATGCTTTACACAGGAGAGGTATCATTTGTTCTCTATGTTTTCTTCTGCTCTGCAGGTATTGCTGTTCTGCTAGTTGCCCGAGTTCTAAATGTTCTGCACTGCTACGCTTCAACGAACCGATTGATATGCGAACCTTTAAACTAGAGTGTGTTGTTGCTCTCTGTTTCAGTGGGAACTTGTGGCTCCTTCTGGAGGGCATCAGATTGTAGAGCTTGAACCATGGTGATGCTGAGGCCATCACACCAAAGCTGCACCATTGCTCTCAGTCCACATTAGAAACAAGCCAGTTTGATATGTTAATTAGCATATACCACTGCTCCATAAAAGAGCTTTGAGTCTGCCCTTGGAACCAATGCTAACTCAAATTTCAATGTTTTCTGTTTTCTAATAGTGAGCCGAAAGAAATAAGCATACACACCAAATGGCAATGACGCCTCTATAATACTACCTTCAACTCACTTTTTTTTTTTATTAAAAAAAGCCCAATAGTATCTGTTTCTAGCCCAAAATCCTGTCTGGAGGTGTAGGAGAAATAGATCACTGCTCACTTAGTTTGACTGAGGTCTATGGAACTGTTCATTCTAGCATGACCGACCATCCATCATTAGACCCATTCTGAATGCCACAACATATTCAAGAAGTATATGCATGAATCCAAAGTTCCAACACTAAACCAATGACAAAGCTGATTTTCAAATGGTCTTAATGACAGACAATCTGCATACCAATTGACTCATTTACGCACATGATAACTGAGAACAATACAAGAAAAATATGTAAAAAGGTCTGTAATGGTGCATGACAATTGCTTCCAAGTATGCTGACCTTTGGTAAATGAAACAAACAAAAAGTACAGTGCTCTTTTGACGAGACATTAATGAGTGATTAAGAATGAGTACAGCTGCATCATATGAACACTCGGTTAAAAATATTCTTTTTGCATTCAGTGTCAGTCTCATAATTATGATGGAAAACACTGTGGAAGGAAGCAAACAAGCCTATGCAGTGAAATATTTATATTTTTACAATAGCTATATGGTTTTCGACAACACTGTCAAATACTAGCTCACTTACTATTTTTCCAACTACTATTATTTATATGCAGACCCTATCATTACTATTACATGCTGGTACAGCAGTAGTTTAGTAAATTCTTACTTAATTTCCAATATCTACAGCCATTGCATATTGCATAGATATTCTAGAATGCTACCTTTTGAATTCATTTCCTAAAATAATTACTTAACAGATAAACCCAATAGACAATCTGGATTTATTTTTAATGTGTGAAAATGATTGAAAATTAAAATATAAAAGCTACATACTTTTAAAACATTAAAACATTTTAAAAAAACATGTATTCTGGTATTTTTGGGTGGTGGACCAGAGCTATGGTTCTCAAAACTGAAGATGAACTAAGGAGGTACAGGCAGCTTCTAGGACTAGCAGAAGGTACTGATTTCAGCAAGGCTTTCAACAAAGTCCTCCATGATATTCTGGAGGAGAAGCTGGTAAAATGTGAGCTAGATGGTGTTACTGTTAGGTGGCTTTGCAGTTGGCTGACTGGACCTAAAAAGTGCTCACCTATGGTTCCTTGTCATCCGAGGGGAAAGTGACAAGTGAGGTGTCATACTGCTGCAGGATTCTGTCCTGGGTCCAGTGTTGTTCAACATTGGATGAAGGAATTGAGGAGAGGCTCATCAAATCTGCAGATGACACCAATCTAGTTGGGGTAGCTAATACTTCAGAAGATAAACTCGGGAATCAAGATGAATTTAACAGATTGTAGAACTGGGCCAAAACTAACAAAATGAATTTCAACAGGGACAAATATAAGGTTCTACACTTAAGTAAGAATGGTAAGATGCACAAATATAGGATGAGGAACACCTGGCTTGGCAGTAGTACAGGACATATGAAAAGGGTCTAGTTGTCTTAGTAGACCAGAAGCTTAATATAAGTCAAGAGTGTGATGCAGCAGCAAAAAAGCTAATACAACTCTAGACTGCATCAGCAAAAGTATAGTATCCAGAGAAAAGGAAGTAATAGTACCACTCTGTTATGCCTTGGTCAGACCACACCTGAAGTACTGTGTCCAGTTCTGGGCAACAAAGTTTTAAGAAGGATTTTGACAAGATGAAACATGTGCAGAGGAGGGTGACCAAGATGATCAAGGATCTGGAAACCAAGCCTTACAAGGAACGGTTGAGAGAGTTGCTTATGGAGAAGAGAAGAGTGAGAGGGGGCTATGATAGTGATCTTCAAATACCTGAAGGACTGTCATATGAATAATGGGGCAGGGGCAAGCTTGTTTTCTGCTTGTTTCCAGAGGGTAGGATTAGAACTAATTCAAATTACAAGAAAGGAGGTTCCAAATAAACACCAGAAAGAACTTTCTGATGGTAAGAACTGGAAAGGACTAACTCAGAATGGGGTGGACTCTTCTTCATTTTAGGTTTTTAAACAGAGAGTGGATGGCCATCTGTCAGGGATACATTAGCTGTGATTTCTGCATTGCAGCAGGTCGGACTAGGTGGCCCTTGGGGTTTGCTTCTAATTCTAGAATTTCCTGGTTCTGTTTATTATACCCAGTCCCAGCCCAGCCTGTGTGGTCCTGAATGGCTAATAGGAGACATTCTGTTATGCCAACCTGCTCTCCTCTTGCACAATTAATAGAGCATAGACTGTCGCTCATAAAGACAGCTCCCCGTAGGCCATGCCCTCAAAGAGAGCAAATATATTAGGATCAAGTGACATTCCTAAAAAGGGGGAACTAGCAAAGGGTAGGGTAAAGATAAAGGTAAAGGGACCCCTGACCATTAGGTCCAGTCGTGGACGACTCTGGGGTTGCGGCGCTCATCTCGCTTTATTGGCTGAGGGAGCCGGCGTACGGCTTCCAGGTCATGTGGCCAGCATGACTAAGCCGCTTCTGGCGAACCAGAGCAGCGCACGGAAATGCCAGTTACCTTCCTGCCAGAGCGGTACCTATTTATCTACTTGCACTACGTGCTTTCGAACTGCTAGGTTGGCAGGAAAAGAGTAGGGTAGCGGTTAGCATATTAGCCTTCGGCTGGAGAGACCTGGGTTCTAATCTCATATCATGGATCAACTCTGCAAGCTTTAGAACAATGGCAAATACTGCTCCAGAGGATAATGTAATAACTTGTTGTGATTTTTTTTAAAAAAGTGCTAGTTTCACTCCCCTGTGCTCTACACCACTGCATAGCCCGCTTAACTTGGAACGATACTGTCTGTTTCTCAAGAGAAAAATGCCGTTTGAGGCTCCCTAAGTATACCTGATTCACCATGTTGATCATACAGTCATCACAATTACAATGTGAAGAACCCTAATACAATGCACAAGGTATAAAGGACCTTGTACACCAGAAACCAAAGTCAAGTTCTGAGTGTATTCTACTTCCCATGTCTGAAGTAGTCTCTTCAGAATATAACCTCTCCTTACAAATCAGCTTAACACAGCACACCAGCAATAATAGATTGTGACTGACTGGGTACTTGACTACTCCCTGCTCTGCTTCTGCAGTCCAGGGCATGCAACAAAAATAGGTTTGTCAAGCCTGTGACAAACACCATCATACATGGCTGGTGCACTGCATTCAGCTTGGTGAGTCACAAATTGTGGAGGCTGGTGTAAATGACCATTAGAATAATAACCTTGAGACTAAAACCCCACAGAAGCTGATCAATAATGTGACAATAACCTCAACAGGATATGCAAGGCCTTGGACCATGATGATTCATATAAATTATAATACAGATCTAATTTTTGAGTTATGGCATTGGGCAAAGACTGCACCAGGTAACAAGAAACATTTTAAACAAATAAATTATAGTGTTTGCATCAAACTGGCTTGCACAGATACTTATTTGAAAAGGCTGTTCTATATTCCTGAGCACCATGGAACTGTTGACTACAACAGACTCCCTTAAATTCAGATCAACTTTTCTATCATGGATTCACTGTACAGGAGGAACTGCCGAGCACCGGTGGGATGCTAATTTGCAAGAGGAAGCAGGAAAACCTGGAAAATGGTACTCCTTCCCCTTTCCCCCTGTCTGCTTTTGGAACTGTTTTTCAAAAGAGAAATCCTGAAGAAGGTTGCTCTCCAAGCAGAGTTGAAAGGGGGAAGTTTTGTTGCTTTCTTCTTTTGCTTCCCTCAATGTCTCAGAGATCAATTAAAAGCGGTGAAGAGATCAGAACACCACCTCCTAGCCTCTTGGGGAACAGAAGCACTTTGGAGCATGCTTGCTTATGTGTTCTCTCTCTCTCTCTGTTTGTGTGTGTGCTTGGATCTAAAGGACAACATACATGTTTACACCACGTGAATACATAAAGAGGGCATTGCTTCATACAATCAGCTACAAAAACTGAGTCCTCTTTATACCGAAAATAAAATACCTGCACTGAAAGAAATGTGATGCTGACATACAAAGCACTTTGTGTTCATCCTTTCCTGTAATTTGGAAGGAAAATGTAGCCAATCCACTTTAAATTCTTCAATTGCAATGGTTCAGCAGCCAGCAATTATTTAACTTGTGGAGTATTTATTCTTTTGAGCCTTAGACTGCAATCCTTTGCTACTGAAAAGTCTCACTGAATTGTGCACAGATTCTGCAGTCTTATACTGGAATCTTAAGCATTTTTACCCAGAAGTAAGTCCCACTCAGTTCAATAGAGTTTACTCTCTGGTATGTGCCTGATAATCATCATCATTATTACTATTATTATTACATACAGGCATAATACTTCTTAGAATTCCTCAAATGATCTATTAATCTCTGAGGTGATCCACTTAAGGTTGAATGAAAGCCAGACACACATACACACACATACACAGAGGGAATTGAACTATTTGGAGAGACTCTCTCTTCTCCAGCCTCTTCCAAACTCCTTTTTATGCCCCTTAAGAACAAATGTCTTGAGGTGTGTGTGTGCGTGGACGCAAACGCGTGGGGTGTGTGTGTGGGGGGGGTGTTATTGTGGAGGCAAGTGAGGTGTGTTGTCTCTCTGTGTGTGTGTGTGAGAGAGAGAGAGAGAGAGAGAGAGAGAGAGAGAAACTGGGTCTTTCCCCCAGGTGACAGAAAGCCTCGTTTCGGCCTTGCAGGGGTGGCCTCTGCCCAGCCCCACCCTCACGGAGCGCGGCGCATTATACCTGGGCCAGGTTCTCCCTGGGGCCTAATCTGAGTGTTCCAGCTGGGCAAGGAAGCGAGGAGGACGAGGAGGCAGGCGGGGACGGCACCCCTAGCGGCCAGCGCCATATTCGCCACCGGCCACCTCCGCCAGGAGACTCGGGTGTCCTGGGAACGACTTGGCTCCAGCCACCTGGTAACGCTTCTCCTGCTCCGGCCGGCGGGGCGCTCGGTCTCCAGGACACGCGCCGCGCGCCGAACGCTCCCGGCTCTGTGACCTCACCCTGCCGTCGGAGATCCGCACAGCCCCTCGGGTCGGGGGCTTCCAGAGCTGCTCGGCTGGGGAGGAAGCGGGGCGCTACGGGGAGGCCCCACCTCCACCACCAAGGACTCCTCCTGCAGCCCGAGCGCTCTCGTCGGTGGCGCATGGAAAGGCGCGAGCTGGCGGGCAGGGAAAAAGTGGGATTTCGCTTCCCTCCCTGCGCTGGCCGCAGGCTGAGGAGAATGCGTGGGTCACAAGAAGGCGGGATACTTTACGCGGGGACTTTCTGAGGGGGTAGCCGCCACCGCCACCGCCAAGCGGCCAGCAACAACCTCCTTTCGCCAGTATCAAAACGCCCTGTAAAAACGACTCTCCAAACTCCGCAGTAGGGCAATATAGGCCTCTCAAAAAGGCCACAAAATAGCGAGCGAGCTTTAGAGTTCTCCAGAACTTTGCAGGCGGCTGCGTTTTGTGCGAGGAAGGAAAGGAAAAAAATCGGGCCCCATTCGATATTTTCGATATTAACAAGCGCGCACGCCACACCGTCGCTTGAGGTGCTTGCTGTTCACCTCAGAACGAGCCCTTATCCCTCCCACCCACAAGAAGCGCCCTGTAATCTTAACAGGAATATGGAAAGGTTTGTTTTCTTTCTGCCTTCCGAAGAGAGGCTTCCTTAAGCCTTTGTGTGTAAGGAAATTGAGGAACAGTAGCGGACAGGGGGACAGGGCCTTGGCTTAGCCCAGCATGGGTGGGAGTGGACACTTGACCTCAGAGAGAGCCTCCCATTTTGCATGGGCAAAAGCCACCCCAGTTGTGCAGAAAGATGGGGGCACAGTGGTTTCTACAGTTAAAGAGGTGTGGTGGCTCCAGCTCGCCAGAAGCCGCACATTTTGCCTGGAAGCTTTCTCCCCATCAATCCCAGAACTGAACTTTCTCCTTCTTGGCATGAAACTCCTGAAAGGATGGAATTGCCTGCGTTTTCTGAGAGACTTCTTCCAAGAAGGCTCAAGCAGCAGCTTGCAGGGAGGCCTTGCTATTAAATAAGAGAAGGGCAGCCTGTGAGTACAATTTCTAGGCCTGGTCCACAGACCCGGCAGAATGAGGCGGTAGGTAGCTTTATACCACTTCATTCTGCAGGTGGGGGAGAACATTTTCTGATGTTCTTCTGCCCTGTAATGCTATCAGGCCAGGGAGTGTAGACCACCCAAGGAAATATTGAAAAATAACACACAAGCACCCTTTGAAGTGCTGCAGTTTATTCTAGCACTTCAGAAGCTCACCACCTCATTCCCACGTCCCACCCCATTCTGCTGCCCTTGTGGGGTTGGTGATTAGAATGTCAGGATAGTAGGACCAGCTTCATTTTCTCACTTGGCCATACAGTTAACTGGGTGGCCTTTGGGGCAATCATGGTTTCTCATTCTGATCTGCTTCTCAACCTTGGATGAAATGGGGAGGGGGGGAAATGAAGAGGTTTGAGAACCATGCACATCACCCATGTAGACCACCCAAGGAAATATTGAAAAATAACACACAAGCACCCTTTGAAATGCTGAGTTTCTTGTAGTCTGGGTGAGATATAAATGAGTATGTAGACTAGACCCTAGTGCCAAACAAAGTGCCTTCTATTGCCTTCCACAGGACAGCAATGATAAATGATGTAGAGAGATAAATAGAGAGAGGACTGTCCTTTTAATTTCTGGTTTGAATTGATCTTTCCTCTCTCCCCTGGGAGAACAACCCACAGGAATCAGTGGAGAAATCTAAGATTTTAACCTATCCATGGCTGGGCACCAGATGTTCCCCAACCCCAAACAAAAGATAGCAGCAAAGACAAGAGTCTCTGCTCTTCTTCCTACCTAGGGCGGGATAGCGGGAGGAAATAGCGACTGAGCATTTGAAATCATAATCCATCTGTGTACAGGTCATTGGAGGAATTGTCGGCGAGAGCTGGATTTGGGCTAGGTGGAAGTCCTGTGTGAGGGCCATATAAGCATTTTCAAGTACCATTATTCCAGTGGGAGAAATAAGCTTAAATATCTTTCGCTGGAATCAATAGAACTTAAGTAGGGTTATTGTATTGGTGTTCACAAGCAATACAACAAGGTAAAGCGTTGATGGATGGAAGTGTAGTGCTTTCAGGATTTCAGAGTAACAGACCATAATGGATATGTGATATAATTGCACACAGTCGTTTGAAAGAAGGAACCTATGTGGGGCTGCAGTATTGTTTGTGCAATACGGATAAATCTTTTTAAAATTAGGGCCGGACATCTGGCGATTCTAAATTAGATGCAGCAAAGAAATATATATATATATGATGCAAAGTAATAATAATGAATGCACCTTAATGTTTGAGTGATTATAACAAGCTTTCAGTTTCTCTATTAAACTAAAAACATATTTATCTTCTTAAATTAGTGCCAGATAGATTTGAAAGAATGCATGCGTTGACTATCTCTAATGCGCTTGTATTCAGAAATATATGTGTTTAAAATTCCCCAGTCGGGTCATTTTGAAGTGGCTGCCCATTTCTCAGCCAGGAAGAATGTGAGAAATGACATCTCAATGTCCATGGCCTTGACCAATAAGTGTGGGAGGCCCATTTTGCTCAACATGTCCCTGGTGAGCACCAACCTACTAGCTTACCCTCTGAGCTGGGGTATATGACAGCAGGCTCCAGTGAACTCCTCTCATGCTCCTCCACCTATGGAATCCTGTACTGACGCCAAGCCTCTGCAGTTTACTGCATTGCAGTTTACAGATACTCCTGTGCAGGAGACCTCTGTACGGTCACTGTTCTGCAAACTTCTCTCCTAGTTCCTGTAGTGTCAGAAGTTCACAGTGACTTTACTAGGGATGAAGAAGAGTGCACCTCTGAAGACCTATGCGAAATTTATTCTGGCGTTTATGCATTGCATTTCTCAGATCAAGTGGCTGCCTGATGCACTTAAGACTCATGGCTGCAAATGGGATCGCTCCTGGCCACTTCCAAGAATCCTAAACTAACTGTATCCATGTCTTTATACGTACAAGAATGATATGCCAGCAAACAGCCCTGCCCCTAGTGATCTGAGTTCCTCAGACAGCAGTGCAGAATAAGCTACTGTATACATCATGGAGACTACAACTTAAAGCGGTTTTGGAAGGATCAGATAGATGGTAAGGAGTTGCTATTTTTATTAAACTGCAATGACCATTTTGTGCACTTCCGATTGATGCGCGATTGCCGACATGCTGGTTCCGGCCCTGGAAGTGGGCGGAATGGGGAAGGGCGGAAGCAGAACAGGAAAGGGCTGATGCATGACCACATGCACTCAGTGGCCCGGAATGTAACCCCAGCACAAACAGGGAATTGCCTGTATAAATAATTAAAAAAAATTTTTTTAATATAAAATTAATATAAATTATTTAAAACCTGAATTCCATAGGAACAGGAACACTGAGCTAGTCGTGTAGAGAGCTTTTATGATACCCCAAAACAAACACATGTTCATCAGGTCTGACACACCAACATCGGGAGTTAGGAAGCACACAGAAGGTTCATTCTGTACACCTGTTGTTGGGATGACACAGTCATGTACAACCCAGCCCTAGAACTATGCTTAAAACCGTTTGGGCCATTCAGTGAAAATGGGGTTTAGCAGCCACACCATATGGTGACTTGTAACCCCTTGTATACAGTCACAGGCAATGTGATGGTTGTGAAAAGTGATCATGACCCACTCCTAAAATCATGTCAAAGGGCATCATTCCATAACAGCACTTTGGGAGGGCATACTAAAAGGAGGCAGGACTTGCAGTGAAAAAGGGGGAGGGGCACATGCCATGTTTTTGAATGACAGATGGTACATGCCTTATATTCTTCTCACTTTTCAGTGTGTTAGTCAATGAATGAAGTCAAGAGCTGTGATTGGCAAGTGGTAGAGAACAACTTCATACAATCGCAAAAGGAAGACCCCAAAATAGCTTCAGAATGACTCAGAAAGTTACTTCTCCAGCCACTGGAGAAGGAATTTCCACATTCATTTTGAAGCCAGTTTGGGATTTATCTTGACATATCTGTCATTCTAGAATTCTTTCTAGATTTAGATAATAGAGAAAGATTGCCTGCTTCATTTTGAAGGGACTTCCTGCTTCATTTTTAAGTGATGCTTATTTCCATTTTTCTGGCTATAGAGAAGGTGCCCAGAATAAAATTGTTGCCCAGAAGAAAACAACAGAAAATCCCAGTATTTTAGTGTAGCTGTGACTGGGGAGTAGCATGTCCACTCAAAAAGGAAAAGGTAGCAGTGAAGAGAGAAGCTCATTCTTTTTCTAAGGTTTAATTTCGTGCAAAAAAAGAGAGCATTTTTCAGCGTTTCTTTTTACACTGTAAAGAAATCACCCTGCTAATACAAATGTGCACCGTTGGTATATCCAGATTGTCTATATGTGTATTTGCAGTATGGTGGTTGAGAATGTGTGGGTTACATCAGCCTTGAAAAGTAGCCTCATGTTGCTATGTTACTATTGGGGTGGAGTGCTTAGAGAGGACAGGTGGATTGTATTCAATGTAAACACTAAGGTTAAAGTTCTGTCAGAGCAAGGATTTCACGTTGTGTGACAGAACATTCTCCCCTGCTAAATCTGTTCTCGGTGTTCCTCCAGCCCCCACAAGCAGATGGGGACAGTGTGGAGCGCACATGGGGTGAGGAGGGAGGAAAATCCCCTTGTGCTAGCACTAATCCTTACAAAATGTTAGTTGAATACCATGCAGTGTATAGTGGTTTTGCAATGTGCTTCAGTGTTGTTATCCAGTCTCTTGATGGAATGTATGACTCGCCAAATGTCATTGGGCTCCAATTGCCACCAGCCCTGTCTAGCATGGCTGGTGATCAAGGATGATGGGACTAGCAATCAACAACCTCTGGAGGGCAAGATATTCCCTGGTCTATAGGAATAAATAACCTTGTAGCTAAATATCAGCAACTAGAATGTTCTTAACCAGATGCAGTTCTGCTTGCTTTTGGTTGCCTGGTGAAGATAGTGGCTTAGACTGAGTTTATTTTAATTAATGCTGAATTTGTTAATTTCAAATTTTGATGTATTGGGTCTAGTTTGGAATGCTATTTGTTTTACGAGTGGTAGACTCGTAATCTGGTGAACCAGGTTCACGTCTCCGCTCCTCCACATGCAGCTGCTGGGTGACCTTGGGCTAGTGACACTTCTTTGAAGTCTCTCAGCCCCACTCACCAGAGTGTTTGTTGTGGGGGAGGAAGGGAAAGGAGAATGTTAGCTGCTTTGAGACTCCTTCGGGTAGTGATAAAGCGGGATATCAAATCCAAACTCTTCTTCTCTTCTTATGTGGTGTTATTACTTATCTGTTAGTCACCTTGAGTTTCCTTGGGAAACAAAGTAGGGTGAAATTATTATTTTTTAAGAAAATAAATACAAGTTTCAGCTCTGTGATTCTGTGATTCTAAAAGGGAGTCATGGAGGTCAGAATGGAACAGAACATATATGCAAAAGCTGATTTGTAGGACAGCTAAAAGAAAAATTACAATTTAAGTAGATTTGAGCTACGGTTTGAACATATACTTGACAAGTTCTATTTTTGAGATGGACTACACATTTAAAATAATCATTTGTTTTTTAAAAAAACAACCAGTGCTGAATATTATGTTTTCCCCAACAGAAATAAATTAAAGGAATCTAATTGAAGAAATATACAACAGTGGTTAATATGTTGCTACTTGAAAAAGAGATGTTGCAACTTATAATCTTTTATGGGTTTATGTTGTTAAATGTTTAATCAGGCATGTGAATGTATTCAGGTGTTAAAACATTCTATTAGCTATGAAAATTGCACTATTATTTACTGAGCTGTTTGTGATACATTGTTGGCGGCTTTTAGCTCTCTATAGTCCCTGTTTAATTCTCCCTTTAACTAACTAACTAACTAACTAACTAACTAACTAACTTTCTTTCTCTTTCTTTCTGAAAGACTTAAGAGAGGAAAAACTAGAATAGATGAGCTCGGTCAAGAAATATTTTTTCAATTACAAATTAATTTTATTTCTCTCTTTTTTTTTAGAAAGAGGAAAAGGAAAAACAAATGTGCTATACTGTTAATACCTGTTTTAAGCACAGGGCCATAAGTACTAAGGCAAGGACGTCACCCATCACAATGTTATGGTCCTTGGATCAACCCCCTTTTAGGTATGGGGAACCCACATCCTTCCAGCTTTTGTTGGGACTTCAACTCTCACCAGGTCCAGCATCCCATTAGTTAGCTTCTGTGTGGCAAAGCTGGGCTGCACAGAGAGAGATAGATATAACTTTATTTGCATCAGCCGATGGCCATAGCAATGATAAAACATTACAATATACACAGAAAAAAAGGAAATTTAGTATAAAAGCACAGTTTACGGTCCTGAATCAACAGTCAGATAGTGGCCCTTATTCTGATCGCCCCTGTCAAGAACCTAGCAGCCTTTGCTGTTATCTGCTCCATTTGGTCTGACAGGAGAAAGGACACTGTGGCAGTGGTTGTGCATCCTGGCGTGGTCAGTATGAGTAGGGTGATGATCTCGTTCCTCAGATCTTTGTAGAGAGTACAAGAGAGGAGGACGTGAGCCACTGTTTCGGTGCTACCGTCTCCACAGGGGCAAAGGCGTTCCTCATGCAGGATCTTTTGGAATCAAGTACCGCAGATGGCAAGACATTCAGTCTTGTGAGTGTGAAAGCACGTCTGTATTTTGGGATAGCTAGTTTGTGCAGGTATGGAACCAGAGAATCAAAATGGAAAGATGGAAATTGATCATACCATGGGCAGAATTTCCGTATAGTGGCCCGGTTGTTCTGATGCTCGATACCTTTTAGACATTGGCCAATTAGACTGTATGCTTTGGTAAGGCCCATAGTGAGTAGGTCTTGTGGGAATAGCCCTCAAGAGTGGAGTTTTTGGTGGACAGTTTTAAGCCAGGCACTTTTGTGGTAGTCTTGAAGTACTAGGGATAATAAACCAGGGGGATTTGAGTTTAGGTCGAGCCAGAAGTTAAAAGTTCTTTGCCAAATCCGTACTGAGGGGAGAGTTGCCTCTAGGTGCAATGATGCGTTTGGGGCACAGGGCTTAAGAACTTTGATTGAACAGCTTCCCAAGTGTCAAGGTGGTTACCAGTGCTGGCTTAGTTGGAGTGGTCTTGGAGATTTTTGCATGCAGATCAGTGGAAAACATGGGTTAAAGGGGCAAACCACATTGCTAACATGTTTAACAAAGCCCCTGTGCTTTTTAAACAGCAAAGCTGTTTCACAAGGAAGGCATTCAAAGCAGGCAGGCGGGAGGGAAATGTGCAGAGTGTTTAACTCACAGGTACAGATTTTTAAACTTGTGAGCAGAGGTTTTGGAGTTGCCTAGAACAGGGAAATGGGAGGCAGAGAAATGATTATTAATCCACCATCACTTTTCCAGTCCAAATTGCCTCTCTCTAAAGCAGCTTTTTAAAATTTTTGCACCTCCATTCACATATTAATCTCCATATCAGAAGAAATAACAGTAAAGGTGTGCTTTCTCCTTTTGCTTTCCTATTCCCTTTAGCTTAGGGCCGTAAATTCCCACTGTTCTTTTGTAGACAGTAGAATAACTATTTTAGTCTATTTAAAAAAATATTTGTTCTCTTTTTAAAATTTTCACTCCAAATAGGGAAAAAAAGAGAGGTTTAATTTTAGTTTTCTGTCATTGTAAAACAGTTCTTAGCATCTTTATTTAACTTTGGTAAAGAACCCTTTATAATCAATATTATTTTTTTCAGATTACAGTAATATTTATATGAAAAGAGCATGATAAATACTATAATTCAATTTTATTCGGAGTATAAGACTCCATAATGTTCTATTGTATGCAGTTTGATTCTTCAAGGAATAGCCTCTACAGTTTAACTTATAGTTTACTATATATGCAAGAAGGGTAGAGAGAAACAACTCTGTATGTATACTGGGGTGGCACACACATAAACACACACACACACACAGGCAAATTACATGTCATGCTGTGATTTGTTGAAGTGGTGTACTTGTATAAATGTATCCTTAGATGGTACATAGAAAAGGCTTAGTAATTCATTGGCCAATACTAATTAATCCAGAGTAAAGTACCTGTGATTTTGGATTGGATTATGGCCCTTTCTCTTAACCAGACTTTACCGAATCCTCAGTTTAATAAAATAAAATTGTAGGAAAAAAGGACTGTTTAAACTCAGGTATGAACTCTGCCTTACCCCAGTTAGACCTGTATTTACTCGTTTCAAACTCGGCCAAGAAATTACTATCTTTGCATATGAGGATCAGGTCAGATCAAAGGCATTGTGTACCATATCCTGCCTTGTCCTTTATATAGCTCTCTTCAGGACAGAATCTTCATTTCATAAATTTCCAGAAGGTCAACCAAATAATTTCAAAATTTGATGGTTGCTGGCTGATGTGAACTGGCAGCAAGAAATTCACAGGCTACTTTTTTTTAATCCAAAACATTCAAATGATTTGGGGAAAGTTATTCCTTGTTTGACTAACTTTTAAGTTTTGATCATTTGCAATTCTGAACTTTGATATGTTTCAACTTACTCATGGATTGGAGATTTTCTTTTTTTGGTGATTTATACTATAATGGACATTGGTTGCAAACGATAAAAATCCAACTGACTACTAGGCAGTAAGCAAATATTTTAAATGACCTAAGATAGATCACAAGTTATTTTTGAGACTACAGAATTCACTTTGACAAGAGAAATAATTTTGGTGCCTTTTTAATTCAATTGTAAACATTAACATTTCTCCCGATGACCGCTCAATGTGATGTCAGATAGAAATAAGTGTATATGGCATATAATCAAAAATCAGGGGCAAGGGGTAAAACTGGAGAACAGGGAGCATGAATGGTGTGGTATGTGCAGCATGTACACACACAAAAAGGGGAGAGTGTTAGATCATGACAAAGAAGAGAAAATTGGTCCTACACCCTATAGTTAATGTGACAACACGTAGTTAATGTGTACTTAATGACTCAGAGTCTTTTGGCTCATTTTTCTCACCATTTGAAGATGTCACTTGTTTTATACATAGCCGTGTAGCCTAAGATTAACTTCATTCCGAAATGGATGCAGACTACAAATCATAGGTCTTTAGAGGAGAAAAGAGTGAGATGGGAGACATATAGATTAAATATATGTACATTGCACATGTACATTGCACACTATATAATTAGGCTCTCAAGAGACGGGATGTTTGATGGGAATGTTTGGGAGCTAAGTTCTTTAGGGCTGTATTTGCCTGGGTCTGAGCACTTGACATTCCTTCCTACTGAGCTGAAGCTATTCAACTCCTACCTGGCTCAAACAGAGGCTTCGTGGGCCACTTGTTTGAATCCACCAGCGGTGACTATCTTGCTCAGGATTTGTTTGCAATTTGTTTAATAGTTGAAGCTCTGTTTTCAGTACCTGCAAGTGACCCAGTTTCACTAAATCCAACTTCTCAAGCCCCTCATGTAAAATCGTATGCAAAAAGTAAGAGTGGAATGGACAAAAAAAGAGATGAAAACCTTTCTTCCTCTTGAGGTTGGACATTCTAGGCCCCCTCCCCACTCCCTAAATGCCTAAAAGTGCCTCTGAACTGTTCATCACAATGCAAAGCTCAGTTGGGGGGGGGTGACACTAAAGGCAAAAGTCACAGGAGCTGCATCCTTTCTCACTGCTTCAGAACATTTTAAAAAAATGCAAACGCAACACGCTGGCTAATAACTTAGTAAATATATAAGCGGTATAATGTCATTCAAAATATGAGAATAAGCCACTTCAAAACAATATATATATCATACAACACATCTCACAAAATATACAAGTAACTGCAAGTTGTTATATGTATCAGAGTCAAACAAAGATACAAACAACCAGTGTATTTGTTCTGAACATTTAAAGGTACAGGCAGGATATGTGGCAATCCTAACCTTCACACCCCACTTTATGCTAACAGTACTTTGATGAACATTAACAGCAGAATCATCTAGGAATTAATTCCCACTATGGTCAGTGGAGCTTACTCCATAGTAGGTATATTCCAGGTTGCAGCTTAAATAAATACGTAGCTCAATGCTTTGCCTGTTGAAGTAATGTGGGCTTTCTGTTCCTATATTTTATTTTAAAAGATTGCACTTGCACAATTCACCCTTTTTTTTTTTTTAAAAAAAAAAAGGCAATCAGGAAGTAAACTTCCTATCTCTCTCTCTCTCTTTCTGTGTGTGTGTGTGTGTATAATTTGTCCAAACTAAGTTCAAGGCAGGGCTGAGATTTTGGCCCTAAACTAATCTCCCTTGGAATCCTTTTCCCTCTCAAAAATCACCTCTCTCTTTGACCCAATATTTGCTGCCTGCTGTGCCATATGTTGTCCTGCTTTGAATTGTTCCTCTTCCCCCTCCATCTTCCAGACTGCTCATATTTGCAAAGACAAAAGGAAGAACAAATTTAACAACAAAACAAACAAAATGCTACATACATTGCTGATTCAGAAAGCACATAGGGGTTGATTGAGACCAGAACTGCAGTCCTAAATACATGTTTGGCAGAGTCAGCACCGTTGAGCACAGTGGAACTTACTTCTGAGCAAATATTCATAGGGTTCTGCTGGTAGTTAGAAATCAAATTAGAAAAGTAGTCACAGTTTAAGACCTGCTTATCACAATGAGAACTGAGTACAACTAACCAAGTCATGGTGACCCACTGTGAAATTAACTTGTGGTACTCACTGCCACAAGCTTGTGGAGGTGGAAAATAGATCTGACCCACATGTGAGTAACGAAAAGAATCAGATGGGTGCCTAGATTCAAAATGCAGGGCTTTGCATACTCTCCAGTAGGGTTAAAAACACTCTGAGTTAACCAGCAGCATGCTGTGGAATATAGGTTGTTAAACCTTTTTACATATCTTGTTTAGTCTACCTTAAAGCTCTTGTCCCATCTCTTTAACCCTTTAGCAATGACCACATACTATTAAGTAAGTACTATTAAGTAAGTTTAACAATTTTACTGACTAAATCCAGAAAAAAGCTTTACTTACTAAATCCAAAGGTCTGGTTCATGTGTAATACCATGAAGCAGCAAGGGGAATACAAGTAGAATATTATTGAGTGCAAAATGCAGATTATAGTTTCAAGCATGAGGTTTGAACTTTGGAGCAATTTCAGACATGTCTGGTTGGATACTTGGCTGGGAGTGAGAGAAAGGAAAAGAAGCAGCTTCACTTCCTCCTTCAGAGAGAAGAAGGGGCGTGACCTAGCTGTGTTTAGGAGCAGACTTCTCTGGTCTTAACCCTTTCATGCACTAACAAGCACTTGTGCATTGTTATGTTTGACGGCAATTTCCCACAGAGCTGTTGTACTAATGTATATCTGTATCTATATCTATATCTATATCTATATCTATATCTATATCTATATCTATATCTATATCATCTATATCTATATCTATATCATCTATATCTATATCTATATCTATATCTATATCTATATCATCTCTCTATATATGGATCATACCAATGAATGGAGGGCAGATCTATCAGCAGTTATTACTCATGGTAGCTGAGGACCAAAACTGGACATGTCTGTCACATAGTTTGCCCTCACATAGTTGGTTTTTAAGAATTAATTAGCTTGTACAGTTCCAAGCCAATTGGACTGCAGCAGGGGAAAGGGGTCTTAACAGGAATTGTGTGAATGGGCCATCCACAATGTGAGGAATGTTCCTATTGTCTTTCATCCCGCAGCAGGTGTGGTTTGTGTGTGTTTCAAATTGGGACCACAGTGCACGCAGAGTTAATGTCGCCTTCCCTCCCCCATCACAGATGACAAATTTCAGGGTAATGCAATTATCTTAATGGCTTAATAAGTCATACCTGATACCTTAAAAGATTTCAAGCTAAGGTTTTTAGAGGAATAGAGAACACATGTATACTTAAGACAAAAAAACCCAAAACCAACCTGCAAAGGATTTATACAAAACCAGCTAATAGTGTGTCAAGAAGAATGCAAATATGAAGATACAATTTATTTTTCAAGCATAATTTCTTACACAGAGTGTTATGTACAGAAGCGAAGAACAAAAATAAAGCACATATAAAGTTAAGTAATCTATGTTTTAAAATGTCAGTACAGAACAAACACATAGATTGCCTTTCTATGACATTATAATCAATTTTCCAGCAGCGCTTTGTCTCTATATCTATTAAGAATGCCTTGAAAGGGAAAACTGGAAGAAACTACAGCATATTCTGTATTTACCTCATATTAACCTTATTTCCTAGACCTCTCTTGACTCAAAATTACCTGTAACTATGTGATAATATTTAATGTGTTCAAAGCTATTCTTAATTCCTTATATGCTGTTTCAAGAGGCTGTAGTCCCTAATTTCATTAATTAAGCATTGTCTTACTAGTCACCATGTATATATCTTCCCTGTAGCTGTGTTGGTTTTTTTTAGAAAAAAAAAGAAAACAAAGCCAATGTTCTTTCTTCTTTAAAATGTCCACAACTTTTTATTGGCTAAGAAGTTGTGTTTTTACAAACAAGTTTCTCCTTTAGGGGCAAAGGTTTAATTGCTTGAAAAGCTTGTGATAGAATCACACCTTTGCCAACAGCTGAGGTACATAAAGCATAATTACAACAATGGTGATATAAAGCAATTCTGCAGAGAAAAAGTATGCGTAGAAAAATGTGTTGACTCCCCAGTCCCCATACAGTCTTGCCTCGAAAGTCGAACGGAATCCGTTCCAAAATGGCACTGCTTTCAATTGGCTGCAGGAAGCTCCTGCAGCCAATCGGAAGCTGCAACAGATGTTCGGGTTCCAAAGAAAGTTCACAAACTGGAACAACACTTCTGGGGTTGCGGGGTTCGGGAGCCAAAACGTTTGACTTGCAAGGCGTTTGACTTCCGAGGTGCGACTGCACTGTACTTTAATCTTTTCTCTCTTCTTCCTCAAAGTGAATCAGCAGGACCTGGCTCCTGCCACTAGTAAATCTAGTTATAGCCATAGGTTTGCGCTAGCATGAGCCACTGAACTTTGAAATACGGGAAATCTTATGCAGATAGGGTTTGAGTTGCAGTCCTTACTGGAGTTCAGGGTTTACAACTGAAGTCTTATTATGTGTACATCTGACAGTTAAGGTGGATTCAATACATCCCACTATCACATGTTTTTCCTGTCATCCACATGACATTGCCCTCATCCAACTGGCAGCCTGCAATCATCCCTCGCCATTTAATTTGGATTTTCCTGATCAGCGGATAATGCAATAAAGGGGAGGGGGAATCTTAACATTAAATTTCTTATTACTCAAGTGTGGAAGTGCATTGTGTGGGTTTAATTTTCATAAACATGTTGAGTGTAGTCTTATCCCCACACTCTATACTCCTGTTTGCTCATATCCTGAGCACAACCTAGCCATTTTCTTTCTGTAAGCCCAAAGGGAAATACCTATTTCCACTGGTTGTTGCTGAAGGCTCTTTTTTGGTATTATTTTTTTTTAAGTTGTTTTGTGCAAACCTGCTTTTGCACAAAACAGCTGAATTAAAAGGCATAGTGAAATTGGCCCTTGCAGGTACAGGTGGCAGGAAAGGAAAAGAGGAAAGAAAAAATAAAAAAAATGCTCTTTTGTAAATAAAAATAAAATATTTTTTTCAAAAATATTATATGCTCAAGTGCGAAACATGCTTGAAACTTGGGTTTTGGTGAAAGTTGGTTGTTGTTGTAATCCACATGTACACAGGTAAAAACACTTATGTGCATGACTACAATAGACCTCAAGTTTCTGGAACTTCCACAGGGAAGGGAAGTGGTAGCTGTGGGGAGGGGACAACATATAGTGAGAATACATCTAATCAAGCAACATCACTAGTGTGGACAGGAAACACTGAGATAGAGTTAAAATGAAATCACTAATGTGTGGCTAAAAGTCCATGGAAAAATAGGATCTGTGCAACATACATGTGTACTAACATCTTGGTGCATTCGCACATTGCACAGCATTTTGGGGACAGTGATAAATGTCTTTGCGAGCCCATGTGCTAAACCCTGTCCTTGGAGCCTCCCCCCACAAGAGACTAGACACCAAGGTATGGGTTCAAATTAGGCCACAACTTTATTGAATTTCAGATGTAGGAAACTTGGCACTGGCCTTGGAAGGTATCCCTCTCAACCCACCGGGGGCTGAGGATGTGCAGGGCAAACAGGTGCCGTGTGAGGGAACTGTAAAGCGTGAACTTACACAGCGTGCCCACGCACTGTACCTAAGTTTGGAGTTTGACCTACTTGTCACCGCTCTAGGGCCACAAACACCCTTTAATGGGCCCTGCAAACGCTGCCGCATGGGGGTGCATGAGATGCTCCCCACCAAACTCGAAGATAGACTAAAGGATACCTAACAAGGCCCAAAACTTGCCAAAGTTGTGACGAATTGCTACGGAGAAGGCAAAACCTGCCAATGCAGGGGAAATTCCTTCCCGGTTTTGAATACAGCAACCATCTTACGACCATAGCGACGCCCGCTGACTTAGAATGTGAAAGGTTAAGCTGCAAAAGAAGAAAAAAGTGACAAGACAGCAGAATTTAATTTTTTAGGGAGGGTCGGGTGGGTGATCCTGGAAGAGAAGGAAGAAGAGCGAGCGTTGGCCAAGGGATCGGCCCCTGTACCTGTCCTAGGCCACACCCCCGCCAGCAGCCCATAGGCCTGCCAGGCAGGGGCGGGCCAAAGACACCCTGTTACCAGGTGGGTGGCACCCGGCCAGGTAGACCCCATGTGGGGTCGCAAACTCCGCCCACCTGTTGGGAGGGGGTGAGCGGGAATTGCATGTCCATTGCTCCCTCAGAGTACACTGTCATAGTGAAGCCAGGATGCCTGGGACTGCAGGGTTTTCTGAAGAGGAATTAGTGTGATTTGAGATAGATGGAAGGGAAACTATGGTTGCATTCACATGAAATGTCAAAACAGGTGTGCTATGAGAATGAGCAGGCACTCACTCTTCTCCTTTCCCCTTCCTCCATACATGAGAAGATCAGAAGCTTTCACACCTGGCTTGTAGCAAAACCATAGTGTACTGTTTTGTCCAAACCCAGAAAACTGGTTTGCAAAAACCATAATTTGCTTGTAAATCAGCATCACAAGTCACAGTTTGATCGTTCTTTCTGAATTCTGTCTGGTGGTTCGCACTGAATTTTTATAAGTCAAGGGATTGGTAAAGGTGAATCAAAATTAGAGATAACAGTTTTAAGTGTCTGTAGGTTTTATGTATAATATTTTAGCTATAAATCATGTAGGTAATCATGTGCCATGTATTCATATTAATTTCATTTGATTGCTATATCTTTCTTTCTTTCTTTCTTTCTTTCTTTCTTTCTTTCTTGGTAACTCCAGTATTAGAATTGATTAGCTATAGCTTATTTAGGTCAATTTTAATATATCTTGTTTCTTTCCAT